TTTCAATACTAACATTTCATTTGGTACTGTCCATTTGAGTTTTTAAATATTCATCCCTTCTCGGTTCATTGTCTGCAAAGTAAGTTTTTATGACATTTTGTAAACTTTCGTTTGCAAGGTCATGTACAATAGGTTCTCTTCCTTCTCTCTCCTAACTTTCTTTCTAAACTCTTCACCAAATATACCATCTTTATGGTTCTGTGTAGTTCTTTGAGATAAATGTTTTAGAACGTCAGGTGTTATATTTCCATCAGCCATGTTCATTTCATACTGGTCCAAAATATCTGCATGTTTCATATCTTTCAATGGCATTAAAGCCGCGCTTAAAATACCAGCTATATCTGGTTCACCATTGACTTCCATTGCGTCTACAACTTCTTGGAATTGAGGTTGTAAGTTTATGAACCACCTATCCGGGTTAGCTTTATGACCCCATCTCATTGTAGTTCCATCGTCTGCAGAAACAAAAGTAGGTTTGTTTCCATCTTGGTTAGGTTCTGAATGAACTTTAAACAATGTTTCATTTCTATATGTTTTCTTGAAATTTAACCTTTTATTTTCACCGAGTTCATCCGAAGATTGAACGTTAAATGCTCGTAAGTAAAAAGGGTTGTTGTATTTGTGTACATTTTCTTTCAGTACTTCCATTCTATGCTGAATATTTTCATCTGGTGTTGGAGTCTTTTGTATGTCGGCAAACATTTTTCGATATTCTTCTACTATGTCAGCCGAATCTTTCTTAGACTCTTGGAAAGATTCCATATTCTCCGCATACTCTTGTTGAGGGTCAAGATTTTTCGGCTGTTCCAAATCTTCATCTAGTTCTGTGAAGTTAGTTTCCAAAGGAAGGACTTGTTCGTTTCCTTCAGGCTCTTCTAGCTGTTGTTGCTGAACTATTTCTTCCATGTCTGGTTGTATCTGAACTAGTTCTTCCTGTGGAGTTTCTTGTACCTCATCTGCTGGCATTTCATATATTCCGAGACCGTTTTTAAAAAGTTCCCTTTCTAAGTCATCCGGACTCATAAACCTTTCTTCTTTCGTTCCGTCTCTATTTTTTACGCGTTTCATGAAGAGAGTTAAATTGTCATTTAGCTCTGACATCAAATATCTCGGAGTAAATTCGTTCATGTCATTTGGATGATATGCTATTAAATCATATCCCTTAGCGAGCTTGTATTTTCCAGGTTTGAGATTATATCCCCTTTGGTGCAGAGCCATAAAGCTAAATAGGTTCGGGTCAGTATTTCCATCCTTGAACTTTCTAATAGCTTCTTTATATCTGTCACTAAAGTCAATACTATCTGGGTAACCATAGTCTTCTTTAAGCATTTTTAAGAATTCTTGGTTTCCTTGTTCTCTACTTCTTTTATGTCCTTGCTCTGTTTGTGGTTGTTGTTGTGCAGGGTTTTGAACTGTTGGTTGTTGTGCTGGTTGTGGAGGTGGTTGTTGTGCTGGTTGTGGAGGTGGTTGTTGTGCTGGTTTTGGTGCATGCCTGTGTCTGTGTCCATGTGACGATGTAAATGTTTTAGGTAGTCCTGGTGCAGGTGCTTCTCTTGGAGGGTTTGGTGGTATATAAGTTCCACCAGCTGGCACATATGTTCCATCTGCAGCGTAATGTCCTACCTGACTTTTCGTTCTTAAGAAAGCATTTACTAGGTCTGTTTTGGTCTGTTGTAACTCTTTTTCTTGACTTTTCACAACAGTTGCTCTAACGGCGTCATAGGCACTTTGAACTGCCTGTCTCGTTGCTGCATCTGTTATTTTCGTCATATTTTGTGCTACTTCTCTTAACTCTTTGTCGAAACCTTCAGACTTCAGTTTCTTTCCAGATGAGAAGTCGTTCACTTGTTTCACCTTACTATGAAGAGCTTCGAAGGCGTTCTTAAAGTCAGCATTCGTTAAAGCTTCATTTGAACTGTCTTCATCCGCTTGTATTTTTGTCCTTATTGACCCTATAAGTTGGGCTGCTTTAGCGTTGGCTTGGGCATCTAACCAGTCATTGTTAGCTTTTATATATTCTGCGCTTTTCATTGCCTTTTGCATGGCTGCGTCGTTATTTTTACTTTCTTGTGCTAAGTTTTCATACTGTACGGTTTGGTTTTGCAACTGTAAAAGTTTTTCTGCCTTTACATTTGCTTCAACTTCCTTTTTATACTCATCGCTATCCATATATGTCTTCAGGGCTTTTTGTTTTATCTCTTCATCTTTCAGTACTTTATATTGAGTAGTATGGTTTTTCAAATTTATGACATCTTGTTCCATTTTTGCTACTTCTGCTGCTTTTTCTGACACTTTTTTCGCATATTCCTCTGTACTTAGTTCTTTCAGTTGTTCTTCTTTCTTCTTTTTCTCTACGTTTAACTCATTGAGTTTCTTTGTGTGTCTGTCATATTCTAGTTTCTTTTCGTTTTCACTTATTTGCTTCTGTATGTCTATGTTTGACTTTTTGACATCTGTTATTTGATTTTTGAGTGAACTCAAATTCATTTGACTTTGAGGGTTATATGCTGTTCCGTCTGCAGCTCCACCATAGCCTGCTATTTTCGCTAAAAGTGCCGCTCTTAAACCTCCACTCTGTGCACCAACAACTCGGTTTAAAAGCATAGGATTGCTTGACATTTGTTGCAACATAGTGGGGTCATTCAGCATTTGTTGTTGCAACTGTTGTTGTGGTGTTAGTCTTACTATTGGATGTTTCAATGCTCTCTTCCTCTTACGTATATTCTTACGTAGCTTACGTGGCATTTTAAGTGAAGTTAAAAAGCGGTTTTTGACAGATGTTTTGTTGTGACTTCTTCGTAAAGACTTTGTTGAGACTTCTTCGTAAATGAGTGTAAATGACCCAAAAATATATTTTATGTTAGAATGTTAGATCTAACATGTTTTCTAACATGTTTTCTAACATGGTCTAAAACATACAAAACTCATGAAATTTCATACGGAATTCAGCAAAAATATATTTTATGTTAGAATGTTAGATCTAACATGTTTTCTAACATGTTTTCTAACCTCTTGAATTTTCATGATTTCATCGTAAATGTTTTGTCAAGACTTCTTCGTAAAGACTTTGTTGAGATTTCTTCGTAAAGTTCTTCATCGTAAAGACTTTGTAAAGTCTTTCTCATGAACTTTCTTGTCAATGTTTTGTTGAGACTTTGTAAAGTTCTTCATCGTAAAGACTTTGTAAAGAAAGTTCATGAAAATTCATGATGTTAGAAAACATGTTAGAAAACGTGTTAGATCTAACATTCTAACATAAACATTATTTTTGTCTGATTTTACGAAGAAGTCTTGACAAAACATTTACGAAGAAGAAGTCTTGACAAAGTCTTTACGAAGAAGTCTTGACAAAACATTTACGATGAAGAAGTCTTGACAAAACATTTACGAAGAAGTCTTGACAAAACATTTACGATGAAGAAGTCTTGACAAAACATCCTCAGGGCTAGAAGGCACGAAGTGCCTGGAAGCCCCATTCCCTTTTTTTTTTTTTTTTTTTTTTTTTTTTTTTTTTTTTTTCTTTTTGAGTGCAGTCTTTCCATATTTATCTGATGTTTCTTTATCAGCGCTAACAGAGACAAGATATATGACAATTTCTTGATGCAAACATGAGAGATGTCTTTCCAACTCCAATAGAAATAATTGAAGTATATCGATAATAATTTCTTTCTTCTTTATCGACTTGCAATCTATTAGAGATCTGACAAGCTTAAGGTTTCCTGTCATACTTGCAATATTAAGGGTATTACCTTTATTGTTTCCTGTCTTTATCCAAAGTCTTTCTTCACAAGATTTTCATAGATTTTATAATTTAAACAGATTCCTCGATATTTTGGATAGTAACATTTACTTTTCGTGTAGATAAATGATTTAATGCTAATTTTGAATTTTTCATGATTGTATTGATATCTTCTATCTCATATATATATATATCGAAGAATTTTTTATTCATAATGCAAACACTGATATAAGAAAAAATGAATTTCAAATTCAGATACATGGTCTGAGCCGTTTTTTGAAATTTTATAGCTTTACTAGCTATTTGAATGTTTTGGAAATTGTCATGCTCCCAAAGCAGATTGATAAATCTAGATCAAATGTACAAACTAAACTCGAAATTTCAAATTAGAAAAAAATTAAAATCATATTTATCATTGTTGAGTTGAATGTAAATCAATATCGCGTTATCTAAACCAGGAAAATTCAATTCCTTTAAATAAAAAAATGATTTTATATTTAATTATGAGCAATAAGGAATGAAAATAATAGAAAAACATTATGTAAACATCCAATGTTTGCAAACATCATTATATTTCGTTCATGAATCTTACCATATAGAGGCCTATATGAGCCACAATAAAATTCATATCTTACATTTTTTTTTATTATTTTTGAGAAGCCTTTCAATTTTTGATAATTGATAAGCTACCATTAGTCATACAATTAAATTATATTGCTTGACAAAATCATAATTTATTCAATGCCAAATGGTCAGGTTTTGTCATTTTGAATTGGCTTTCAAATTTTTAATGGAGAGGCATCGGAATCAAGTGTTTTCTCAGAGATTAAAGCCATCAGAAAACACAGTTTCAATATTTCAGTGTTTATTCGTTTCAATTACATCATATGCAAATGGTACTGCTATTTCAATGCCTTCTTTGAAGTTTATAAGTTTAGACGTTACAGATTCTATTTTTGATTCATGCACTGTCAATGGTGAAAAAGGAAGTGACTTGTCATCAGGCGGAGCAATTTTTGCAATTTTAAAAGATCATATTAATATATATAAATCATGCTTTTGTAATTGTCATGCACCAGAAGCAGATGTTATTGAGTATTTTTCTCCAAAACATAATATCTCACATAATTACTTCAATTTAGAACAATAAAATAATAAGTTTATTATTGGCGATAATCTTTCAATACTTATGCATTGTAACATATCCGAGTTAGTGATTGATGATGGTGATTTAGAATTTCTTTTTAAATATAGTTATTTTATGGAAACGAAATTTGACTTTCAAATTAATTCTGAATCAAAACTCTCTATATTTAATTCGTATTTCATCAATTGTAATGTTGAATCATTAGATGTTGATATTATTCGTGATTGTTATTTTAAGAATTCAACTATTGTTAGTATCACAGGACGTATTGAAACTGTCTTCACGGACAACGCAACATCTGTAATCAATTGTTCATTTACTCAAGAAATTCCATATCCAGAAGTTGAACCAATTCTTTGTCCATCAATTCCATTAGAGAAGAATTACACGAATCATGAACAAAATTCATCAATAAGATTCACATTCATAGATGAAAAAATCGAAGTTACCAATTGCAAGTTTATTAAAGTCAGTGTTCAACATGATGAAGGCTCTGCAATTACTATTCTACGACCTGCATATCAATACTTTGTTTCTGATCCTTTCATTAAGATCGACAATGTTTTCTTTTGGAAATGTCAATCTGAATTGATATCAGGAGCTATTTATATTGATTATTCAAGTTCTCATATTGAAATGAGTCACATTTGTGGTATCGAAATTTCCGGGATGATGTTTCAATTTTGCTATATAGATACTAAATCATATTTTTCATTTAACAGCAGCACTATATATTCTGATTTTAAATCAGCAAATGCTTTATCCTATGATGTTTATGATATAAATGGATTATTTTACTATGGAAATAGAATAACAACAATAATAAATGGAATCAATACTTCGAAATGCTATACCATTGGAAGTGTTTTTAATCTTCACAATTCAACAATAAAGTTTTGTCAAGAAGAAGCAATTTATACTGCTTTCTTTACTGCATATGTATTTGTTGATGTTGATTACTATAATTTTATCAACTCTAGTACTGTTAATCAATCACTTTTTATAGAAAACAGTGATTATAATTCAAATGTAACATTTAGTCACTGCGTGTTTATTGATTCGCCTTTAATAGAATTTTTCAAGGATTACGCTGATACAAATAATATTTCATTCATTGATTGCAATAGTACAAAATTGAATAATCTTGAATCATATCTTTTGCCCGCATGCCGAACTCCTAATTTCAATTCGAAGAATTACAAAATGATTATTTATTATTCAGTCTCTGCAGCTCTTTTTGTTTTGGTTGTTGCTATTGTTTGCATAGCTTATTATTGGAGTAGAAAGAAAAATGCAAATTTTGAGAAAAGATTAGAACTTGACAGAGAACTTGCAGGAGATTTTGGATAAATTTAAACACTGTTATAAATTTAAAATGCTTTGTTTTAAAAAAAAATTTTTCTTTTTATCTCTGAAACACGAACAAGTATAAGCTGATTTGATTCGTGTTTATTGATTTAGTCATCTATTGATACTTTTTAATGCTTAGAATATATATAATAACTTTCTTCCGACAAAAAAATGCATAAATCTATTTTTTAGACGACAATGATAAATTTGTCACTTTTCCAGACGAATTGTCAGAAAGTAAATACAAACTTAAGAGTGCACTTACCACTTTTTGACATTCTCTCAATTTTTTTGACATTCAAATTTTTTATCCAAATTTTCTAAGGTAAAAAGACATTAACTTTGTTCGGGAAGAAGTTATTTTAAATCACTACTTAGTACTTAATATTACTGTTATACTTTTTTGCAATCATAATAAAGATATATTGATATCATGGGAGAATGTCAGAAAGAAAATACAAACTTAAGGCTACACTTACGCCCATCTGACTTTAATTCAAATTTTTGACAACTGGCATGAAGCTTCATTGAAAATTAATCATAAACAATTGAATTGAAAGCCATGTCATATGGGCGTAAGTGCACCCTTAAGGGTTCACTGCCTTAGTTCACAACTATTCAATTTTTTGCACTAAAATGTACTTTTTCTCTATGATAGAATTGATATTTTTATGAATAAACTTAAATATAGCATGCATTGATCATACTTTATCTTTTCATTGTTTCAAAATCTATAAGGAAAAGACTCAGGGGGGTAAATAACATTTTTTTCTGCAAATGCAATAAAGACATATTGAGATTATGCAAGCATGTCATATGGGCGTAAGTGCACCCTTAAAATAAATTAAATCAATAAAAAACTCTATATCTTTAATATAAATAAGCATATAATAAAACCAGATTCATTCATATTAATTTAAAAAAATAATAATAATAATAAATTAAATAAATAAAAAAACTCTTTATCTTTAATATAAATAAACTTTATTTCTTAGCAGCACGCTTAGCTCTATCATTCTTTTCAGATCTCTTTCTGTTCTTCATTATAATGTTCTGTTTCTCAGACTGAGGAATTGGGTTTACAATTGCATTTATTGCCTGTTTCTTTGGAATTTTGTTTTCTTCGATGACTTTGATTGCCTGTTTCCTGAGTTTCTCATCTCTCTCGCAGAGTTCAGCAACGACCCAAGCTCCAGGAGTGTTCAATATCTCCTTCAGACCAACTTGGTCGATGATTTCTCTGACTCTTTTGACGGCGTCACCTCCAAGCTTCTGAATAGCGAGTTTCACAAGTTTGTGGGCGACTTTGTGGGTGAGATTCTCCTTTGTGAAGACTAAATCTGCGATCAAATCGAAATTCTCTGTTCCATGTGTCCTTTCAAGCATCGAAACAATGATTCCTGAGCCCTGGGGGTTTTCGTATAACGCATCCAATGAATCTTTGAGGACAGGAATCAAGTAATCGTTGACTAATGTGTTGGCCAATTCATCATTTATCGGTTCGGGGCCTTGGAAGTCGATTCCGCAATAGACAGAATTTGTCTTTTCAAGAATCCTGTAAAGCAGCTGCTGTACGTATTTGTTTTTCTTAATCCAGTCCCACATATCGAACAAATTGGGTAAAACTTCTTCCATAACAACGGATTTGTCCTTGATGTAGGAGATACATGCGGAAAGAACACGCCAGCCATACTCGTCAACTGCTAATTTGCAAGTATTATTTAATTCAAAGAATTCTTCCTCTTCTTCGCCTTCGCTCTGTTGCTGATCGTCATTTCCTTCATCGTTCTGTTGTTCTGGCTCTTCATTTTGCTGTTGCTCCTCTTCTCCATTTTGTTGATCTTCTTCTTCGCCATTTTGGGCCTGTTGCTCATTGAGATTCATCAGGTTCTTCCTCTCATGTGGCTCAATGAGTTTGATGGCGCCGCGGAGCTCGTTTTCCTTCGCATTCTTGATGCAAAGTAATTCGACGCGAGAACCATCAGAAGAGTAAGCGATATCGTTGATACGGACTAAGTGGCTACCGAGAGTTGATGGGTCGTGCTCGCCAACGATGAGAATAACAGATTGGATGACTTTGAACTGAGCAAGGTGTTTATCGCCTGCAAAGTCAAGTAATTTGAGTGTCCAGTCAAGTGTGTTGAGATTGTACTTCTTGGCTTCAACAATTACGCCTCTGTTAAGATCTTTGGCGATTTGTTGAGAAATGGAAACAATTTGATCGAATGTGATACCGCGAGGACCTGCATCATCAGATCCGCCTGTTGTAGACTTGAAATTGTACTTCTTGATCTTATCTATTGTTAATTTGACTTTTCCACGCTTGTTATCCCAGCAAATATCGAATAACATTTTGTTTTTCTGTTCACGATTGATTTTTTCGTATAATGCATCAACAACAATGCATCCATATCTGTGTTTAACAAGAATTGAATATTCGCCGTAAAGTGCTTCGAAGATTTGATCTCTTTGTTGTGTAGTTGAGTCTTTGATGATAGCTAGAGCAATACGATATTGGTATCTGCTTTGAATAATGTTAAGTAATTGAGGTTTCAGGAGTTCGAGGAATTCATTGCGAACTTCTTCATCACCACGATGGAAAACAAGCTGTGCGGCACGTGATCCATCTGGTCTTCTGATTAATTTCTCAAAATCTGGCTTAATATATTCAAAAAGTTCGCGAATGTTATTTTTGCGCTGTGTTTCACTCAGAGATTTAGGCTTTGCGGCTTCATAAAGTCTACGGAGCTCTACAATCTTTGGGTCAAGCTGCTTTTTCTCTTGATTATTCTCTTCGTAACTCATTTGTGTCCGGGAACGATGATTATTTTTGTCTCAATTTCTACCAAGATTTTATTTAAAAATTTCGCGATTTTATTGCTTATTTAGAATTAAAAGCCTCAGAAGAATATTTTTCTCGCTTGATCATCTTAAAATTTATATTGTTGAATTTTTGAATTTTGAAATTTTGATTTCTTATAGGTTTTATCATTATTGTTGCAATAGTCTAGATGAAAGCAATATTATTTAATATCCAAAATCTTCCTATTTTAGATTTTGTTTTTTGAAGAAATTTCAAAAAAGTGACGGTTTAGAAAATTTGAAATTCAATTTATTTCTTTACCAAATATATAGAATATCAAAACGCTTTTTAATGGTTTTGGCCTCTAAAACTTACTCTGTCTCAGAAATTTGAGAGAATCTCACCGAAAATTGAGTTTGCGCATATGAGTTTATTTTAAAAATGCGACATCTTCCATTTGTGAATTTTTTAATACCAATTTTTTTACCAAAGTTTTCAAAAATAGTTCAAAATCACATCAACTCACGATCATTTCAACGTTCTGTCAACTACAAAAGTTCAATTGAAGCTGTTATCTCTATCAATAATGTAGATATAAAGCTTAACCAATCATATGCGGTCACAATTTCAGAAAAATGTTATGCTCAATATCTATTAGACAATTGTTTGCAAAAAATTAACATAGAAGCACATGTACAATCCGAAGATACATATGAGATTCTTAAAGATATCCTTTTGCGTAGAAAGACTGATTTTGATCTTGATGAAACCGTATTATTTGATCTATTTCACATTAGATTAGCACTTGGATGCTAAGAATTAATTGATATGTATAGAAAAAACTGTGTTGACAATACAAAAATCAACATTGAAAATTCAATTAAATTCCTAGAGTATTATTATGATATTGAAGATTCAGATAAAGTTTCAGAATGTATAGATCCGATTAAGACGAATTTCTATAAAATTGATTTAGAGAAACTCAAAACAATTTCTAAAAAACTAGGATTTGAGTTTATTCTCAAGATATATGTACAACATAGATTAAAAACAATTAGTTGTTAATGAAATCAATAATAATCAATTTATTTATTTATTCTCGAGGGGTGTTCCAGATAGATTAAAAACAATAAATAGTATATTAGTTGTTAATGAAATCAATAATAATCAATTTATTTATTTATTCTCGAGGGGTGTTCCAGATAGATTAAAAACAATAAATAGTATATTAGTTGTTAATGAAATCAATAATAATCAATTTATTTATTTATTTATTCTCGAGGGGTGTTCCAGATAGATTAAATTTAACTCTCTTTGTTGGATCTGGTTTGTGAGGTGTAGTTACTGGTTTCTCTTCTTCTTCCTCATTCTCAGGCTCTTCATCGTAGTAATCATCAGGTTCTTCCTCTTCGTATTCGAATTCTTCCTCTTCTTCTTCATCATCATCATCTTCTTCAGCGCGTTTTAGCTCTTCCTCCATCTTCTGCTCATTTGCCTTCTTCTCCTCTTCATCTGGCTTTGCTTCTTCCATCGCTTTGTCGTGGTTGTCGACGATTTGCTGAATAATCTGCGCATTATGAGCAGAATCAGTCTGTGGGACTTGTTCGACCTTATCTTCCTCTTCTTCTTGTTTCTTGGATTGCGCAGCTGCTAATTGTGCCTTCTTCTGCTTCATTCTTTCAACTCTTAATTTTCTGGCTTTTTCTTCACGAATCTTCTGAACAGGAGCTTCTACGAGGCCTTTATCGGCAAGGTAGTATGTGTAGTTCTGTTCGAAGTATTTTGATGGTTGAAAGTCCGGATTATTAAATAAAGCGTATTTCTTGTTAAGAACGTCAGCGTATTGGGAAAATTTCTTGTCAAGTTCGATCTTAATTGATTTATCAAGAGCTGCGAGTTCTTCATCAGCTTGTTTCTGGAATGCAACTAAAGTTTTCTTCATTGTTCGGTTGAGAGCGCTAATTTCCTTGGATTGTGTTTCAAATAACTTGCTAGTCTTATTTTGGACTTGTACAGCAAGGCTCTGCTCTCTTTTGTCTTTGTATGCTTTATGATCTTCTTCTGCTTTATCGCGGATGTAGTTTGCTTCATCAAAATTACCTGACTTAGCAAGTCTCTTCGATTTATCCATCGCCATGTAGTAAGATTGCTCAGGTGGAGCTAATGCGATGCGAGTATACTGATTAAACATGTCATCTTCGAGTTGTTGGTATTGAACTATTTGTATTGTCTGAATGTTAGCAAATTTCGCTGAATATTCTGATCTAATGTTCAATTCGTTTTTGTAATGGATTTTAATAAGGCGTTTTCTCTTTCTAAGATAATTCTTGTAGGTCTTATCGAGCTCATCGAAAAATGTTTCACAAAATTGGTCAACGTTTTCACGGATTTGCATCACTTTTAGATTTTCGATTTTTTTATCGCACTCATCAGCATATTTAAAGTTCAAATCGACAATAGCTTGCTTTTTCTCGGCTGCGTAGTACTCAATTGCTTCCTCAATGGTGAATTGCTTTTCCTCTTCTTCTTCGCCATTCGTTTGTTCTTTATTTTCATCTCCTTCGCCGCTATTCATTTGTGTATTTTCGCTTTGCTCCGTTTTCTCTGTATTTACTGAATTAGGATCATCTGAAGTTTGTTTTTTACTCATCTAAAAAAAACAAGTTTGAATAGTTGTAAAATTTGTAAAAAAATTACTTTATCTCTACATAGCGGTAATAATTTTGGACATGCATAAGCACAATATTTACTGTCAGGATCCAGTGAAAGATATACTAACAAAAAAATAAAAGATTGAGCAAAAAATGCAAATTTCCCATGTTATCACTATAAGGGATTTTAAGTCAAAGGTATTTTTATTCATGGGAAAGCAAAAGATTAAACATATTATAGTACGTAATTGCTAAGTAATAGGTTTATCAGAGATTTTTTTTTCTCACCTTTCTAGCAAAAAACGATCGAATGTAATTATCAAAAATTTTTATCAAGAAATTGTATGTGATTTTTATCAAGAAATTGTGCATTTTTTTTAATGAGTTCTGACTATTCTCAGCAATATGCAGACTTTATAGAGGCTTTTGAAAAACTCTTTCTCATAAAATCTAGCGAACCTATTGAAGATATGTACAATATAATTACTAATACTTTGATTTCGAAGTATCATCTTTCCATCAAGCAACTCAAAAAGGCAATTCAGATAGCAGTTAGATACAATTATGCCTCTGCACAGAAGTACGTCGAAATACTCAATAAAATTTCTACTTACGATGAGAAAATTTCATATTCCAGTGTCATTATGGAGAATTCAATTGAATTTATAGTAATTCACGATCAAATTGATAAATTCAAGGAATATGTCTCTCAAAAATGTATAGAAAATGATAGTTTTATATTAATTCCTGATTTATTCCATCTTGACAATAATTTTCTTCGACCTGATACATGGTTATCATTAATTGAAGCATGCGCCTATTTTGGATCTGTTAACATTTTCTATTTCTTAATTTCAAATCAAAACAGGAAAATAACGCCAAGGTGTCTTCTCTGTTCAATAATTGGAAGAAATCCAGACATTATCAACGAATGTTTGAAAGATAATAAAATTGATAATTTTTGTCTCACAATAATTGTAAGAACGCATAATAACAAAATGCTTGATTATGTTGTACAGAATAAAGATTTTGATCTTGAAGAATGGATCAAATATATCAAAAATGGCGGTTATAAAGATATTATCAAATGTCAAAACTTGAAGGCAGTATTTTTACTTTTCGAACAAAGGAAAGACTCTATATTTCCATGGTGTGCTGCATTTTCGCAAACAATAGATATCTTCAGAAATAATGAGTTTCCTTATCAAACCGCCACCGGTCGAAAAAATGTTATACATTTTGCAATTAAATCGCAAAATTCTGATTTATGCAAATTTTTACTTGACTCATCTTATAAGGATCAAGTCAATAAAGGAGATGAAAATGGAATGACTCCGCTCCATTGTGCTGTAAAACTCGGCAATAAAGAATTAATTCAACTTCTTCTTTTAAATGGTGCAAATATTAATGAAAAAAAATAAAAATGGAAGCACTGCCCTCCATGAGGCAGTATATTATAATTATAAAGAAATAGTCGAACTTCTTCTTTTGAAAGGTGCAAATATCAATGAAAAAAATAAAAATGAAAACACTGCCCTCCATGAGGCAGTATATTATAATTATAAAGAAATAGTCGAACTTCTTCTTTTGAAAGGTGCAAATATCAATGAAAAAAATTTCCAAGGATCTACCGCTCTTCATAACGCAGCAGCTCATAATAGTAAAGACACAGCCGAATTTCTTCTTTCACATGGTGCAGATATCAATGAAATAAATAAAATTGGAAACTCTGCTCTCCACAATGCAGCAATGAAAAAATGTATGGAAACAGCTGAATTCCTCCTTTCACATGGTGCAAATATCAATGGAAAGAATTATTTTGGACGAACCCCTCTTTATGAATCAGCGTATAGGAATTGTAAAGAAATGGTCGAACTTCTTCTTTTGCATGGTGCAAATATTAATGAAAAAAATAAAAATGGAAGCATTGCCCTCCATGAGGCAGCATATCATAATTATAAAGAAATAGTCGAACTTCTTCTTTTGAAAGGTGCAAATATCAATGAAAAAAATAACCAAGGATCTACCGCTCTTCATTATGCAACAGAAAATAATCGTAAAGAAATAGTCGAATTTCTTCTTTCACATGGTGCAGGTATCAATGAAAAAGATGAACATGGAAAAACTGCTCTTCATTATGCAACAGAAAATAATTGTAAAGAAATTGTTGAACTTCTTCTTTCACATGGTGCAAGTATCAATGAAAATAAATGATAATGGAGAAGCCTCTCTCCATATTACAGCAAAAATTGATTGTAACAAGTAGTGGAAGTTCTTCTTCCGTATGGTACAAACATCAATTAAATATAAGGAATGTCGAATATTTTATGAAATATTTTATTTATAATCAATAAATAATGAGTATGTTACGCCAGTATGTTCTCTCTTTTTTTGTGCAAGTCGGATTGCCAATTTTCGCACTCTAAAAACTCCAAAATTTGCTTAACAAAAAAAAATCAGGCATAGTTAAAATTAAGACTGTTTAAAATATCATGTCTTGTCTAATTTTGAAAATGAAAATTAAATTTCATTTTTTGAATTTCACAACAAAAATCAATTATTTGTAAGATATAATAACATTTTGTATGATTTTTGTTGTAATGTTAGTAAAACTTGTAAAATTATAATGAAAAATTTAATGTAAGCTCACAAATAAGCATGTCTGGTTTATTTCTTGTGCTTAGCAGCAGCCTTCTCCTTCTTGGCCTCGCGGAAAGCCTTGAGCTTGTCTGTCTTCTCCTTGAAGAGATCCTTCTTGGCCTCTTCAGCCTTGATAACACGGAACTTGATTTCGTTCTGAGCCTTTGGAAGAGCGAAGAGAGCAGCATCGTTAACCTGCTCGACTGTCTCGCCCTTCTTGACCTTGATAAGGCGAGCCTTGTAAGCTTGAAGACGTTCGACGTTCTGCTTAACCATAGCATCCTTTGAGTGGGCACGGCGGGCATCAACAGCGATACCCTGGAAACGAGCAAGAGCTGGATCGAATCCGGCAGCAACAAGCTCCTTTGGTGTGAAACCACGGCCAAGGCGTGTCTTCATGTTGTAACGAACTGTTGGGCAGCGGACGATTGGGCGGAGTGGGCCTTCGGCTGGACGTGGGGCAATCTTCTTAGCACGGAGGTTGCGAGCATTGCGACGGCGTTGAGCACGAGCTGGATCATCGAAGTATGTCTTTACGCGGTGGTACCAGTACTTACGAAGGTGATCATTTGGGATCTGGTTGTTCTTAGCTACCATTTCCAAGAAAGGCCAAGGGTTTCTATCGTACTTATCGTCATTCCATGATGTGTACTTAGCCATAATAGGTACTTTTTGTTATAAATATAAAATATGTATAATGTCCTTGTAAAATTTTGCCCTTGAATGAATACTTTTTCCCAAAGATAATGGAACAGAAAAGATATGTTTGAACGATTTGAGAATATGGACTATATTATAAAGATATACATTGACATTATAATTTATTAGCGCCAATAAAATTCCTTTAGCTCATTTGGTTGTAAAATGAAATTAAGAAATTGCAAATGGAACTAGTTTAAATCATTCCTGCAAGTTAACCATTGACTATTTGTCCTTATAAGTAATTGGTTTTGGAAATATATCATTCAACATTAAACATTTGCTTTGAATACATCTGAATGTAAAATGTTAAGAGATGATAAACAATTTAATGTAATTTTCACCATTATACGGAATCAATTATTCAATAGCATCAATACATCTAGACTCAGAATTAAAAAATTTTAAAAAGAATGTTTTTAAATAGATAATGCATTTTATATACAAAACAAAAACATAGAGAGGGGAATATTATTTGTTATCTTATAAAAGATAAGAAAATATAAGGGTGCAATTAGCAATTGCTATAAGAAGAGGGATAATATAGAAGGCAATTTCGTTAGATACTAGTGATAATGAAATAACTAGAATGAAAGAAATGAGATATATTGATAATTTTTCAAATTTTGATCGGAAAACAATTTTAATGAAGCCATTATATGAAACTGATATCAGTAATAATGAAATGAATACTAGATTCAATTGCATATGAGTGCGTGTCATTTCAGATGAGATAAACAACAAAAATATTGCAATTGTTGATGGTCCGATGCACAAGTTATTCTTTTCGAGCATTTTCATGAATATTTCGGAAATAGGAATCGATAAATAATAAATATAAACTAATAAAGTAAAAATATCTGTAAATTGAGCTAGTTGAAGCTTCGTATTGACTATGATAGGCGTGAAACTAATTAATGCTATAAGTGCAACCGTAAAAATGACGTAACAAATGTGAAAAACTGTTGGAGATTTCTTATTTGGCCGTTTTGGAATCATAAATGTAATATTTGAATCTAATAAAAGTATTAGAGGTAGAGCTGATGCGAAACAGCCAGCAGCAAAATAAAAAATAAAACCTAATGAAGAAATTTTTGTAACATAATTGCCAGTCAAGCTTGCTATAAATACGCATGCAATCTTTATTATTGATTTCATATGGATAAAAACAGTATTAGTCTCTTTATTAAAATCATCAAAGCCGATTTCGTAGTCATCAATGAGTAAGTCGCCAAAATATAAGCCGAAACCATCAAGAAATGCGCAAAGAATATGAATTCTCAATGATTTTGAATTTCTAATGAAAGATGAACTTAAAAACAGAACTGATGAAAATGCAATCATAAATTTTGCGAATTGAATCTCTGTATCGTTATTAATAATGAGTTTAATGACTTTTTTAATGATAAATGGAATAAAATATAAAATTATCATTTGATAATTGGAATATCCTGAATCATTGTATAGTTGGATAATAAATGGTTGCTGTACTAAAATTCCAAAGTTAAGAATTGCAAAAATAATCAAATGAAAATTAATTTGCTTTAATTTTTTTGGAATTTCGCCGAAAGACTTCAATTTAAATAAAATTACTGATGAAAAGAATGCTAATGCTCCAGCTGCATAAGAATATTTCGTAATAATTGTAGCTGGAGATTGCATTGATATGAAAGAAAAGTGACAAAAAATAGGGTCTTTATCCTTTATTTTTTGGGGTGGATCATTTGAAGTAAAAAAAGTGCTAAGTTCCGATATTTCATTTTTATATAAAATTATTGTTATTCACAACGAGCACAGCATATATGAGTTATTTTTAAATTGAAATGATGGTATCAATTCAATTTCAATGATTGGTCTCCTCTTTGGAGTAGCATCAGCGAAATCTTTATACTCAACATTATATGATGTAGAAAACGAAAAGCCATATGTCGTTTTATTTGTAACACCGAAAAATGAATACGTCGATCAATATGAATCTGAATTTAATAGTACACGCGATGATCTTGGTGATATTTGCAATTTCATAAAGGTTGATGTCAATAAAGAGTTATTATTAGGAACACGTCTTCGTATTATTTACACACCAGTTATTTATGTATTTTGGCAAGGCAAAGCTCATTTCTTCCCGAACACAGAAGTTACAAAAGATAAAATTTACTCATTTATTGCACAAATTATTGGTAAATCCGTTCCAATGCTTAAAGAAACAGATATTGCAACAAAGAAACCACTTGTTGCAATGTTTACAAAGCGTCTGAAGGCACCAACAGCTCTCTCATTCGCTCAATTCAACCTCTCCCTTACAGATATTAGATTTGCTTGGACTAATAACAAGAAAGTTATTGATGCATTCAGAGTAAATGATATTCCATCAGTTTACTTCTTCAAGGATGGTATCAGAAAGAAATATGATGGTCAAACAGACGCTAAGAAGTTCATTGAAGAAATCCGTAAACACTTTAATGTTACGGAGCTAAATCAGGCTGAGAAGGACGCTATTAAGCAAGCTAGATTTGAATTATAAAGCATGCGTATAAATGACTAAACATTATGGTTTTATTTTAATATAATTCTTTTTTCTAATGAAATTCTAGCTTAAATATAAGATAAATAATATCCACATATACTTTAAAATACCAAGCAAATGAGATGAAAAACAATTCATTAAAGAATTTCTTTTTATGCATGAATTTGTTGCATTCGAATAAGAATATCAATGAGATAATATAAATTGTCATATGTTAGATTAATTCTATTGATATAACTTCATCAATTCAACAAACAATTGAGAAAGAATTTGTATTTTTAAAATGATTAATTAATATCCGATCAATTCCATATGAAAACTCAACTATAATGATCGCTTAATATCTTATATGTTTTATAAAGCCCAATATTAACTCAATTGAAGAAACGCATTCATATTCCAACATAAAATGTGATTTGGATAGCAAACAAAATATTAACAAAACTGTTTTGTGATGAGTAAACAGATATTTTCTGCTTAACTGGCTAAATGAAAAAAATTTTTGTGGCTAACGCATTTCTAAAATCCGTGTAAGATTTGAGACAAAGTTAAAAAAATTCAATAACTATCTCTGCAATAGCTGATAGTTATATTTTTATGTCAAAAGAAAATTAACGCATTTGATTTCATAATAAACCGCCATTAACGTTTCGCATTCATTCATGGATCGTAGAGGCGCCCCATCGAGCACGACCGCTACTAATATTGCAGGATCGAAGGATATCCAAAAGCTTTTCCTTCATATGATCTCTTCTCAACTTAACCAAAAAGCACAAATCAAAGGCAAATCAATCGCGAAACAAATGAACCAATCTAAGCAATATACACTCGCTGCAAGATTTGTTGGCAATTTCTTATTTGAAAATGGAATGATGAAAACTCTTCAAACCGCAAATGTTGAAACCGGCGGATTAATCAAAACAAATCAATTACCAACACCAATTGCTCGTGATTTCAGGTTTAATTCAGAGAAAAACTTCTTTAAGACTCTCGTTTCTAAAACACGTCCACGTTTAGAGCCACCAACACCACTTCCAGACAATTCTACTGCTTTTGTCGAATCAGTTGCCGAATCCTATTCCGCAGCTCCAGTTCGCCATCGCGGTATTGAGAAATCCGAAGATCGCTCTCATCGCCATCATCATCATCGCGAGCCAGAGCCAGAGCGTCATCACCACCACTCTCGCCCAGTTACACGCGATATCCCGAAGAAGTCCACCCATCATCGTACCCACCATCGCGAACCAGAACCAGTATCTTACACAGAAACATACGAAACAGCTCCACGCCGCCATCATCATCACTCATCAGGCCACCATCATCAGCACCATCGCCAGCCAACATACTCAGAGTCCTATGTTTCCACAGAAACATACGGAGCCGTTAAATCTCGCGGAATCGGCAAGAAGGCTCCAAAGAAAGTCCAGCAGCCAACTGGAAAACTCACATTCAAGGAGCGCGTAGCACGTCTTCTCATGAAGAACAATCTTGCAGTCGAAGTTTCTCTCAATTACGAATATCTCGGCGATCCAAATGCATCTACAGCCTACTATCCAGCAGAGCCAGTTGGTTCTTACATGCCACCAGCTGAAAAGAGTACTACAAATAACTCAGAGGAATACTACGAAGAAGATGGCTCCGAATACTATTATTCCAAGTCAGCCAAGTCCGCTTCTACAAAGAAGTCAACACCAGCACAGTCTACAACACAACCAACAACTACAACAACAACCACTACAAAGGCCGAACCAGAAGAAGAAGAGGATCATGAGGAAGAAGACGAGGAAGAGGATGAGGAGGAAGATGAGGAAGAAGAGGAAGAAGACGCAGGTGAAGAGGAAGAAGGCGTAGAAGAGTAAGAAATAATTTTTTTTATTATATATTTTTTTTATTTAAGAAATAAGAGGAAGTAAATGTGAATTTTTATTTTATCTAATATACATGGTTTTTATATCAATAGAATAAAATGAAATTTAATTTTAAATTTGATCAAATATAAATTATTGAATATTTTATCTAATTTAAATCAATATCAAAAATTAAAAGAATTATCTGCTTTATTTCAACTAAATAATAATTTTCTTTATCAAAACTATAAAATTTGAATAAAATATTCATAAAAAATAGTGTTTTTTATCTTGCTTTAGATCAAAAATACCTAGTCCGATTTTTGGTTTTCTCAATGGAAATATCAAACTTTGATCAATTTGTTCTCCTCTCTTAATCACAATGATTGATTATTAATGATTATGAAATTTCAATTTGTTGATTGGATACTAATTTAAATTAAGCCATATCAATATATTGAATAGAAGCCAGGCATAGTGGTGCTGATTATGTGGTGGAAGGAAACAATACTATACTCATATCACATAAAGCATATAGTGCTTATTGATGAATATTAGCTCAAGATGCAAAAGAACTAGCTCAAGAACCTGAATATCATTTATATTATGCTGATTTCATTGCGATGAAAGAGAAATGAACTATACATCATTATTCACTTACATGTCTTAGTAAATATCAAACATCACAAATAGTATGTTCATGGATGTTAATAGAGCTCTTTCTTTCACAAAAGGAAATGTGAAAAAAGGCTAAATAACTTACTATTTGCAAAAAGCCAATTAATACGGTATAGTTATGAAATTTCATTATATAATTATCAAATTTATTCATGATCACAAATGATCATCATATTCAAGGAAAATGCAATGCATCATACTTAATATCTAGAAAAACTATGCTGCAAACTGATTTCTGCTATAGAATCAAAGGTAGAATTTAAAAAAGTGCCCAAATTTATTGATTCAAGACTGGCGTATGTACTCCAATTATGCATTTTGACTAAAAAACTTAGTTTTGTATCCAATGATGAATATTATGAAGAAATAGATTCCATTCTTTAATCAATCTAACAGATAGTTGAAAATGATATAGCATCTTACGAGTTATTTGAAAGAACAGGAAAATGAGTATGATGGCATGAAAAATAAATGACAATAAAATTCCGTTAATAAAATTCGATTAATTTTCTTTTTGGAGTGAAAATTTACCTGTTCTGGTCAATAGAACTTCTTTTGTATAATCGCTTTTGGAATTGTATCAAATTCATAAAATTTATTGTTTTTATTCCTCAATCGATAACATGAAATGGGCAGAAAGGTTTGGAGTTCCCAAATTGCTATCGAATTGTTATTCCGAATTCTGATAGTTTATTTCATTGACCAAAATAACAGAAAAATTTTTTTGGATGATTTTCGAAAGGATTCTGCTAGGGCTGTACAAGATTTAAAAAAACATTGCCGGGTTACCGTAGAGGCCTAAAAAAATCGCGCCTCGGCGGCAAGCCGCCTCGGCATTAAGAATGCGCATCTAAATTTTTATATGTCCTTCTTTCTTTTATGTTTCCCTTCCCTTCCTTTTCTTTTTCTTTTTTTCCCTCCTCTTGCTCTCATTTACCTTTTTTTTCCTTTTCTCATCATTTTTCAAAATTTTAAATTTTTATCAAAAATCTTGCCTATAAAAGCAGACTATGGAACCTTTTAATGCCTCTTAATCAATATTATACAGCATAAAGCATATTAAATGAAAGTAATTACGTATAAATTTATTTTATTATCTTATTTATTAATTCTTTAGCATGTATTGTTTAATATTAACTTTTCTGTACATTAAATATGATATCTCCAAAGTATGAATGCCTTGTAACGAAACGAAAACTTAATTTTATGTTGAATATTTGTCACAAACATTAGATTATTAAAATATATGTTGGATATCCCTTAGTATGAGACTTCATGACTCTTGTAGTCTAACGTGAGCTTTGGATTGCAAGCTCTGTGGTTAACGAACATAAATTAATTGTAAAGTTTTCAAAATTTTTCATCGTTTCTATCAGCATCTATTTTTCCTTTAAAATAATATATTTGTATGAATACAATATTTAGTAATTTTTTTATTTCCCATAATTTCATTCAAAATTTCAGAAAAAATTAATTTCTATTCAATATTATTTCAGCTTCAAAACACTTCATTCTTATAGATGTTGATTCACTAAAGTGTGATACTCAATGTCTTATTTCAATGAAAATTGTTCTGCAAATTTATTTCACTTTTGACCTCACTTTTTCCGTAATTCAATTTTTTACTTTTAATATTTTAGATCTTCATAATATCATTTGAAAAATTAACCATATAAAAAAATCAAGTTAACAATTCACTTTTTCCGTAATTCAAAAATCAAAAATATAAATAATATATCTTTTTATCAAATATTATTATTATATTCTATGAAAAATGAGGTCCGGAAATTTTGCGGATTCCCGTAACTCAATTTTACGGAAAAAGTGCAGTAAACTATTCAAAATACGGAAAAATTGGTGTAAACTAATGATTTTACGGTAAAATCACGGAAAGTCCCGGAAGAATATATGTGCCTATATGAAATTATACAAAAATGAATCAAACGCATTTTAAAAGATTGTTCTTGTATTATAAATGCTATTCGCAGATTTATTAGTTGAAGAAAATTACCAAATTTTTGCCGATTTACAAAAAATGATTTACAAAGCATATTTTTATAAGGCTTTAAAAATCTTTAAAATGTGACCGGTGACGGAAATCCATGGTAACCAACCGCGGTTCCCGTTTGGAATGCCATAGATTCTGCTTATATAGAATGAAATATAATTCTTGAATAAATTATGCTTTTGAATATATTTGAGGGAAATGAAAAAAGGTAACAAAAATTACCGAAATTTTGTAAACTTTATAAAAATAAAATAATAAAAGTTTATTTTATCAAAACTTTTCTTTCGGCTTTTTTTAATTTACTAATTGTTCAATAGAAGATAATGACAAAGATTAAGAATGGGAAGGATCCTTCCAACCCAATCATTGTCTTTGACCAGGATAAACCTGATGAACAAGCGCCGATTGAAATGTGTTATCGACAACCATCTTTCATACGACTACAAGGTGATCCAATTCCAAAAGGATTCGATTCACTCGATGAATTTCAAGCAGAACATGAAATCGTTAATAATTTAACCGAAAATTTGATTCGTTAACGATTTCAGAAGTTTAAGGATTGCCTAATTGTTAAGGGTGCACACGAGAGGATCATGTAAACTTCAGAATTTAGAACCTTATTTTTAGGCATTATCTTGGCTACCTATTTAGGCTCGAAAAGCAAAAAATATCACAAAATACAACTTGACTCCATTATGACCCTTTCATGGAGGTAGTTTTTATCCGCTAGTATTTTCCCTTTGAATCTCTTTACAATTCGAAATCAAATTCAAACCTCAGTAGAAGAAAGGAAGAATCGACTTACTACGGTTGTAATACGAATAAATACATATATTTAATTATTTTTATTTACATAATAATTGTTTGAAGCTCATATTCCAACAAATTTTTAAATAAAAACATTAAAATGTTGAAAATGTTCATATATTTTAATAGGGTTTTGGCACTTTATTGAGGAATTACTACATACATAGTCGAACTGAACTTGATATTTTGAAATTTAAATTATTTATCAAAATTAAAATTTAACTTGAAATTTATAATTATTTAGTCATATTTTGCATAATTCTAAGTAGATTTTGTAAAAAAATCAAGAAAGAAAAATTTTAATGTGCTTTATTTTTTCTTTTTTATAATAATACATATTATTATATAATTAACATATTCATAATGTTTCACCCTTTCAAAAATATAATCCTCCTCCTCTCAAATAGACGTACATACGGGTGGCCTCTTTTTTCAAAAAATTAAAATTTGAAATTTTGGGCTCAAATATTAGAGATTTTTTCAACCTTCAACGATATATGTTGTCTATATCAGACCTCCTTTCTTTTTGATACTTAACATTGTTCCTAAATCTTAGCCGTTAAGGCTGTTCTGAAAATATTTTTTTTTCGAAAAAATTCGAAAAAAATTCTTAAAATTCAATAGGGATGCGTTAAACACACCATTTGACCGGGCGTACATTTTTTTTGTTCGCCCAAAAATTTCGCCATTTGAGAAATTCAAAAATTAAAAATAAAATTTTAATCTTGATTTTTTTATTTTCGTGATTTTTTTGAAACTTACATAAGCGATAAAATACTTTTTTTAAGTAATCGTTTATTATATATAAATATATCTTAATAAATTTAATTCCTTAAGGTAGAGCGTGTTCAAATTTAAAATCTCATACAATATTTTCTTAATGGCGTATTTTTCTGAGGTCGCCCAAATAAAGGCGAATTCAAAATTGAGAACTCCAAGGCGTATGGCGAGTATTCAAAAAGTACGCCACTTACAAAATATTGAATGTGGATTATCAATTTTTTGGCGTGTTCAATTTCAAATTTTGATATTTATGTTTATTTTATTCAGTATAATGCTAAGAATTAAAATATAAAATTCATAGAATTTTTTCTTTGAAAATATTTTACATTTTTATTAGACCACTCCTAGAATAGTCATCAGGTTATCCTCAGATCATCCTCAGACTACTCCTTATCAGATTACTCATCATCCTCAGACTACTCCTCAGATCTTCCTCATAAGACTCCTCCTCAGATCTTCCTCCTGAGACTACTCTTCAGACTACTCCTTAGAGTCCTCCTCATCAGACTAGTCCTGAGACTAGTCCTCAGACTACTCCTGAAACTACTCCTCAGATTATCCGCAGACTCCTCCTCAGATTATCCTCAAACTACTCCTCAGTCTAATCCTCAGACTCCTCCTCAGATTATGCTCAGATTATCCTCAAACTCCTCAGATTATCCTCAGACTACTCCTCAAACTACTCCTCAGATTATCCTCAGACTCCTCCTCAGATTATCCTCAAACTCCTCAAGCTCCTCAGACTACTCCTCGGTCTAATCCTCAGACTCCTCCTCAGATTATCCTCAAACTCCTCAGATTATCCTCAAGCTCCTCAGACTATTCCTCGGTCTAATCCTCAAACTCCTCCTCAGATTATCCTCAGACTCCTCCTCAGATTATCCTCAGACTCCTCCTCAGATTATCCTCAAACTCCTCAGACTACTCCTCAAACTACTCCTCAGTCTAATCCTCAGACTCCTCCTCAGATTATCCTCAAACTACTCCTCAGATTATCCTCAGACTCCTCCTCAGATTATCCTCAAACTCCTCAGACTACTCCTCGGTCTAATCCTCAGACTCCTCCTCAGATTATCCTCAAACTCCTCAGACTACTCCTCGGTCTAATCCTCAGACTCCTCCTCAGATTATCCTCAAACTCCTCAAGCTCCTCAGATTATCCTCAAGCTCCTCAGACTACTCCTCGGTCTAATCCTCAAACTCCTCCTCAGATTATCCTCAGACTCCTCCTCAGATTATCCTCAAACTCCTCCTCAGATTATCCTCAAACTCCTCAGACTACTCCTCAAACTCCTCAGACTACTCCTCAAACTCCTCAGATTATCATCAAACTCCTCTTCAGATTATCCTCAGACTCCTCCTCAGTCTAATCCTCAGATTCCTCCTCAGATTATCCTCAAACTCCTCAGACTACTCCTCAGATTATCCTCAAACTCCTCAGATTATCATCAAACTACTCCTCAGTCTAATCCTCAGACTCCTCCTCAGATTATCCTCAGATTATCACTTTACATATATATATATCGATAACTAAATAATTACTTATTATACTTTCTTTATTTTTTTTTTAATTTTAAAATAATATTAATATATCTTTCTACGTTTAATGATGAAAAGAGAAAGAGGAGTAAAAAGAGGAAAGAGAAAAGAAAGAGAGAGAGAAAAAAAAAAGAGAAAGAAAGAAAGAAAGAAAAAGAGGACGGCGATAATTTTGTATTGTTTTGTTATTCGGCAGAATGGCGGCTACTTCGTACCCGCCATTCGGCCCCAAAAATGGCGTATTATTCTATTTTTAAACGGTCATGGCGTAAAACCGTCGCATGAGTGCGGGACAAATTTGCCAGGTGTCACTTTTCAATAACCTTAAATTACGCTTTTCTAATTTAAAAAATAACCTTAAATTATATTTGAAGAAATTATGTCTATGATATATGTTTTATGCTAGAATCTTGGAGTTTTCATGCACTACACAAGAGCTCCAAGGTTCCAAGAGTGAATGCTCAATAGCAATTATAGAGATGTACCTTTTCAAAATGACTTTTACTGATTAAATTTAATCAATAGAAGACATTTTGAAAAGGTACCTCTACAATTAGATATACAAGAGATTCAAAGCTTCATTTCAGATAGATTTGAAATTTTGAAACTCTTGGTAGATTTTGAGTGAATGCTGACAATCATCTTTGAGAAGGTTTTCTTTAAGAAAACCTTCTCAAAGAGGTTTCTCAGGAGCCCTGAGGCTCCCTTTCGTAATGATTGGGAGCCTTGGGGCTCCTGAGACGAAGAATGGCTTCGCCGAATCTTTGATCAGCAGAGGCCAAATGAAAAGGCCTCTGCTGATGGATTCTCAGGAGCCCTGAGGCTCCCTTTCGTAATGATTGGGAGCCTTGGGGCTCCTGCAGCAGAGTATCGCTCCGCTCCATTAAATTTTTTAAAAAAAGTGCCATGTGGCAAATTTGTCCTGTTCCCCATCTTTATTATTTTTTTATTCCTTTGAAAAGTGACCCTGGATAGTTTGTCCCTTTCTCCCGTCGCATCCCTAAATTCAAAAATCCCTTAATTCCTGAGGATTTTGGAAAAAAGTTTTTACATGAACATGTGTATATTATATGAAGTATATTGATAAGGTAAAAATCAAATTTTATTGCATATTCATCGAGAAAATAAACTAACGAATCCCTCAAAATTGAGAGGGTAATCCTCCTCCTCTCAAATAAACGTACATACGGGTGCACCCTTAAAGTTGATTCGGTCCGAGATTCTTTTGAGCCATCAACAAATATTCAAGAACTTTTACAAAAAAGAAATGCAAAAAAGTGGGAGCAATGGGCTACGATCCAAAATCTATCGATCTAGCTCTAAACAGACATAATTCAGCAGCAACATTCAATTACGGCGGAAACATACAGATAAATGCAGCAGGAAAGATGTGCTCATCTTTTTCCCAGCTAGATTCATTGAAGTATTCGAAACCTGTTGTCGAACCTTTACCTTTGCTACCATTAATCGAGGTTATCGAAGAGGAGGTTCCTCAAGAGACTAGCAAAAATCAGCTATTCAGATCTCTCAGTTCGGGGCATAACTTTCCAGTTGTAGAATTACCTAATTCGCTAAACCAAGTTGAAAATACAATAGAGGAAGAAGATAAAGAATATTCAGACGAACAATACTTATCAATACTTGAAAACGGAATGACTGTGCACGTCGCTGAAATTCTAAAGCACGAACCAACGACCATTGTTTATAAAGTGTTATGCGGAGCGCAATTCCCCGACCTCCCATATGATATCGTCAACATAATTACAGACGAATTGAATTACTATACTTCGGAATGTCTTGAAAATGGACATGAATTGGATTCATTTCACGTCCAATCTTTAATAGAAAACATAAGAAAGACAGCGGATAAGTCTCTAATGCCTGGTTATCCGGCAAATATGAGCGTAGAAACATATAAAACAAGGTTACTCGAGATTTACAAAGATTATGAGAAAAAAGTCGAATACTGGGACACACAGAGCTTTTTGAACGAAGATTATAAGGAAAGAGCAATCAAGAAACTCAAGCAAGCGCCAAAAGGAAAGGCTCCAAAGTCTCCAGAAGATGAAATGAAAAAGATTAATTTTAACTACGAAAAAACAGAGTTTAGTATTAAGAAAGGACGTTCTGATGACTTGAATGCACTCAAAGCAGCAATGGAACGTCTTAAAAACGGTAATCCAAACGATCCACTTCTTAATAACCCTCCTGTCAATGCAAGAACTGGACTTTCTCGGAATACAGGGCCAACTAAGCTTAATAAGCTTAGAATTTCTAACTCTACGCTTCCAAAAATCGTTAGACCACAAACTCACAACAAAATGTTGCGAAACTAGGCAGAGTATCTATTGTTTTATATTACATGTGTTTATAAATTATTGTTTGATATTTAATTTTACATGAAATTCAAGATGTTTTTCATCTATTTTTTTTATTTCATAGCAATCAATATTTCGCATATTGTATTTTTCTATGCTACTTCAAAATAATATGATTTAGCTTATGGTGAACAAATTTACACCAGAATTCAACCATCAAAATTTAAAAAATTAAACAAACATTAGATTTCATTAAAAATTTTGATGTGAAATAAAGAAAGTATGATATTTCATAAGTCCCAATCTAATAATTACATTAGATCTGAAATTTGTATTTAATATTTATTACGCATTACTTCACAATTCTTCACAAAAATTCAATTAATCCGGATAATAAAATAAATCATAAGATTCTAATAGAGTTTTTTTGATGCCAAACAAGTACGACAGATGTTTGTTGTTTTTCAACTCAACCACAAATACGTGTAAGAAAAAATCGTTGCTAAAAAATATTTTTTACAAGAGTATTTTTTTATGAACAACAATACGCTTAAGCCTAAGAATATTGTTGCTCCTAAATATGTATATATGGATGGAGATAGAACAGAGATTTATGTCATTTGCTTATCAATCGTTAATGGTCTCTCAATGGATCAAATTGATCCAACATTATACCCACAGATACAAGTAAATCTAAAGCAGGATCGCGAGAGATACCAAGTTCAAGGAAACAAAAGTGCTGTTGATCAAATTAACAAATCTTTAGCTTTTATTTATGATTACAATATTGAGCAACAAAGAAAAGATGAAAAAATGAGATACTTAAGCGAAATTGCTTTTACAGATGCTGACGTTCAGCAGTGTCTTCAGGATGTAATCGAAGGCAAAGAAGTTGATTTGAGAACTCCTCAATTTAGAAAAGCGTTAATGCAGAAATTTAGAACTGCAAAGTACGAAGCAATACAAAAGACAGATTATGTACTTGCAGATGCAATTGAACGAGGTATCAACGGTTTAATTGTTTTTGAAAATCAAGAAAAAGTTCTTAAAGCACAAGAAAGACTCTTAAATCAGAAGAGCAAGCGCATGCAAAGAGTGCAAAATAGTATTGATCGTAAAGAAAAATCATGGGATATCGAGATACAAAATACAGAAAATCAAAAGAACAGAGAGATCGATAACCTTAAGAAATGCAAGGAACGAGATCTCAAGAGGTTTGAAAGTGAATGGGCAAAATCCCCTAAACAGCCATTTAGACCTTCAACTTATTTAATTGACGCAAAAAGAAAAGTCGATTTTTACAAGAATCTTGAGCGATGCGATGCTCTTGATGAAGCTCTTAAAGCTGCAAATGATCTTGAGGCTAAAGAAAAGAAAGATTACCAAGACCATCTTGATTTAGAGTATAATAGAAGATGTGGCGATATTGAAAGCAAGTATGATAATAGAATATCTGAAAAAGAAACGTTTTATACAAATACTCTTCAAAGAATGCGTAATCAGAAAGAATCTGATATAAATTCTCTCAAAAAAGGTCTTGCGTTCTTAGAATCCAGACATTTAATGGGCGTTGATGAGTCAATGATAGTTGTTGAAGATAAATCCTCTGATGAAGAAGATTCTTCTCAACTTCCCCCTTTATCTCCAAAACCAAACACAAGTTCACAACCTTCTCCACCTAGAGAAGCTAGAACCACTCAGAGATCACCACGAAGAACACCACATACAGCTAGAACTCCAAGATCTCCACGTTCACCAAGAATTGCAAATAATGAACCAGAATATCAGCTCACAGAGAGCCGGGCAAAGTTTGTTCAGAGAAGAGCTTATAATTACCTTCTTTATACAAGAGCTAACGTTAAATCTCCATCAAAAAGAGTTGTTGATTAATGCTATTATTTTGTTTGATTATTAAATACGTTAATTATTGTTTAATTTTTGCTTATTGAAAGATTGCCTTTATAATTTTTTTATAAATTTTCCAAATTACAATCTTTGCTCAAAACTTTAAATGAGAATCATCCATGAAGGAAATGTCAACATTTCAATTTCCCTAATGGTCTTATTTAGTAAAAAAAAGCTATTTTTGTAAATTCAACAACACATATTTCAATTGGACGTTCAAATTCCTTCCTCTATAGAACAATTCTACATAGCGACTACCAATGTAAATAATTCTATTGATAAATTCTTTAAATAAAGCATCTAATGAGACATTTCAAATTATACATTAAAGTATGAGCATATAGGTAGTATAATAACAAGACTTATCATTTGTTTAACACCATTTGCAATTGAAAGTGTAATACATAATAAAGTTTTTATTCCGATTAAAAATTGGAAAACATTGCAAAATTAAATATCATTGTTTCTTTTCTCAAAGCTTTTTCTGGAGTGTAAAGCATTTTACCTGGATATAACGTACCAAAGAACAATAATTTTGAAAGAACTAAATATCGATCGCTTTGTTTCTTGTTAATATCAATGTTTTTCATTTTAAACTTAGAGTAATTCCTTTTTTGTAGGGGAAGGTTATAGTGAACAGCCCAATTTTTAGGTTCTACTCCTATTTGACCGAGATTTATAATATCAGAATCTTTCGAAGTGCGATCATCAATAAGTATCCAATTGCCTGGTGATGCCTCACCAAATAATTGATAATGGTTTATATATCTTTCTATTTTAGAATACGTAATTGTATAACTTTCAAGATAAACTTTTGAAGAAAGAAAATCAAAAGTTATTTCCATAATCGGATCATTAGCACGAGTAAGAAATCTCAAGCCTGCATATTTAGTAGGGTTCAAAAAAATAGAATCAATTGTTGTTCTCCCTGAACCAGAACTTTGATCATCGATGTATATGGAACTTGAGTTTTTAGCAATTAAAAATCCGGCTCTTGTCAGGTTCTCTTCGTCATAAACTTCTCTCATTGCTGCAAACAAATCATTGAAATTTTTAATATCATTTGGATATGGTCTATATGTAACATTGATTGCAGAAATCTTTTTTAGTGAAGCGGTAAAGCACCAAAAGTACAAGAAAGCCATATTTTGTTTTGTTTTTTCAATAAAAAAATTCTAACTTAAATTTGTATTTTTGCGGATGTTGCTATTTTTGCTTTAGAGATTAAAATCCGAATATTTGAATAGAGTTTTCAATTTCTTCCATGGCAAAAGCAATGTTATAGACCGAAAATAGATTTTTTCGGTTTTCTCTTCAAATAATTGAAAGAATGATACTATTATAGGTTTATTATATTATATAGCATATAATCATGCTATAGCCGAAAATTATAAGTTTTGAGAAGATTGAATATAACACAAATAAATTTGAATGTAAGTTAAATTGCTTGTTGTTTTAATAGCTATTTAATGAGAAATCCAATATTGCAAAATTCAAATTGATATGATTGAAAAGAACAGAAAAAGTCATTCTTTTCAATTCGAATGTGTTTCATTGTATTATAATTATATGGCAAATAAGATATTTAAATTTGATTTTTGAAGGAAAATTCACAAAATTGAATAAATTCAAATAATTTTTATTCAAAAATAAACTAGTTATTTGAGTTTAATACTAATTATCTATTCAAACTACAAAGTTTGTAATTTAAAATATTTTGTGAGATCAGATTGAATTAATTCAAGGTTCTTTTCAATTAATATAAATGACCATATTACGCATTTTCGAACATTTTAAACCAAATATATAAAAATGGGAGACGAATGTTAAATTTGCTACACATGGGGGAGTTGTCTGCAAAGTTTTAGTCTTATCTCTAACAAAAAATTAATTTTTAAAAAATGACCGAATACGTTTCACAGCGAGAAAAAATAAAAGGCAAGATAGAATTTTCTAGACATAAAGAAGTTGTTTACCGAGTTTTAGCTCTTATCTCTAACAAAAAATTAATTTTTAAAAAAATGACCCGAATACGTTTCACAGCGAGAAAAAAAAAAAGGCAAGATAGAATTTTCTAGACATAAAGAAGTTGTTTACCGAGTTTTAGCTCTTATCTCTAACAAAAATTAATTTTAAAAAAATGACCGAATACGTTCACAGCGAGAAAAAAATAAAACTGTACACTGATTTTCATTTTCATTTCCAGTCAATTTACTTATTATTTTTTCTTTTTTCATTTTAATTATAAATTATTTCGTAATACGTTTATTTACGTTACCATTTTCTTTATTCTTTTGAATTCCATACTAGACACTTATAGAATATTTTGATTGTTAACGTACTTCATTAGAATGAATCCTTACAAAGGGTATGTCGATCGAATTTACCTAATTGGTATTTCCAATCAGATTGAAGAAGGTAAAATGACATGGGAAGAAGCTTGCACCCATGTTCCCATCGCCCCAACCCTTCAATCAAATGATTTCAAATATTTAGATGTTTCAAAATCTTTTTTACAAAATCAATTTAGCTTACAGAATATCCCATTGCCTAAAGGCAAGAAAGGTCGTAGGGTCAATCCCTACGACCAAATCAAAGCTCTTGCTGTGATACATGACCACTGGGCCTTTCCCTGTGGTCAAACAAAACAATGGAAACGTTTGAAATTACAACAAATTGATGTATCTTATAGAGAAGTACGCAGATACTTCAAAGAAAATCATTTCACCAAGACGCGATTAGAGCATGCCGGGCCAGAAACAGCAGTAAGATATTGGGCGCTTTCACCCAATCTTATCTGGCACGCAGATGTTCATTATTTTAGGGGTGTTCGTGGCCAGTATATTTATGGCATAATCGACGATTTTAGCCGCAAAGTCCTAGCGTGTATACAAATACCAGATATGCTGGCAGCGACGACAGCGAACGTTGCGGCTTCCGCCTTCATTGAATTTGGCGCCCCTTATTGTTTCTGGACCGACAACCGTTCAGAAAATAGGAGCACCTTTCAAGATCTACTTGATCTTTGAGGCGTCCAATGGCGGCATACAGACTCTCATTCTCCCTACCAAAATGGGAAGATTGAGAGATTCTGGCCGAAATTGGAGCGCTGCCAAAGCATTCAGGCTATTCCCGCCTTTATTTGGGAGTATAATAATAACACACCGCATGAAGATCTCCCAATTAATCCATTAACTGGAACAAATTACACGCCAAATCAAATGTATCAGCTGAAACCGAAATACACAAATGCAGATACAGAAAGGTTGTGGCAAATATGGGATACAGATACAGGCATGACCGCTGTTGACAGATTCACAGCGTAATAATAAACATAATTTTTTAATTTCATTTTTAACAAGTTTTTTAAATGTATGTAATGAATAATTCATTAGAATATGATAATGCACATTGTAACAGAATAGAACAATCACCAAATTTTTTTTGAAATTAAAAAATAAAAGTAAAAAGTATAAAGTAATCTAACCAAATAAGATATTTAAAAGAATTTTGGAAAAAACAGAATAAGGATAATGATATTATTTTAGATACACAATCGATGTACTGAAGAATAATCCGGTAAATGATGATATAAAATTAGATTATTTTACAAGTAGCTAAAAGAATAAAACTATAATATAAAATAAATGAAGTTTAATGAAACAATAAAGGTTAAATAAATAATAAAGATTTTTATTTTATATCAGTTTTGAGAAGAAGTAACAGCTGACAATTGGTAGACAACTTCTTTATGTCTAGAAAATTCTATCTTGCCTTTTATTTTTTTCTCGCTGTGAAACGTATTCGGTCATTTTTTTAAAAATTAATTTTTTGTTAGAGATAAGAGCTAAAACTCGGTAAACAACTTCTTTATGTCTAGAAAATTCTATCTTGCCTTTTTTTTTTTCTCGCTGTGAAACGTATTCGGTCATTTTTTTTAAAAATTAATTTTTTGTTAGAGATAAGAGCTAAAACTCGGTAAACAACTTCTTTATGTCTAGAAAATTCTATCTTGCCTTTTATTTTTTCTCGCTGTGAAACGTATTCGGTCATTTTTTTAAAAATTAATTTTTTGTTAGAGATAAGAGCTAAAACTCGGTAAACAACTTCTTTATGTCTAGAAAATTCTATCTTGCCTTTTATTTTTTTCTCGCTGTGAAACGTATTCGGTCATTTTTTTAAAAATTAATTTTTTGTTAGAGATAAGAGCTAAAACTCGGTAAACAACTTCTTTATGTCTAGAAAATTCTATCTTGCCTTTTATTTTTTTCTCGCTGTGAAACGTATTCGGTCATTTTTTTAAAATTAATTTTTTGTTAGAGATAAGAGCTAAAACTCGGTAAACAACTTCTTTATGTCTAGAAAATTCTATCTTGCCTTTTATTTTTTTCTCGCTGTGAAACGTATTCGGTCATTTTTTTTAAAAATTAATTTTTTGTTAGAGATAAGAGCTAAAACTCGGTAAACAACTTCTTTATGTCTAGAAAATTCTATCTTGCCTTTTATTTTTTTCTCGCTGTGAAACGTATTCGGTCATTTTTTTTAAAAATTAATTTTTTGTTAGAGATAAGAGCTAAAACTTTGCAGACAACTCCCCCATGTGTAGCAAATTTAACATTCGTCTCCCATTTTTATATATTTGGTTTAAAATGTTCGAAAATGCGTAATATGGTCATTTATATTAATTGAAAAGAACCTTGAATTAATTCAATCTGATCTCACAAAATATTTTAAATTACAAACTTTGTAGTTTGAATAGATAATTAGTATTAAACTCAAATAACTAGTTTATTTTTGAATAAAAATTATTTGAATTTATTCAATTTTGTGAATTTTCCTTCAAAAATCAAATTTAAATATCTTATTTGCCATATAATTATAAATACAATGAAACACATTCGAAATTGAAAAGAATGACTTTTTCTGTTCTTTCAATCATTCAATTTGAATTTTGCAATATTGGATTTCTCATTAAATAGCTATTAAAAACAACAAGCAATTTAACTTACATTCAAATTTATTTGTGTTATATTCAATCTTCTCAAAACTTATAATTTTCGGCTATAGCATGATTATATGCTATATAATATAATAAACCTATAATAGTATCATTCTTTCAATTATTTGAAGAGAAAACCGAAAAAATCTATTTTCGGTCTATAACACCATGGCAAAAGCAATTTTCAATGAACCGAAATTGATCGAATAAAATATTGAGTAAAATCAATATAGAAATTATATCGAAAAAATCGAGGAATTTCCAAGCGGATAATAAATTCTGAAGGCACACAAAATATTCATCAGCAGAAAATGATTTAAAAAATCGTGTTAAATATAATGTTATGTTACTGATTCTAGATATTTAGTTATTTTTCAAAATCTTTACATTGAATCTGACGTATCTGACCGAAATTTTGAAGCATTCTATTGAAAAAGAAAGTTTTCAAAATCTTCTGATTGTACTGATTAAAATGATTTACCTTCATCTTCAAACTATACATTCAATTTTTGTGATAATGAAAACAATTGCTTCATTTTCATTAGTAATTCAACTATAGATATGTTTAGAAATAATATTGATTTGATGTAATTTTTTTTTCAAAACTTTAAAGATTTCCATGCATTTCCTTTTTCCATTTCTTATAGGATCGAAAATTGATGATTCATATCGATCTCATAAGCTCTTAAGTGGAGAAGAGCAGCCCGAATTCCTTCGGCCAGATTATTCACTTGTTATCTCAATGAACAATCAATTATTTACATTTAAGTCTGCAATTGTCGAATCTAGCAAGAGAGAATACGTATACTACAAATGTGATGTTACAATTACATCCGAAAGTAAATTTCTAAATAATTATGGTTTTGGAAAATCTACTTCATCTGGCTTCGGCGGAGCACTTTACATGTATGAATCTGTTTTCCAAATTGTTTCCCCTGATCCAAGTAAAAATTCTATTTTTTCAGGAAATTCAGCAGCTTATGGTGGTGCTTTGTGCTTAGTTTCTACAGCATCATACTTATCAAACGCAGTATTCACATCTAACCAAGCATACAAGCACGCAGGCGCAGTCTACTTCGAAAACAAGTTAATCAGCAACGGACGCCTTTCTAACGTTGTTTAGTTCCTTGGCACATCATTAAAGTTCAGTGGCAACACAGCATCAGAATACGGTGGTGCCATCATGATATATGCTGCGTCAGAAGTTTATATCGAGCGTTCTATTTTCAACAGCAACCGATGCTGTTTTTCCGGTGGTGCCATTCGTCTTATGAATGTTGACAGTCTTAAACTTAACTACGTTGTTTTCTCATGCAACGTTGTTGATGCACACCAAACAGAGCTTCATATCCCATATAAACTTCGTCAAGAGAAAGGCGAAAGTATCGATAATGATTTTTCTAACAAAGTCACATCAACACGATTTGTTGGTCGTGGTGGTGGTGCTATTGGATTCTCTTCTGATGACAAGAAAGGAAATCTCATTAATGGTGCTCAAACATATGAAAAGCGACATTTTGAAACACATCACTGTTGTTTCTACAAAGACACATCAACATACACCGGCCAAACATTCGGTGATGGTGCAGCACACGAGATCTTAATTGATGGATACACGGAATTCATTTCATATGATGATTACATATATAACTTCAATCCTAATGAACTTCCATCACAATCAGTTTCACAAGTTGTTCGCACATGGCTTGAAGACGTCACAAGTATGGTTTTTCTTGGCAATCGATTCAACTCAGATCCAAACACAATTGATCTTTGTTCAGGCAAAGAAGACAAAGAATTGACATATCCAACATCTATTTCATATTCTTACGCGACTATTTCTAACGTCGGTGATAGCACAACAAGTAATGTTGCATCACCAACCGAATACACATATGTTGCAACCGCTATCACAAAACTTCCACAAAAGACAGCAAGCTCACAAACTAAATATAGTTCAGCTAAACTGAGGATTGATTCACCGACAAGTTATTTCAATCCATCATTTGTTTCATTCACTATCCCACCAGCAACACCACACAGCACAGCTCATTCAACACCACATTCAACAGCACATTCAACACCACACAGCACTTTCCACTCTACACCACACTCAACAGCATTTAGTACAGCACACTCAACTCCACATTCTACAGTACATTCCACTCCATTTAGTACTGGCCACTCGACATCACACAGTACATTCCATTCTACACCACATTCCACAGCTCATTCAACACCACATAGTACATTCCACAGTACTCCACATTCTACTCCGCATATTACATATTACTTAACTCCATATAGTACTGTACATTCTACAGCGCATAGAACACCATTTAGTACTTTCCATTCAACTCCATTTCAAACTGCTTTCTCAACACCATTTAGTACAGCACATTCAACAGCTCATTCAACACCTCATAGCACATTCCACTCAACGCCTCATATTACAGTTTATTCAACACCGTTTAGTACTATGCATTATACTGCTCATTCAACTCCATTTAGCACTATGCATTCAACTGCTCATTCAACACCGTTTAGCACTGCACACTCTACGCCATCTTCATCACGTATTGGAACACCATTTATAACAGCTCATTCTACCCCACATTCTACAGCTCATTCAACACCGCATAGTACGTTCCACAGTACTCCACATTCCACACCATACATAACATTCCACTCTACACCACATTCTACAGCACACTCAACTCCTCACAGCACTTTCCATATTACTCCGTTCAAGACAGCATTTTCTACACCACACAGTACAGCTCATTCAACAGCATTTAGTACACCACACTCAACTCCACACAGTACAGCATTTGTCACAGTATTTTCTACACCACATATCACAGCACACAAAACTCCTTTCGACACAATGTCATCAACTCCATTTAATACAGCATTCGAAACAGCTTATTCTACACCATTCATCACAACACATCAAGCACCATACAACACAGTTCACAGAACACCCGATTTAACAGTTGTTTCTATTTCTAAAGAAGAACTATCACCTACACCAGCTGCTACATCCACTCTCAATGCCGAAGGAAACACCACAACTAAGAAACGAAGTATCTGGCCAATCATTGTTGGTGCTATCTGCGGATTACTTCTTCTTGCTCTTATTATTTTCTTCATCATTTATAAGAAGAAGAAAGCCGAAGATGCACCTCAAGAGATTTCTGAAGAATCATTGAAGAGTGTATCTGAAGACGAACATATGGAGACATATATTGACACTAACATTTTAGTAACTAATGAAAATCCAATTTGGACTCAATCAATAGAAAATGGAGATGCATTCGATCTTGATTTCGAAGAAAAAGAATCATTCGCTGGAATTGAAGATCAATATCAAGAGCATTAAACCGCTTTTATTCTTTATTTAATTGTTTTGTACAGAAAATTAAATGGTCTTTTATAGTTTTTGGTTTGATGAATATTGAATGATTATAAAATCTGCATGAAATGGCTGTCATTGCTTCTGCTTTGTGAATGCGAGATCATTGCTTAAACTCAGATAATAGACCAACAGATTTCTTAAACCAAAAAGGAAAATCGATATTAATAGCATTCTCTAAAATTAGAAAGATAAATATAAATTACTTATCATATCAAAATGCAAAAGAAAATTGATGTTAAGATTGAATTTAAAATCGAAAATGAATCCGCATAAAATTTATTGCATGATATTACACCTAAATCTTTCGCTAATGTTCCAAATATTTCGAGTTCTCTTAAACAAAAGTGATAATTTCCCAAAGCATTCCTAGCAGTCTGCATGAATTGAATCTTATAAATTGGGCTCGTTGAAGAAATATTGAAATTACGAAAATCGGAATTGGATATAAAATCGTTTTTTTGATCAATTGTAATCCAATTTGTACCTGTATAACCTTTAACAATCCATGATTTTGGAGTTGATGCTGTTGTTCCCTTTCGTACAACAAAAGTATAGCTATTTATTTTAAAAGAATAACCGTCTAGAAAATAAAGTTCGAGATAAGATGAATTTTGATCAATTGAGCACCAATCATTGTTATCAGTGATACCATCTGTAATATATTGAATTCTTACTGAATTTAAATGTGATGAACTTGGGATAATAAGACATTTATCTTTATAATTATGTAATACACCATTGATATCATCATCACTCTTGGGTTTTAGATATTGTCTTATCACCTATTGACCAATCTTTAAAAAGCAATTTCTAATTTGATTCAAAAAAATCATGAAATTTATATTAATACGTGTTTTTCTTCTCTCCTATGATTTGTCAAAACAATTGGAAGGGATAAAATGTATTCGGGCATATGAAATTCAAGTATTGATACCATTGTAAAAAAAAAGACTTGCATTAACGATTATTTTCCACTCAAAATGGGAATAGCTTGATACTTGCAAGATTCATTCTGGAAACTTATATGCGTAGTTCAGATGACGCATTTACATAACTAGATGATCTTATGAATATTGTAAGAAATCATGGTTATTATTTCAGCTGGGTAAATGCAAGATCATATAGGTTCAACTCAATTCAATTTTTTATGTCAAAAATATTTTCAAATTAATCATGTGTTTTATCATTCCTATTGTAACAAATGACAAACAGATTTCTTAACCCAAAAAGTGAAAATGATACTGATGGTATTCTGCATCATTATAAAGACAAATACAATATTGTTCCAAGCTCAACTAATCTTTATACCCCAAGGATTCAATTTATTACCGATGGTGTTATTAATGATAGTGACTGGTGTTCATATGATAAGGAATTCTCATTCTTTGAGTTAGATTTTCTAAAAGGATATACTTTTTTGTTTTTTGGTTATACATTTGTTGTTCGTTCAAAACTTAGTGGGAAAATCCCAAAATCTTGGAATATCACAGGCTATACAGGTAATAATTGGATTGATATCGATGAAAAAGTGAACTATTTATCTGATTCTGATACATGGCATTTCGATGTTAATTCCACGGGAAATACGTTTAATAAGATCCTGTTTAAGCAAACCGAAGCAAATCTTGCTGGAAATCATCATTTTTGTATTAAAGAATTTGAAGTATTTGGTATCTTAACGAAAAATGGTGATTACTGTTCATATAATCATTATTTAATATATGAATCTTCGTTTTTCAGCAATTTTATTTCTTTAATTTTTAATTTTTATTCAAATTAGAATAAAAGTCTTTTTTTCTATCTTCAAATTTATTTCTATGGATATTTATTCTTATGATATGCTTATTTCAGTGAATATATTGAAATGTTAATGAAAGATATCTAGATTTGAAAAATACCACACGAATAGATATATTATTTTACTTCAATGAAAAGTATATAACTTCATGATAACATTATACTTCATTTTCAAAATATTTTACTTATCATATCAAAATGTAAATGAAAGATGATGTCAAGATCGAATTTAAGACAGAAAATGAATTAGCATAAAATTTATTGCATGATATTACGCCTAAATCTTTCGTTAATGCTCCAAATAATTCAAGTTCGCTTATACAAAAGTGATAATTTCCCAAAACATTCTTAGCAGTTTGCGTGAATTGTATCTTATATATCGGTTCTGTAGCAGAGATAACATTGAAATGACGAAACTTGGAATTAGAGCGAATGCCAGCTTTTTGATCTAAAGTAATCCAATTTGTACCTGTATAGCCTTTAATAATCCATGATGTTGGTACTTCTTCATTTCCCTCTCGTACAACAAAAGTATAGCTATACATTTTAAAAGAATAACCATTTAGAAAATATAGTTCGATATTTGATGAATTTTCATCATTTGAACACCAATCATCGTCATTGATGAGACCATCTGTAATAAATTGAATCCTTGGGGAATATAAATGTGTTGAGCTTGGGATAATAAGATAATTATCAAATATAAAAATCAAAACAAGTGGATATTTTTCAGATTTCCAAAAAAATAGCATAAATTTTTATGAGTAAATATGAAATTCATATCAATATTCAGTAGTTTGATTTGATTTTGTAAAATATAAGTATTCTTATAAGAATTTTGTTTTTAGATTGGAATGTAAACTAAAATAGAGGTTAATAATGATTTAAGTACTGAGAACTGACCAATATAGTGTTCGTTGCATGAGAATAAATCTGAATTCTTTGTCAAAATTCCAAATAAATCTATTTCTCTAATACAAAAATGATAATTTCCCAGTAAATTTTGATCAGTTTGTTTAAATCGAATCTTACTCAATGGTATAGATGCAGAAGTCGTATTAAAATGTCGAAAATCAGTATTAGCTTTAAATTTTATTTTTTGGTCCAAATTAATCCACTCAGAACCTGTATAGCCACTCACAATCCATGACTGTGGAATTTCTTTGTCAGGGCCTCCTTCACGCACAACAAATGTATAGCTATACAGTAATAAAGAATAACCCTCATAAAAGTTTAAGTCAAGGTATGATGATTCCGTATCATTAGAGCACCAATCATTCGCATCAATAACGCCATCAATAATAAATTGGATTCTAGGTGTGTTTCGATTTGTGGAACTAGGAATAATATTGTAGGCGTCTCTATAATGGTGTAGTATCCCATCAATATCATTTTCGGTTTTTGGCTTTATATATTTGCTTGTCAATTATTGGAGCTATTAAGGAATTCCACTCATAATTGTTTTTTTTGTATCCGAAATTTTGACAACAAAAGAAAAAGTCCAAAATTAAAAAATTAATTGCCTACGACCGGAGTTGAACCGGCGACCTTGCGCTTACAAGGCGCACGCAATAACCACTATGCTACGCAGGCTTTACATTTATTCAATTTATTTTTAATAAATCATAAATAATAATGAATTAAGAGATAATCATATATAAGTTTCAATTATGCCCTGATATTAAAACTAAATGGCTGATTTTTTTTCCGGGATATATATACATGTTTAGTTAGTTTACGCAAAATTAGAAAACATAGCAAAATTAAATAACATTTGTTCTTTTCTCTTGACCTTTTGTTCTGTGTAGAGCATTTTTCCTGGATATAATGTACCAAAGAATAACATTTTGGAAAGAACTAAATATTTATCTCCGTAATTCTTGTTACCATCAATATTTTTGAGTTTAAATTTAGAGTAATTTCGTTTTTGTGTTGGTAAATCATAATGTATGGCCCAATTTTTATCAACATTTCCTATTTTTCCTAGTTCTATTATCTCATCATCTTTCGTTGTACGATCATCAAGGATTATCCAATTTCCTGGAGATGCCTCACCAAAAAGCTGATAATGATTCATAAATCTTGGAAGTCTGGAATAAGTAATTGTGTAACTTTCAAGAAAAACCTTTGAAGATAGAAAATCCCATGTAATTTCCATAACTGGATCATTAAGTGCAGTAAGAAATCTATCATAAGCATATTTATAGGGATCCAAGAAAATGCAATCAATATTTTCGCGAGTGGAAGGATTTGGCTCAGCAGAAAAAATAGTAGATGAGTTTTTAGCTATTAAAAATCCAGCTTTTGTAAGATTTTCTTCTTCGTATGCTTCTCGCATTGCTGTAAATAAATCTGTGAAATTGGAAATGCTGCCTGAATAATGCCTCGTTGTAACGTTAATTGCAGACAACTTCTTAAGAGAAGTTGAAAGATAAAGAAAACAGAATAGAATCATCTAAAAAAAAATGGGAGATTTTAAATATGAAAAATATTAATTAGTATCATTAAAAATGTCTATTGATTTGTTGTTTGCAAATAAATTTAGTAAATTAAACGTTAAGATTAAAGTAGTATATATGGCGGGTTATGTGACTTTTTTTGTAAACGTAAGAATTCATACAATATTGAATGATTTTTGAACATACTTCCGAATAGCAGATTTTAAAAATTTATGAATAATTTATAAAAAGTTTTTATTCCTACAATTCCTATATTACCATTAATAAAAAGAATATATTTTATAATAGTTTCATTTCGAACATGTTAAAATTTATCTGCATTTCGAAAAATTTTATTATAAATGATAATATAATTTATTTAAATATTTTCTTCTGACATTTTAAAATAATTTATTTTTTTTATTCTTACATAAATGAGTGGATCAAGATTCGTAACCGTCAATCAATTAATGGATGTTCTTTCACCAATTCTTGAAAATGTTAAACAAGTAGATGTTTATTTCGATGATTATGTAGAAAGTTTATATTATAAAGGTAAGTTTAATATTAAACCTATTGCTTTTGCATTTGATAATAAATTAATTGAAAATGCAAAAATTTGGGAATTAATTCCGAATATTGAATTTATAACAAATATTAATGATAAATGGTTTAAACGAATTCCAATCACAAAAGTTCTTTGTAAATTAATGATCAAAACTGAGGAAAAAGAATTTAACGAGTTTAAATATCATCCAAATAAAGTTTCAGAACTAGAAAATGAAAAACTTCAGAAAAAATTAAACGATAGACTTTCAAATGATCGTATTGAAAAAATAAATAAACTAGCAGAAGTTGCATTTAATAATGAAATATTTGATGAATATAACCTTGAACTCAGTGATGGACTTTAAGTCCTGGGCACTTCGTGCCTTGAACTTTAAGTCCTGGGCACTTCGTGCCTTGGACTTTAAGGACCCGGGCTTAATGAGTCATAATTTATGAAATCAATAATTTGATTTATTCTTTCTTCAATAATTTCTATTCTTTTTGTTAAATCATCAATTTTCATTAATGAGGTGATTCTTGATTGAGGAATAGATTTCAAACTAACCACTCCTTTTATTTTTGAAATTTTGAATCCATCAACTTTAAACATTTTATTCAATTTACATGTTGTCAATTCTTCAAATAATTTTTTATTATTAGCATAATAGTCATTAAATTCTTCAACAGATGAAAAAATTTTTGTTTCAGTAATTGGTTTAACAACGTTTATTTTTTGTTGAACATTTTTACTTTCATTTATTTCTTCCTTCTCTGTTTCATTTATTTTTAAAATTGGTTTCATTTATCATTAAATAAAAATTAGAATATAAGTGATGAAATATATTTTTTAATTATTATTAAATCAGAAATGGCTGCAGGCTTCTTTAAGAAACTGTGGGAAGGAATTAAGAAAGCTGCAAGTTGGGTTCATCAGAAAATAATAAAACCCGTTGCAAACTTTTTGGCACCAGTAGCGAAAACGGCAGGAACTATCATAGGTGGAGTATTAGGTACTAAAGCAGGTAATCCAGCGATGGGAGCACAAGCAGGTAACGCAATTGGTGGAATTGCTGAAGGAATACTTAATAAAATAGGAGGTAAATAGTGGAAAAATAAATATTATTTTTATCTCAATATCGGTTGTAGTCGACGATAAACTTTATCTCCTTTATTTAATACTTCCCTTACCGGAACATTAGGTGCTATTTGTTCTGCAACGTCACTAATTGCTTCTTTATTCTTAAATATCCAATTTGCTCCTTTCTTCATTGTTTCCCAAACTTTATGCGCTCCTCTTTTTACTTTATCCCATAATTTTTAAAGAATCCTGCAGCCATAGTTGATTATTTCATTAAAATTAAAAATTCATTTTCATCTTTTAATTTTGATTTTTTATTTCATATAAATGACGACTAACTATTTGGTGCCAAACACTAAACCGATTAATGGAAATGTGTTTCATTCATTCGAAAAGATAAATGAAATATTCGCAAAGAATGACGGTAGAAGATATTATAGAGAACTTGAAAGTTCATGCTATGACTCTGATCTCCATATTTTGATGATAAACAAACTCATTTAAGAATTACAAATCCGGCTCATGATGTGAACCAATTAGGTGACACATATATTAAACGCAAAGTTAAAGCAACTCTAGTTTCAAATAAAGCTTTCACATGTGATGCCGCTTTTAAATGCATGCGTTTATTCGTTGGTTACAAATCATCAAATCAAAGCTTTAAACAATTAGAAGTAGAAACCGAAAGAGGTGATGCCGGTTATCTTCAATGGATTGCGCCCGTGAATCTTTCGCATTTGCAACATATAAACCAAAATCAGAAAGGAAAGTTAAAAAGTTTGTTCATTCGTTATATAATAATGTTCAAAAATATGATAACTCAGTATGTGGTAAATATATTGACCCTTCAGAAGTTTTCAAGAAGCAAATGAAGAAGTTGATGTCACTTTTGATATGATTATTCCGGTAAATGATTTGTTAGCATTTCAGGCGTTCGATGATTATCCTAAATCATTTGGTGAAATCATTCTTAAATATTATGTTTTCAGGGATACTTTAGTATTTTGTCAGGTTGACCCGTTAAGAGTTGCTGATTTACAAAATTACGTTTATGAAAAGATAACTGATGAAAATTATGAAAAGATTATGAATCATGTTTATAAATATGATCGCAAATTCCAACAAATCGGACTTCCTGCCAAATTAATTACAAGCTTAGCCGCTACATCTGCTGACGCAACAGTTGAAGACGTTATTATTTCATGCACAAAGATGGAAGTTTTAGAGGATAAATGCATTACACCAGGATACGGTTTAATTGAAGAATCAGTTAAAGCAATACCACGTTTATTCAGTAAGGAAGATCCATTCATGATTCCAGCTCAACATATTGACGTTCGTTCACTAAATGGAGGTTGCATCACTCCTGAAGGTATCAGTTCAGATTTCTCATACGCTCTTCATAATGTTACAGATGTTGTGTTAGCATTTCCGAAGAATGCAATGCAAAGAACAGTTTTAGAAAATCCAATGCTTCGAGGTCTTCAGGTCACTATAGATTCCAGAAACTTCCCCGATCAAGCGATGACCACAGTGGGTGACATATTCTTTACACGTATGCTTCAAGCTTCTGATTTAGATGGAGTGAATGAATGCACGGAAGAATACGAGGACTCATTAACTAGACCACTGAATGATGATAATGGCACGCCATTAGCTAGAACATGGAAAGACCAAACTTCATTCTTATGCACTATTCCAGTTCAACGTGATGGAGCGGGTATATTCTTTGATGGATTAGAAACTTTCAACTCACAAGTTACAGTACAAGTGAAAGCTTATCCAATCATTCAGGGTGAAAATGACACTTACTGTTCAAAGTGACAAATCCTCCTCAGGTTTGGTTTACTAGGACTACGTATTGGACATGGACACCGGATGAAGGTTTGAAATATCATCCAACAGGTACACCACCACAGTATAGAAGTTCATATGATGAAATATTGATGAATAGAAATGTTTAAAATTATAAATTTATTTTTGATTAAATGGATTTCAATTCTGAAGAATTAACAGATGTATATAATACTACATAGATGATATGATTAATGAAGCATTGAGTGATAATAGAAATGCTCTATCTAAGGAAAAATTAATGAAAATTCCATATTTGAATGTTACTTAAATTCAATCACTGCAGCAATTGGTAAACAAAATAAAGGTAAAACATTAACGATATTAAAACAAATTATCATTATTGCTAACACTTCCCTTCACATGTGTTAATTTATATCAACCGTTCAGGTTCACCTTCAGATGATACATTTGAATCTTTAAAGCATTTAATCAAAATTCCAATTATTTATTTATCACAAGAAGAAGCAGAAGATTATTTAAAAAACTTTTTAATGTATAAAGAATTATATAATACAATCAAGAAGCAAGGATTAGAGGATAAAATTATTGATAAACAACGGGATGAATTATTTGAAACACTTTCTATTTCAAATTTTGATAGAGAATTTTTGCATTCACTAATTTTTCTAGATGATGCCGTGAAATCAAAACTAATAACAATGAGAAATCATATTTTAATCAATTATTAACTCAATGTCGACACATTCAGTGTTCATTCTTTATGGCTGTTCAATACTTTAAAGCATTAAGCACAAACATTAAATCAAACCTGTCCACCCTTTTCATTTTCAGTGGGTTTAGTCGTCAACAGTTGAACGTTATGCTTTATCAAGTGAATTTACCAATGAGCATTAATGAACTTTACACACAATATCAACAATTAGGTGAACATGGAAAAATAATAGTTGATTTAAATAAAGGTTCCATTAAATTTGATTAACTTTTTATAATTAATTTTTATTTTTTATTTATAATTAAACATGACAGAAATAGCAAATCTTCTACAGGTTCCATTAAAACAAGGAACAAACAAAAAGGGTGCATATAATAGAACTATGAAAGTTCCAGACGGAATGAAAGAATTAGTCCACATTGTTGCCGGTCTTCAAAAAGATGTTAAACAAATGAGAAACGTTTTAACATTACCAGAAGCTCAAGCATATGCCAAACGTCATGGACCAAATTGGAAAGCACATGAAGCAGACATTACAGGACCAAATGGAAAGCCTGATGGTATAAATGAAGTTTTCGTTACTGATGGTCAAGGAAATATTAAAGTCATAAATGGTTATAAATTAACAATGACGGATTATCCTAAACGTAAAGCATATAATGAACGTTATCCTATGCAATTTGATGAAAATGGAAAAGCTGTTAAACAATACATTGGAGATGGTGAACATGGTCCAATTAATTCATACCGTTATAATCCATATTCTTATTTCAATGAAGAATTAAACGCTATTGAAGAGGGACCGGATGGATTACCACGATATGTTAATCAGTTTGATGGTCAATATGCAAATTTGAGATCTGAAATTCCAGCTAAGAAATTCTTTAAAGTTGCTTTATTCGATCCAGTGTTCAATGAACAGAAAGAAGCAATGAAAGCAGAATTTAAACCAATTCAAGTGGCAAGAATTTCTTCATCTTCACTTTCAGAAGCGTTCAAGGAATTGATAAAGAAACCACTTTATTCTCAACAAAGTTATAACTTTGATTTAATTAAAGAAAGTGATAAACGTAAATTAGAAAAATCAGATGGTTTTAAGAATGCATGTAATGAAATGATTAAAGATATTGTAAATGATAAAATAAGACTGGAAGAAACTCAAAGCATTATCAATAACATAATTGGTGCAGTTACAAAGAAAGTATAAGCAAACAAGGATGAACCTTGGGATATTACCGTAACAACTAAATAAAACTTTAAATATATTTTTCTTTTTTTATTCAATTATAAATGAGAAGACGTTTCACAAGTCAAAAGAACACAAACGCAAAAGCAGAGATTACGGTTGGTTATAACGTAAATGATGATAAATCACGAATTATTCAAAATGTTAAAGTTAATGTTAGTCCTGAATTAACAAGGTCAGCAACTCAACCAAATTTATTAACTCGTGACTTACCAAAGAAAGAGGAGGAGCAAAATAAAGAAGATGGAGATCCAATCATTTTATCTGAACCAGGTAAAGAACCCGTTGAAATCCCCACATATCCAACATACCCCCCACCTCTTTCATCAAACATCGAGAACCCAGGAATCTATGATTCCAGTCGCAATGCGCCATATAAAATAGACATTAATTCTGAATTAATGAAAATTTACCGTGATATAATAACTGATAATTATGATTCAATAATAAATTTAATTGATCAATCCGGTTTAATTATTTTACCTTATGAATCATTAATTCACATTATCGCCATTTTTTGTGATGTTCAAGATTCAGACGTGAAGATTCAATTTTTCATAGATGATGAGGTTTCATGCTGCGGAACAGTTGCAAAAATAAATCCTATAAAGGATATTAGCACAATTAAGATATCAAAGAACGGAACAACAACTGAACTTCATTTAACATATAATGATATTTATAATAAAATAGTTGATGAATATAAAATATCACTTGAAAAATTCTTTGTTAAGGCCATTTAATATTCAAGCATTAACATTATCGAATAATAATCCTTTGAATCATAATCGATAATAATTGACCTTTCACCAGTTTCTATCGTTTGTTTTATTTCTTTTTGTTCCCCACTATCTGGATCAGTCATTGTAATTGTTTTTGTTATAGTATCAGCTTTATCTTTAACTTCAATCTTTTTTCCATCGGGATATTTAAACCAAAATTCCAAAAATTCGATATTGTCAATCTGTTCATATTTTAATCTATCAATTACATTTTTAATACCATCTGAAAATCTTATGAAATGGTCATTATATGGGTTTGATTGAACTAAATTTGAATGAAGTGAAATATAACCCGATGATGAATATGACATTGACTCATATTTTCTGAAAACACTAAAATTTATAACATGAATGAATTTCTTATTCGTTGAATTTATGAATTCTTGAGGTAATCTTATTCTAGTTTTATTTATCACTGGAAAATAACGCTTTACCATATTTTTAATCGTAATAAAAAATGTCAATTATCAATATTATTTCGAATAATAGTTGTGAATTAAATTTAACAGTTAGTGGAATTTATAATGTTACTCTCGTTTCTGTGAGTGGTAAATTTAATCCCATTCTTTTAGACCCTTCAGATTATATATCATTTATTAAAGATGACCATGAAAAAACGTATGATATGTATATAAATAATGTGATAGCGAAATGGGATATTAACATGATTTTAAGTTATTTAAATGAATCATTTATCGTATGGTATGAAGAAAATTTTAAATCAAAACCTGATAAACTTTTTGAACTTGATGAAATAAATAACCTTATTAAATTTCCACTGAAAATTAAATTTTGTACTCCTCACCTTCGTTCATTGTTGGGGATATTAAATTTTGAAAAAGATGTTGGGGATGTTTTGTATTCTGACACTGGTTCCAATTTCATTTTAATCAAATGTGATAAAGTTAATACCCCAATGAGATTTTCACATCAAACATTAGACCCTAACTCTTACCCATCAATACAAAACATTTTATCCATCAATTTAAACATATTTTCTTTATCATATCCGTTTCAATTATCCGGGAATTCATTTATTCTTCATTCAAAAGATTTATCAAATATTAAATTTAGAATAACTGACCTATTTGATTGTGATTTAGAATTTATGAATGAAATATTATGGCAATTTCAAATAGAGAAAATAGCTGATGAGATAACGGATTAAATATTTATTTTTAAATCATAATAAATGATTAAACAACAGCAACCACAACAACTTAAGGCACAAAGCACCCAGGTCCCTCAGACCATTACATACGCCATATATGCATATAATTCAAAGACGGCAGAACAAACGCAAAGGTTGAAATATGGAGATTTGGAGATAGTATTGAAAAATGACCATTTCGAATTCGTTTGCAAAGGTGGTGCGGTGATATCAAATATAAAAGAAATTTTATTTATGAATTCAAAAATTAAAGGAATAACGGATGATATAACATCAATTCCACCAGAAGAACAAAGATATTACGCATTAAATGCATTTCCTAAAGTTTTGAAGATTGGAAGATTTAATTTAAATGAGGAATTCATAAAAGGTTTCCTAAATGACATAATGGAGAAGGCAAATTTGGTTTATGTTGATGAAAAAGATAATGAAATTAAAGAAAAGGTTGAATGGTATCATGAATGGACATCGGAGACTTTTAAAGTTAAAGCTGATACAAAATGGGTTTCAGGATGTTTAGACCTTAAAGCAGATAAGGAATACGTGGATAATGAGTTAATGAAGAAAGCAGATAAGGAAAAAGTTATTTCATTCATTAATACTGAGTTAGCAAAGAAAGCTGATATATCATTTGTTAATGAAGAAATAAAACAATCAAAGGTTTATTTTACCCCATCATTTTTAAATTTTATGAAATCATCAGATAAAACATTTGAAGATATTGAATGGTTATGTTTCGATGGAGTGACCATGTATTTATTTTATACAGGTGGAGTGCTTTATTATTTTAAAACAAATGATTTTAAAAACTATGAATCATTTACTCCATCCGTTTTGAATCCTGATACACGAGAGCCAATCATTAATCCAAGAATTTTATATGTTGAATATAATAACGGAAAATTTATGGGAATGATAACGGATGGAGATGATTTTTGCCCTTGTTATTCATTCGATTGTATCCAATGGTTCAAATGTAATTTAAATCAAGATGTTAAATTTAAATATTCAAATAATCCTATTAGATGTGTTAATAATAAATGGGTACTAATTTATGAAAACAATCAAATTTTCATTAGTGAGGATGGGATAAATTATTATATGTTTAGTATGATGTCATCAGATTTGAAAATTGATTATAGAAGTAAATGGTATTACATTAACAACATGTATTATATCCTACAAAATGATAAAATTTATAGATCATATTCAATACCATTTGGTCGTTTTGAACAAATTTTTCAAGCTGATGGAGACATTGAAGCTTTATGTTATGCTTCAAATGTTTGTGTTCTTGTTTCAGGTAGTATGGTGTATTCATATCCTGTAAGTTATAACAGACATATTTATTTATCACAAGATTTTTCACAGGATCCAGAGAAAACACCAAATTGGGAATTGGTTTATTCATTCACTCCAAAATTTACTCGAAATTATAGATTTACAAATTTGTTTTATATTGATGGGTATTTCATTGCTTTTGGATGTGGTGATTTAGTAAATATCAGTAGTGATGGAAGAAATTGGTCTGAAATCACAAAATTTCAAGATGTTAAAAAAGCAATTTTCAAAAATAATATGTTAATATTGATGATAATACCAATTTTAACGTCTTACACGATTTCAATATTATATAATAAATTCAATATTCATAATGGATTAAAGAAGAAAGCAGATAAGGAATATGTTAATACTGAGTTAAAGAAGAAAGCAGATAAGGAATATGTTAATACTGAGTTAAAGAAGAAAGCAGATAAGGAATATGTTAATACTGAGTTAAAGAAGAAAGCAGATAAGGAATATGTTAATACTGAGTTAAATACAATGCTTGAGATAATTTACCCCATTGGTTCAATATATACATCAATGAATTCAACAAATCCGGCAACATTATTTGGATTTGGTACATGGCAGCAGATAACCGATCGTTTCTTATATTGTGCTAACTCATCAAAACAAACCGGTGGAAGTAAAACAATTACGGGCGAAAATTTACCTGCTCATAGTCATTACGTTAATTTAAACACAACCGAAGCAGGATGGCATAAGCATAGATATTGGGATTGGTCAGGAATGACAAAAGGTAAAGGATATGATGTTAAAGATGACGTGAAATTTGCTATTAATTGTTACTGGAACGATACACAGGGTTCAGGTAATCATACACATAATGTTTCAGGATATACACAAACAACGGGACAAAGTAAAGAATACATGCCACCATTTATGACTGTATTCGCATGGTATAGAGTTCAATGAACACACTTAACCCAAAGGGTTTAGGCTTACCGAATGAACTAAATATATTTTATGTCTGTAATTAATTAGGTAATGAAGTAATGGATGAACTACAGAAAAAAAGTTAAAAGCTTGGGGTCGTTTTGTACAAAAATATTGTGAGTAAATGATTTAGGTTATTCAATAATTAATTATTTTTGAAGAACTGAAGGGGTCACCAGGTCACCAGGTCATTTAACTTCTCTGAAAAAATGTGACAACATGACATTTTGACAACAACACAGGAGGAAGGTAGTTATAACTTATTTTTGAAGAACTGAAGGGGTCACCAGGTCACCAGGTCACCAGGTCATTTAACTTCTCTGAAAAAATGTGACAACATGACATTTTGACAACAACACAGGAGGAAGGTAGTTATAACTTATTTTTGAAGAACTGAAGGGGTCACCAGGTCACCAGGTCATCAGGTCATTTAACTTCTCTGAAAAAATGTGACAACATGACATTTTGACAACAACACAGGAGGAAGGTAGTTATAACTTATTTTTGAAGAACTGAAGGGGTCACCAGGTCACCAGGTCATCAGGTCATTTAACTTCTCTGAAAAAATGTGACAACATGACATTTTGACAACATTTACGAAAATATGATGCAGTCCAAAAATAAAGTTAGTTTTAAAATTATTTTTATTTTTTTATTCCTATATAAATGACAGCAACAAACAACAACAGCAACTTTATCGTTTCTGATGAAAAAGTTATTGATTCATTAGCTGAGGAATTAGTTGTGGCAGAAACTAAAACCCTCAACGAAAGAATTGGTGAAAACATGATTGATTTACATAACTACCTCAAACATGATGGAGGAAGAGGAAGGAAAACTGGTGTGGCTTTATTAGTAAATAAAATTTCAAATTTAACGATTATTGATGTTGATATCAATAAATCATACAATGATGAACTTAAAGAAACAGTTAGAAAAGATATTTTATCAAAACTTTCGGATAAAGATGTTATCGTTAAAACCGCATCAGGAGGTCTTCACATTTATTGCAACACTAATTTCTTCTATGCAGTTTCGAACAGAATGATTAAATGTTATTCCTGCAATGATTATGATATTGACATAATGACTTCTATTGATGATTCAAAGCGTTCATTAGTGGTTATGGCTGAATCAAGAGTTCGCAAGAATGCAACAGAACCAATCAATACATACTCATTCATTCGTGGAAGTTATGATTCGACATTAACTAGAACAGTGAATGATATATTAAATGATTTGAATATTAAGGTAAGAGTTGAACAGAAGAGCGAAGAAATAAAGAGTATAATGAATGAAAACAAAGATGTAAACATTGACGATAAACTAGCTCAGAGCATAGTTGATGGCATCTGTGATTTTGAAGTACATAATGATGGTGGAAACATGAATTTAGAAAAAGAAATAACATTGTTCACACTGTTTCAAGCTATTAATTCGTTACCTAATCATTTAATTAATGAAGCGTACGATAACGTTTATAACTTCTGCAATTTAACAGAAAATGCAAAAAGTAATTTTGAAAAAGCACGTGATAGATATGCATATTTAATGACTTCTCCATTTGTTTTAGTGAAGATTTTAAAACTTTATCAAAAGGAATATTATGATGAATATGTTTTACCTTTATTACGTAAGCCAAAAATAACATTTGATATCAAACTTGATGACTCGTTTTTGATAACAGATATTAGACGCAAGGCTGAAAATCATCAGTATAAAAACAGCTCTGAAGTAATTGAGGATTTATCACGTGTAATCCGTTTTGTAGATTGTGGAAATAAATATTTCATTCAAAAGGACTATAATATCCACGACAAAATGAATCAAATATCATTCGTTCTTCAATCAAACATGAAAGAGTCACTCAAAATGATTAAATTATTTAAAGAAGAAGGTAAAACCATAACAGCATGGGACGTACTACTAAATCAATTGTCTTCATTAACCGTTAAGGGTGTTTGCTTTAAATCTGATTCCCCATATGTTTTCTCAACGTTTCAGGGTTATAAATACAACGTTCTCGAAAAAGTAGATTACTCAAAAATTGAGATGTTTATGAATTTCATTAAAGAAGCCATTTGTGATAATAACGATGAAGTGTATAAATACCTTCTCGGCTGGATTGCATCAATGATTCAACATCCTGGAATCAAGAATGAAACAGCAATTATTTTGAAAGGACTTCAGGGAACAGGTAAAAACAGATTTACAGACATTATTTCTGAACTTCTCGCTGGTTATTCATGTAAAAACATTACTGAAATAAGTGAGCTAACGGGTAATTTCAACTCAGTAGTTGAAAATAAAATGTTTCTTGTACTTAATGAACTCAAGAATGTAGGTGAAGATAGACTCGCAAACTTCAACGCTTTGAAATCAATTATTACGGATAATGAGATTAGAATTAATGAAAAGAATCAACCCAGAAGAACTGCTCAGAATGTTGCAAACTTCATTTTCGTAACTAACAACGTCTACCCTGTCAAAATTGAAGTTGGAGACAGAAGATACGTAGTTTTAAGGGTTAATGGTAAATTCAAGGGTCAATTTGATTACTTCAAGAATTTAATGGATTCATGCACTAAGGAATTTTATGATAACCTTTTAACATATTTTATGCAATATGACCTTTCATCATTTAATGTACGAATCATACCGATGACTGAAGCCAAACAAGATTTAATAGAATTATCAACAAATCCTTTAGATGAATGGATAAATACACATTATGATGAATTGTGTGCAGGTATGACGTGTAAAAATGCTCTATTCTGCAAACCATCAGACATGAAAGACAAGAATTTTCAAATGAGCATTAAGGATAAATGTGATAGGAAACAAAGAAAAATAGATGGTAAACAAACATGGTATTATGTTTTGAAAGAAGAAATGAAAGGATTATATAAACAAATTGAACCAAACGATAATGAGGATTCATTTACTGACGATGAAATACCTGTGAATGAAGCTTTATAAAGTATGACTGGAATTTATTTTGCCTTCCTCCTGTGATGTTGTCAAAATGTCATGTTGTCACATTTTTTCAGAAAGTTAAATGACCTGGTGACCTGGTGACCTGGTGACCCTTCAGTTCTTTCAAAAATAATTAATTATTGAATAACCATGATGTTGTCAAAATGTCATGTTGTCACATTTTTCAGAGAAGTTAAATGACCTGGTGACCTGGTGACCTGGTGACCCCTTCAGTTCTTCAAAAATAATTAATTATTGAATAACCCATGATGTTGTCAAAATGTCATGTTGTCACATTTTTTCAGAGAAGTTAAATGACCTGGTGACCTGGTGACCTGGTGACCCCTTCAGTTCTTCAAAAATAATTAATTATTGAATAACCCATGATGTTGTCAAAATGTCATGTTGTCACATTTTTTCAGAGAAGTTAAATGACCTGGTGACCTGGTGACCTGGTGACCCCTTCAGTTCTTCAAAAATAATTAATTATTGAATAACCATGATGTTGTCAAAATGTCATGTTGTCACATTTTTCAGAGAAGTTAAATGACCTGGTGACCTGGTGACCTGGTGACCCCTTCAGTTCTTCAAAAATAATTAATTATTGAATAACCCATGATGTTGTCAAAATGTCATGTTGTCACATTTTTTCAGAGAAGTTAAATGACCTGGTGACCTGGTGACCTGGTGACCCCTTCAGTTCTTCAAAAATAATTAATTATTGAATAACCCATGATGTTGTCAAAATGTCATGTTGTCACATTTTTTCAGAGAAGTTAAATGACCTGGTGACCTGGTGACCTGGTGACCCCTTCAGTTCTTCAAAAATAATTAATTATTGAATAACCCATGATGTTGTCAAAATGTCATGTTGTCACATTTTTTCAGAGAAGTTAAATGACCTGGTGACCTGGTGACCTGGTGACCCCTTCAGTTCTTCAAAAATAATTAATTATTGAATAACCTGAAACCATTAATGAAAACATTATTTTTGGGTTATTTACACTCATTACGATGAAGTCATGACAAATCATTTCCGGGACTGTTGTCAAAATGTCAAGACCTTCAGGTCTCGTCACACAGTGACTGTTGTCACAAACTTTAGAACAGCATAATTTAAATTTTTATTTTTATCATAAATGAATACCCCACAAGCTCAAAATTTACCACGAATCATAACAAGGGAGGAAATGATAAAAATGATGCGAGAACATGTTAAAAATAACAAACCACTAAAACTGAGAAAATGTGGTTATGCAGTAATGATGGAAAGAGAGATGTTGTCGAAGAGGAATAAAAATTAAATTTGGATAGAGTTTAAAAATTCATCTTTATTAAATTCATCTCTTCCAATCAATTTATTTATTCTATTAAATTCTTTTATTTTTGCTTCACTCAGTTTAAGGATTGAACGGTAAGTTTCTAATTTTTCGATTATTTCTTTATCGTTTTCAACCCCACCACATTGTGGCTTCTTTTTGTAATAGCATATTTTTGATTTAATTCTGTTTAGTTTCTTTTTATATTCATCGTTACTCATTTCTTACGAAATAAAAAAATTAAATATTATTTAAATATAATGGAGTAATAAAATAAATCGGAATTTCTATTAATTTATTGTCAACTTCAACTAATGCATTGCCGTTAATATATCTAACAAATTCAGCTATTGTGTCAAATCTTCGTCTTCTTTTTGTCATTGATTTATCAGTTTTTCCATAATCGAGATGAATCAAAACTTTATCCCCTTGTTTAAAATTCATGAGCCCTGAATTAATTTGTTCACGTTTAACATCATTCAACCTTTCCATTTGTTTTCTAATATATTCCCATTCTTTTGAAATATCATTTTTCATTTCCACTGGTTTCATGTTAATAGTTCTATGCCATGTATTATTGTAATAATATACTAACTGCTGTATGATGGAGTCATGATTTCCATCCCAGTATATCTGACCGTTAACCCCTAACGCATCTCTAAGAGTTCTCATTACCGCATCAACTATTTTATTATGAAACGTATATGGAGAGGATGAAAAGTAAAAATTAATTTGTGGGAAATAATGAATCATAGCTGCCTGAAATCCTTTATCGCCATCACCCCTGATATTATCTACTCTTTCCTGATCTAGTAAGTATTGTATAGCTCTTCTTGTTTCCTGTTCTGTTTTCCCTTTCACCGGAATGCAGTATAAATATCTAGTGTTAATGTTAATGGCAAATAAATAAGTAATATTTCCTTTTGAATATTCCAGATGATCGATTTCGTATGAATAAGGTGAAGGTGCAAATGATGGACGACTAAATTTTTCTTTTAATGGTTGAATTTTCGGGTCAATTGGTTTATTTAATATCTTGAAATCCTTTTTAAAATCTTTTTGTTTCTTTAATGTTTGAAATGGATATAATAAAGTGAATGATGAAGGATTAACTGAAGGAGGAGGCGGTACTGTCGTTGGAGGTTTTGGTGTTGCAAGTGGTTTAATTTTATCTGCTTTGATTTTGGATTCATTCCCCCCTTCATTAATTCTGGATGTATTCTATTCATTTGTTTTAAATATGCTGTATATAAAGGTTTGATATACTTTCCCGCTTCGAGTTTATGTTGAAGGATGAATTCCAAAAGTTGATCTTCATTTAAAAGTCGGGTTGAATATGTTTTAACTAATGAATCATAAATTAAAGCTTGTGCTTCATTTATGAGCTGCTGAACGTCCAAACTTTTCTCTTTTGGCTTTTGCGGTTCAGGATTATATAAATTATATAATTCATCAATATCTTTTTCAGTTAATACTTTATTTTTGAAATCTTTCAACTGTTTAAGTTGTGATTTACTTTTTCCCTTTGAATATTTTCCTTCTTTAATATTCTCTCTTAAACGTTTAATTATTTTATCATGATATTTCAAAATTTCGTTTTTATAATACCGATAGTATTCATCCATATCATCACCCGTTATATTTTCATCATTTTTTGAAGATATGCTTTTAAATCATAATAAGTAAGAAAATTTTGATTAAATACTAAATCATCAATTAAATTTTTTAAATCTACGCTATTCATTTATATAAAAATAAAATAAATTTAAGGGTGCCCGCCTCTTTGTCTCTTCTGTGCATTTCATTAAATAAATGGCATACAACATCCATTTTCACAACATACAGCTTAGTGTGTGCTCCTGTTAATGCAGTCTTACCAATTGTTAAGCGAGTCATTGACTCATTTTTAAGTTGTAAATTAATATTCTGACCATCAAATATCACTTTATCATTTATTATATCCAAATAATTTTTAGGTGTTAATTGCTTATTTTGTCTAAACTAACACCTTTTTTCATTTTTGTGCTATCGTTTTAAGGAGTCTTCACCAATCATTCCGTTGAATGATGTATAACATTTAGGACATAAAGCAACATGTTATCTACCTTGTTTCTCAATTGCTAAACCAATAATTTTTTCTCATGTGCTTTTTCTTCAGCTTTATTCTTTAATTAGGTTTAAATTTCTCATCAAAACAAAAGAAATCAAAAGGTGCGAATTTGAAAATGTTTTTTATCATAAATTGTTTATCGGTTACAATCGCTTGAAATGCTTGAGTGTTAGGAAGACTTGGATCGCCAGCGATTGCCCAATAAGATGAATCAGTATCACCTTCAATGAAATGAAAACGATTAACATTCAAGCATTTATACATGAAATCATAAATGAAAACCAAATACCAGTATTTAGCATTATCTAAAGTGAAAAATGCCTCTTGTAAACATGTTTCACATCTATAAAATCTATCTTTGAGCATCACTTGATACATATCCTCTCCTATTTCTCTTATGTTTTTAAACTTATTTGACATACATGCAACGCGTGCCTTTTGTGCATTCATTATTTTAGTCTGTGCGTAATTTTGTGTATTCATTGCATCGTAACCATATGATCCATTAAGTGAAATTTTGCAAAATAAACTTTTTCCTTTATTTCCTTCTAATTCAGCCTTTTGTCTTTCGTTCATAAATTTGTTCGCAAATTCATTAAAACAAGTATTTTTCGTAAATGTTAAAATTGATTGAATATCATCGATGATAAAATGAAATCTGTCTATTAGATACCAAAGATAATAAGAAGAAAATGGTTGATATTGGTTGTGTGTTGATGCTAACTGAGTTAATTTTCTCTGTTTTTGGTCAACTGGTAGATTGTTTGATTTCATGTAATTATACATAAAACTGCCAATTGTTTTTTCATCTGTGATAATATCTAAGTTTCTTATTATCGGTAAAAAGTTAATGTAATCATTAATATACTTTTCATCAATGTGACCCTTTACTTCAGCCACGAATAAAGTATTTTTCTTTCTAATAATTCCTAAAGCTTTTGCTTTCTTTGTTGCTGTATCACAAATTAAAACATCTTCTAATCTCCCCGGCATATACATTTTATGGTCAGTATATTGAATGAAATCATGAGGATTAGATGAAAATGATGAAGGATATAATGAATTAAAGTCAACTCCAACGAAATGAGTCATGATGTTGGAAGTGTCCTCATTTGATACAGTTTTAGTTTCTGGATTATATGAAAGTTTATTAATATGGGTGATACCTTTAAGATTAACACGATGTTGAACATTAGAGAGACCACCAGTAATTCCATTACGGAGGATGTGATACGCTTCCACTGAATCTAAAGTCATTGGTAAATTATTTTTTAATGCATAATTTCTTAAATTGATTCTTAAACGTTGAACATCTTCATCTTTATTTGATTTTACGACATTGCAATAACAACACATTAACTGACAATTTTCTTTGGTGTGTGGTTTTTCATTATCGATTCTATCCAATGTTGGTTTATTTGCATATGTAAACGCTTTACCACACATTTTGCATTTAGATGAAAGGATTAAATCGTGATAATATTGAAAATCATCCATTGAAACATTGTTTTTGGTATCTCTTTTCGCTTTTTCATCTTGTTTCTTATATGATTCAATTTTATATTTCCAATACTTTTTCGTTAATTCAAAACTTGATTCCACATTTTCTTCTTCTGGATATGTTTCGTTAGGATTGAAGTTCTTATATGCTAACGCGTAACGAATCATTGATGCATTAGATGATAATGAAAGATTATGAAGCATATCAATTTTATAAACAAATGTTTCTTCAATAATTTTATCAATTGGGTCAATCATAATTTCAACATCTTTATTGCAATAATGAATAAAATATTCTAATCTATTCTCAAAATTTTTAGCATCATTGAGATATATTTGATAATCACTATCTGATATAGTTTCTTGTGTTAATGCTGAATAAAATGAATCTTGAGTGAATGGTTCCTCTTTATATAATTCATCTTCGTAATTCTCCCATGTGATGAATTGATATGGGAAGAATGATTTAATACGTGTTTTATTGTTTCCGAAATCTTGAGTAAATTGGTCTAATGTTCCACCCGCTATATAATTTCTGATGTCAATAAATCTCAATTCATATGGAACGTTTGTTTTCTTTACAATGATTTGCTTAAATTGAGAAGAAGAACCCAGCATTGATTTTATCTTCCATTTTGCAGTATTTAAATCACGAAGAATTAAATTTAAATCAAACTTTCCCGAATTAAAACCTATGATATTCACTTTATTGAATTCCTCATCTAAAAGCTCTTTCATTGCTTCCTTCTGTTTCTCATTTAATGTATGGGACAAAGTCCCCACCGTTTGTGGCTTCATTAATTCTTCATATTGTTTAATATTTGATTTAGCAACTAATGAACAGGTTGAAAATAAAAATTCAATCCAATCAGAGATGAACGAATCACTTGATGTTAAGCAAAAATTCCTCGTAAATGTTTTATCGTTTAATTTAACCGTTGATGATACCATGAATGGTTTTAAGTAAGCGTTCAAAGTTGCACACTCAGAAAGTTGTAATTCTTCTTTAGTCTCTAATGTTTCGAAGTCAAAAGTAATATAATATCTTGTCGGTTGATAATATTCCTGCAAATTATGAGCTAATAACCACTGATATATCTTCTGTTTCGTAATATGTGGTGCATATGGTTGCTGTGTCTTTTGCAATTGAACGTCTTGAATTAATCTTCCATTATTTTCTTTACATTTCTCACAATGTTTTAAAAATCTTCTTTGGTTTTTCCTTTCTGGATCATCACGGATAGAATATACTTCTTCTTTGCAAAAGGGGCAAACTTTATATCCTGTGAGTGCTTCAACGTCTGTTATTCTGTCAGCGTGAAGTTTTCCACATGGACTCTGTGTTAATAAAATATTTACTGTTTCAAATTCTGGATCTATCATTATTGATTCCACTAATGGAAAGTCTACCTTGTTAATGTCTACGTCTTCTGGTTGAGGGTCACAATAATAAAAATCAATATTAACGTTTAACATTCTTGCTAACCTCTCACTTTCTGATGAAATGTCAAATCCTTCATATGCATCTATGGCTTCATTTAAATAACTTCTACGAGTTTTAGGATTAACACCATCAGGAATGTTATAGAAGCGTTTAAATAACCTTCTACCTTCGGCTCTTATTTGATTATCATTCATTTTAGCTGTTCCATTTTTGTTCATTTATGTAAGAATAAAAATTAAAAAATAAATAAAAATAAAATTTATTTTTTTAAAGTCCGAGACTCAGAGAGTCCAGGGCTAAAGTCCATAAAATGAATTAAGAACACATAAATTTTTATCATCTGCGACGTGACGAATACATTTTAATTTACTCAAGAATGCGTACCCTGATACATTAAATCTAATTCCTGTCTTATTTAATTTCACAACTTTGAAAAGGAATGTATGAATAGCTATAAAATGATGAGAAGATGTTTTATGAGTTGCTTCCATTTTTTCTGAAATAAATGAATAAATATAATGTTTATAAGTTTTCATATCTTTTATGTTCTTAATAACGAATGGTATAGACCTTTCAACTTCGTCTTCCTTCGGTGCTGTTCTTTCATATGAAACATTATTGGTATCTTCAATAATGAAACCACAATCGCATAAAATTTTATATGTACCAATTGTTTCTTTTGATATTTTATCTAACAAATCAAAAACTTTATCAACACCTGTACATTTATTTAAATAATAATTTGTGTAAATATCATGGTCTTCTTTCTTAATCGTATTTGTTGCATATGTTACATTTTTCAGTGCTTTTTTGAATTTTTCAGAATCAAGAGGAGGTGAAAGTAATATACATGGATAATCTCCATCGTCAATAAACTGAAGCTTATGTTTATGAATAAATTTTGTGCCTTCTTCTGAAAGTGTTTCATCAATATCACCATCTAATAAATTTTTAGTTGATTCCAAAAAGTAATTTTTATATCTTTCCTCATGTGATTTTTGAACTTCTGATTCTGAAGCTGGGATATTCATTAAACCCTCTACTTCATTCTCATTATATTTTTTCAACTTCTCTTAATTCCTTAATTTTTTCATCTATTTCATCTCTTATTTTTTTCAGTCTTTCAATTTCAATTTCATCATATTCATCATCTTTAATTCGTTCTTCATAATATTCAGGGAAAACATTAGGTTCTTTAGGTTTTTCTTTTTCTTTAGATGTGGGATATAAGAAATTTATAACATCATCTTTATTTATTTTTCCATCATAATCAAATTCATTTAAAAACTCCGCGAATTTTTGACAATTTCTTAAATAATATTTACTAACTTCATAACCCGCCTCCTCTAATATATCCTTTATTTCCTCGTTTGTGAATCCTAATGTTTTCACGTCGTTAGTTTTGACACTCATTTTCTTACGAATTAAAAAATAAATTTTTCGAAATGCAGATAAATTTTAACATGTTCGAAATGAAACTATTATAAAATATATTCTTTTTATTAATGGTAATATAGGAATTGTAGGAATAAAAACTTTTTATAAATTATTCATAAATTTTTAAAATCTGCTATTCGGAAGTATGTTCAAAAATCATTCAATATTGTATGAATTCTTACGTTTACAAAAAAAGTCACATAACCCGCCATATATACTACTGATTAACAAAATTGAATGTATAGTTAAATTCTATTTATATTCGTTAATAATATACAATTATATGATTTGTGAATATTAATATTCCAAATTATTGTCACCGTTACTATTCAAAAGCAAAGAATTAATAAAATAAAAGTACTGGATTATGATAGTGTTGATAATATACATAAGAGTAAAGGGCTAAACTCAATTTGAATCTGATCGTGATCAAACATTTGAACTTTACTCTATATGCAATGGAGAATGGATATTCAAAATATGTAAATCTTATGAATTCAAAATTGCTTGGTTTGAATTCTAAACAAAATCAAATTTTTACAGTACAAAATTAGAACAACAAAACTACGCAGCCCAACTTTGAATTTGATCGGTTTTTTACATTCAATTTTGTCATCTGATCAAAGCTACAAATTTAGAATATATCAGAATTGTTAATATAGTGACTCTTTAAGTTATGGTTTACTTCCTCTCAAAAGTCGTTATATTTTGTTAACAATTCCAAAAAAAATAATCGTCACTCAGAATAATTCTATCTTTTTTCACTATTTTTTAATAATTTATTATGTTCTACATATTTGTATCATTTGTTCATATTCCAAATTGTTCTTTTCAAAAATTTCAAAACTCAAATGCATTTACTTTTTCTCTTTCTGATAAGATCAAAAATTGGCGAAACATCAGAAAGTCACTATCTTCTCAGTGGAGAAGAAGAACCACAATTCCTTCAGCCAGATTATACAGTTCTTATCTCTGTTGATAACCAATTATTAACATTTAAGTCCGCGATTGTACAATCGAGCAAGAGGGACTATGTGTACTACAAATGTGATGTTACAATTACATCAGAAAGTAAGTTTGAAAATAATTTTGCTTTTGGAAAGTCTACTTCATCAAGCTTCGGCGGAGCACTTTATCTTCACGAATCAGTTTTCCAAATTGTTTCACCAGATTCAAGTAAAAATTCAATCTTTTCCGGAAATTCAGCAGCTTATGGTGGTGCTTTGTGCTTAGTTTCTACAGCATCATACTTATCAAACGCAGTATTCACATCTAACCAAGCATACAAGCATGCAGGCGCAGTCTACTTCGAAAACAAGTTAATCAGCAACGGACACCTTTCTAACGTTGTTCAGTTCCTTGGCACATCGTTAAAGTTCAATGATAATGCAGCATCAGAATACGGTGGTGCCATCATGATATATGCTGCGTCAGAAGTTTATATCGAGCGTTCTATTTTCAACAGCAACCGATGCTGTTTTTCCGGTGGTGCCATTCGTCTTATGAATGTTGACAGTCTTAAACTTAACTACGTTGTTTTCTCATGCAACGTTGTTGATGCACACCAAACAGAGCTTCATATCCCATATAAACTTCGTCAAGAGAAAGGCGAAAGTATCAATAATGATTTTTCTAACAAAGTCACATCAACACGATTTGTTGGTCGTAGTGGTGGTGCTATTGGATTCTCTTCTGATGACAAGAAAGGAAATCTCATTAATGGTGCTCAAACATATGAAAAGCGACATTTTGAAACACATCACTGTTGTTTCTACAAAAGACACATCAACATACACCGGCCAAACATTCGGTGATGGTGCAGCACACGAGATCTTAATTGATGGATACACGGAATTCATTTCATATGATGATTACATATATAACTTCAATCCTAATGAACTTCCATCACAATCAGTTTCACAAGTTGTTCGCACATGGCTTGAAGACGTCACAAGTATGGTTTTTCTTGGCAATCGATTCAACTCAGATCCAAACACAATTGATCTTTGTTCAGGCAAAGAAGACAAAGAATTGACATATCCAACATCTATTTCATATTCTTACGCGACTATTTCTAACGTCGGTGATAGCACAACAAGTAATGTTGCATCACCAACGAATACACATATGTTGCAACCGCTATCACAAAACTTCCACAAAAGACAGCAGGCTCACAAACTAAATATAGTTCAGCTAAACTGAGGATTGATTCACCGACAAGTTATTTCAATCCATCATTTGTTTCATTCACTATCCCACCAGCAACACCACACAGCACAGCTCATTCAACACCACATTCAACAGCACATTCAACACCACACAGCACTTTCCACTCTACACCACACTCAACAGCATTTAGTACAGCACACTCAACTCCACATTCTACAGCACATTCCACTCCATTTAGTACTGGCCACTCGACATCACACAGTACATTCCATTCTACACCACATTCCACAGCTCATTCAACACCACATAGTACATTCCACAGTACTCCACATTCTACTCCTCACAGTACATTCCACTCCACACCTCACTCAACAGCACACTCTACTCCTCATAGTACACCACATTCCACAGCTCATTCCACTCCTCACAGCACTTTCCATATTACTCCTTTCAAGACAGCATTTTCTACACCACATAGCACAGCATTTAGTACAGCACACTCAACTCCTCACAGTACAGCACATTCAACAGCATTTAGTACACCACACTCAACTCCACACAGTACAGCATTTGTCACAGCATTTTCTACACCACATAGCACAGCACACAAAACTCCTTTCGACACTATGTCATCAACTCCATTTAGTACAGCATTCGAAACAGTTTATTCTACACCATTCATCACAACACATCAAGCACCATACAACACAGTTCACAGAACACCCGATTTAACAGCTGTTTCTATTTCTAAAGAAGAACTACCACCTACACCAGCTGCTACATCTGCTCTCAAAATCGAAGGAAGCACCACAACTAAGAAACGAAGTATCTGGCCAATCATTGTTGGTGTTATCTGCGGATTACTTCTTCTTTCTCTTATTATCTTCTTCATCCTATTCAAGCGTCGGAAAGAAGACAGTGACACACAAGAGATATCGGACGAATCATTGAAGAGTGCATCAGAAGAAACGAAGATGGAAACATATATTGACACGAACATCATGGTCACTACAGAGAATCCAATTTGGACACATACTCTGGAAGAAAATGATCCATTTGATCTTGATTTTGAAGAAAAAGAATGTCCAGAATCATTCATGGCACAAAATGACCATCTTAACTACCAAGAATCAAAGTTCCCAACGGAACATTAACCTTTTGACTAATTATATTTATTGTTTTATTTATAATAAACGGTTTATCTATCATGTAAATATACAATAATTTTTCAATAATAACATATGACTTTAAACTTGTCAACCCAATAAATATATCCATTGTTTTATTAAGTGAATTATTCATTCTTTCCTTGGTGCTTTAGTAAGAGTCCAAAAAAGACCAAATGTTTCATTCAGAATTGCCAAAATGACTCCAGAATTGCCAAGTCTGAATCCTTAATCCAATCAAATTTTAAATCACGTAGTTGGAAAATAAGCCAAAATTGTCAACGATGGGCACAAATTTTGCCTGACAAAGCCCGTAAATGGCTTATTTTCCAACTACATTATGTTCAGAATTTGCAGTATATCCGACCAAATAAACATATTCAAATTTCTTGCGCATTGAGTATGTATGAATTATAACATAATTCGCAAAATCATAATGACAAGACGCCAAATTATGCTATATCTTATCTTACTTAAATATAGTAGACTTAAGATAAAAATATTTGTGTGTAAATATACATGTTTAGTTCGCTTATGCAAAATTAGAAAACATAGCAAAATTAAATAACATCTGCTCTTTTCGCTTAACCTTTTGTTCTGTGTAGAGCATTTTTCCTGGATATAAGGTACCAAAGAATAACATTTTGGAAAGAACTAAATATTTATCTCCGTAATTCTTGTTACCATCAATATTTTTGAGTTTAAATTTAGAGTAATTTCGTTTTTGTGTTGGTAAATCATAATGTATGGCCCAATTTTTATCAACATTTCCTATTTTTCCTAGTTCTATTATCTCATCATCTTTCATTGTACGATCATCAAGGATTATCCAATTTCCTGGAGATGCCTCACCAAAAAGCTGATAATGATTCATAAATCTTGGAAGTCTGGAATAAGTAATTGTGTAACTTTCAAGATATACCTTTGAAGATAGAAAATCCCATGTAATTTCCATAACTGGATCATTAAGTGCAGTAAGAAATCTATCATAAGCATATTTATAGAGATCCAAGAAAATGCAATCAATATTTGCGCGAGTGGAAGGATTTGGCTCAGCAGAAAAAAATAGTAGATGAGTTTTTAGCTATTAAAAATCCAGCTTTTGTAAGATTTTCTTCTTCGTATGCTTCTCGCATTGCTGTAAATAAATCTGTGAAATTGGAAATGCTGCCTGAATAAAGCCTTGTTGTAACGTTAATTGCAGACAACTTCTTAAGAGAAGTTGAAAGATAAAAGAAGCAGAATAGAATCATCAAAAAAATTTATCCAAAAAAAAATCGAGTTTTGAAAAATGCAAAATATTGATTATTATTAAATTTTCATGATACAATAGTGATCAAACAGCAAATTACATGAAAATTTAAAGACTTGATTTTATAAATCTTGTGAATTCAAAATTGCCTTGTTTGAATAGTAAACAAAATTGAATTTATACAGTATAAAACTAAAACAATAATACTACGCGCAACTTTGAATTTGATCGGTTTTTTACATTCAATTTTGTCATCTCTTTAAGAGTCCACGGTCCGGCCAAGCGAAGGCTATCGTAAATCTTCAAAATTTATATGGCAAGGTCCAAATCTAATTATAGATTCTGATTTGATATCATATTTATATACTGTTTTTAATATAATTTTTAGATTTCGTTAACCAAGAAGCTCAAAAAAATCGATTCAAGAGGAAGACGATAACGATAATTCTCATTTTAGCATTCAATTTTTGAATAGTATTGAAAATGTACCGTGGACCCTTAAATATACTCATGAGGCTCCAGTTTACTCCGTCTCAAAAGTCGCTACATTTTTTCATTAGAAATTTTCAAAAAAAGATAAATAAACCGTTTATTATAAATAAAACAATAAATATAATTAGTCAAAAGGTTAATGTTCCGTTGGGAACTTTGATTCTTGGTAGTTAAGATGGTCATTTTGTGCCATGAATGATTCTGGACATTCTTTTTCTTCAAAATCAAGATCAAATGGATCATTTTCTTCCAGAGTATGTGTCCAAATTGGATTCTCTGTAGTGACCATGATGTTCGTGTCAATATATGTTTCCATCTTCGTTTCTTCTGATGCACTCTTCAATGATTCGTCCGATATCTCTTGTGTGTCACTGTCTTCTTTCCGACGCTTGAATAGGATGAAGAAGATAATAAGAGAAAGAAGAAGTAATCCGCAGATAACACCAACAATGATTGGCCAGATACTTCGTTTCTTAGTTGTGGTGCTTCCTTCGATTTTGAGAGCAGATGTAGCAGCTGGTGTAGGTGGTAGTTCTTCTTTAGAAATAGAAACAGCTGTTAAATCGGGTGTTCTGTGAACTGTGTTGTATGGTGCTTGATGTGTTGTGATGAATGGTGTAGAATAAACTGTTTCGAATGCTGTACTAAATGGAGTTGATGACATAGTGTCGAAAGGAGTTTTGTGTGCTGTGCTATGTGGTGTAGAAAATGCTGTGACAAATGCTGTACTGTGTGGAGTTGAGTGTGGTGTACTAAATGCTGTTGAATGTGCTGTACTGTGAGGAGTTGAGTGTGCTGTACTAAATGCTGTGCTATGTGGTGTAGAAAATGCTGTCTTGAAAGGAGTAATATGGAAAGTGCTGTGAGGAGTGGAATGAGCTGTGGAATGTGGTGTACTATGAGGAGTAGAGTGTGCTGTTGAGTGAGGTGTGGAGTGGAATGTACTGTGAGGAGTAGAATGTGGAGTACTGTGGAATGTACTATGTGGTGTTGAATGAGCTGTGGAATGTGGTGTAGAATGGAATGTACTGTGTGATGTCGAGTGGCCAGTACTAAATGGAGTGGAATGTGCTGTAGAATGTGGAGTTGAGTGTGCTGTACTAAATGCTGTTGAGTGTGGTGTAGAGTGGAAAGTGCTGTGTGGTGTTGAATGTGCTGTTGAATGTGGTGTTGAATGAGCTGTGCTGTGTGGTGTTGCTGGTGGGATAGTGAATGAAACAAATGATGGATTGAAATAACTTGTCGGTGAATCAATCCTCAGTTTAGCTGAACTATATTTAGTTTGTGAGCCTGCTGTCTTTTGTGGAAGTTTTGTGATAGCGGTTGCAACATATGTGTATTCGGTTGGTGATGCAACATTACTTGTTGTGCTATCACCGACGTTAGAAATAGTCGCGTAAGAATATGAAATAGATGTTGGATATGTCAATTCTTTGTCTTCTTTGCCTGAACAAAGATCAATTGTGTTTGGATCTGAGTTGAATCGATTGCCAAGAAAAACCATACTTGTGACGTCTTCAAGCCATGTGCGAACAACTTGTGAAACTGATTGTGATGGAAGTTCATTAGGATTGAAGTTATATATGTAATCATCATATGAAATGAATTCCGTGTATCCATCAATTAAGATCTCGTGTGCTGCACCATCACCGAATGTTTGGCCGGTGTATGTTGATGTGTCTTTGTAGAAACAACAGTGATGTGTTTCAAAATGTCGCTTTTCATATGTTTGAGCACCATTAATGAGATTTCCTTTCTTGTCATCAGAAGAGAATCCAATAGCACCACCACCACGACCAACAAATCGTGTTGATGTGACTTTGTTAGAAAAATCATTATTGATACTTTCGCCTTTCTCTTGACGAAGTTTATATGGGATATGAAGCTCTGTTTGGTGTGCATCAACAACGTTGCATGAGAAAACAACGTAGTTAAGTTTAAGACTGTCAACATTCATAAGACGAATGGCACCACCGGAAAAACAGCATCGGTTGCTGTTGAAAATAGAACGCTCGATATAAACTTGTTTTCACTTGTTTTCGAAGTAGACTGCGCCTGCGTGCTTGTATGCTTGGTTAGATGTGAATACTGCGTTTGATAAGTATGATGCTGTAGAAACTAAGCACAAAGCACCACCATAAGCTGCTGAATTTCCGGAAAAGATTGAATTTTTACTTGAATCTGGTGAAACAATTTGGAAAACTGATTCGTGAAGATAAAGTGCTCCGCCGAAGCTTGATGAAGTAGACTTTCCAAAAGCAAAATTATTTTCAAACTTACTTTCTGATGTAATTGTAACATCACATTTGTAGTACACATAGTCCCTCTTGCTCGATTGTACAATCGCGGACTTAAACGTTAATAATTGGTTATCAACAGAGATAAGAACTGTATAATCTGGCTGAAGGAATTGTGGTTCTTCTTCTCCACTGAGAAGATAGTGACTTTCTGATGTTTCGCCAATTTTTGATCTTATCAGAAAGAGAAAAAGTAAATGCATTTGAGTTTTGAAATTTTTGAAAATAATAATTTGGAATATGAACAAATGATACAAATATGTAGAACATAATAAATTGGTAAAAAATAGTGAAAAAGTAGAATTATTCTAAACTACGATTAGAAATTTTGAATATCCATTCAAAATTGACTGGATAGAAATTGTCCTACAATTCGATATAGAATTCAACGATTACGATTGTTTATGGATACAAATAAATATGAATTTCTAAAAGTCATATTAACAAAATTGAATGAATTCCACGGTTTTCAATTCTAAAGTTTCGAAATACATCAGACATGTTAAAAATCAAACAACAATTTGAATCTAAATTTTCTTTTCATTAAAGATTGGAAATTGAGCGGGCAATTTTAAACTCATTTCAGGAAACATATGTATAATTAATTTCACCGATTAGTTCATAATATGATCAATCAGATTCAATTGAAGCTTGGCTCATTATTCCTTGATAGATTGGCAACACTATCATAGTTCAGTACTTCTATCTAATAAAATTTGTGCAAAAACACACCCAAAATTTATTATTCTGGTCTCAAAAATTATCCAATTCCCAATTTTCTCAATTTTTAAGGTTAAATTTATATAAATCTAATGATTATCTTCTTCTTACACTTTCACACACTTTCAATAAAAAAGATTTCTGCTATTAATATTACATCCAGACCTTATTCTGGTAATCTTAAGGATTTCAATGATTTATTTACAGCGATGCGCGAAGTTTATGAGGAAGAAAATCTTACCCGAGCCGGCTTTTTAATTGCGAAAAATTCGTCTTCTTATTACAGTCAAGATCAGGCTACTGATGTAGGTCGAACCCCGGTTGATTCTATTTTTTTGACCCATCTTAAATATTCAGGATTGAGATTTCTTACTAGGCCAGGTGATCCAATAATGGAAATTACTTTTGACTTTCTATCTTCAAAAGTAAATCTTGAAAGATACACAATTACATATCAACCATGAACCATTATCAATTATATGGTGAAGCATCCCCTGGTAATTGGATACTTCTTGATGATCGAATCTCAGCGGATTCAGAAATTATTAGTATCGGTCAATTAGGACCAGAGCCTCTAAATTGGGCAGCTCATTACTCATTGCCACCTCAAAAAAGAAATTACTCGAAGTTTAAAATGAAAAATATTGATATAAACAAGAACTATAATGACGCCTATTTAGTAATTACAAAGCTATTGTTTTATGGTACCCTATATCCAGGCAAAATGCTCTATACTCCAGAAAAGGTTAAGAAGAAAGATCAAATGTTATTTAATTTTGCGATGTTTGCTAATTTTGTATAAAAATTTTCATGTTATTTAGAAAATGTTATTTAAAGCGTAATGACGAATCACTAGACTTCATTTTAGAAAGCAACGTTTTTGAGAAAGTGCAAAATGTTGTTAGCAAAGAGATTTTGGATAGATATTAATTAATAATTGACAAAAATCAGCTTAACTTTGGTTCTTGAATCAATCAACATATTTTGAATAAATAAAAAACGTGGTGATTAAATTTCTAAGATCTTGATCATTATATGAGACATTATTCGTAATAATCTCCTATCCTGTGGTTCTTGGTAGTGAATCTTTTAATTTTGGAGGTTCTGGACAAGCTTTGATACATTCATTTCATCAGAATCGAATTTTAAAAAAAAATCAATTGAATAGGAAAAATTGAATGCCTACGACCGGATTTGAACCGGCGACCTTGCGCTTACAAGGCGCACGCAATAACCACTATGCTACGCAGGCTATTCAATTTAAAGATTTGACAAAAATATATAATAATAATTCAAAGATCAAAATGTAATAAATGTTAATTTATTAGCATATTATAGGCACAATGTGAATCAATCTAATGTATTACAATAAAATATATTTATATAAAAAAATTATATAATTTTTTCCCCCTTATCGCCTAATCTTGGTAATGAAATTTTTTATATTATGCAGTCAGATTTATAGATTCAAATCGCAAAGGAAACTATCCATTTTTTAATTATGTCTGATACCGATTCTAGCGAATCATCATCAAATAAAGAAAAACCAGCTCAACCCGTTCTTCCAAAAACAATAGCATTTAGGAATTATTCATTATTAGATCCTGATTTTGAACGAGATTATTATAATAAATTTTATACCCCATCTTATTACTTTGTTAATGATACTGTAGACAAATCGCTAGATAACATATCTCAAATAATCGAATTTACTCCATTAAATCAGATTATTAAAGATCCACCTGAATTAATTTCGAAATTTAAATCATACATTCTCAATTTAATACCACAACAATCATATTCAGATGTTTTAAATCAATGGCCTCCTATTTTTCCTTCAAAATCTCTTCAATCTCGTCCATTATTTAAATTATTACTAAAATTAGTTAAATTATCAAGGAAACCAGATAAAATTTTTGCATGGTTCATTTCAGATGTATTCAATCGTATTAACGTTGTTATCAATAATAAAAAACCTTTACTTTCTTCTGCAATTTTAATTACGAAATCAAGATTAACAACATATGCAATGCTCGACGAAAAAATGTATCTTCACATTTACACTCAATCCAATCCGAAAAAGCGATCGTTGACATCTCTTTTCAATGAAAAAGCTGTCAGAGCGATTCCATCTGAAGATGGCAGCACTATTACGATTACTGGACCTCTGGCCAATGTTATTAACACAATTACATTAAGGAAAAAGGAACTTGTGACTCCTTTCTGCCAATCTTTCTCTAAAAAACCTCCTCATTTTTATATCTTTATGTCTGACATACAAAATCCCATTCCAAAGCCAATGTACGATGCAATACTTCAATCTCTTATCAATGATGATGGTATTGCTCTAAGAGCTCTCGCTGCTCCTGAAACAATTCCAAATGAACACAAAGTGAAGGTCTTTATCGCAATTCTGGATATCGGAGCGTCAACAGGATGTTTAATTTCGATGCTTTCTACCATTTTTTCTGCAATTTTCGAATTGCCAGATGCAAGTATTAAATTTTTGACTGGTCCTGAATCAATTATCCTCACTTTGTCACAGGCAACAGCTATAAGATTCAAAGGTAACTTCCAAGAGACGTTTATTACAGAATTGGCAAGTTATTTAACTGAAAATAAGGATATTAACTTATTTGAGAAGCCAAAGGAGTTTGAAGATTGTCTTTTCACATGTCTTGATAAGATATTGACAACAATTGACCAAATTCCAAAGCCAATCAGACTTGTTTGTTCAATGATCCAAAATTTTGCTTGTTTAAGGTTCAATAATCGCGAAACTGTTTGGGCTCTTGTTGGTTTCTTCCTTGGATCATTCTTACATATTCTTTTGGACCAAATTGCGATGAAAAATCAAGAATCTCAAAAAATTATTAGAGAAATCGGAAAATTAGTACGATTAACATTCACCGCTAATGAGTTCTTCCCTAAGTATGCACTTCCTGGCTGGAATGAACGTTTGTCTTCCGAATTTAAACCAAAATTATACATTTTCCTTGCAAATGTCTGCAAAGTTCCACCCGATGTTCAATTTGGAGATCCTCCCAAGTCACATATTAAGATAGGAATTGAAGAAATCATCAGAGTCATTGCAGAACCAAAAATTAACCAAAAAATTTGCGAAAGTATCAGAAAAATTACTGAAGGAGAGGTCCTTCATACAACAGCTTTGTCATGGGCTGTTGCTGCTTCAATTTCAATGCAATTCTCCTTGAATCAAGAGATGGTCGCTCCAAATTACCCAGAAGTTCTTTCTCTCGCCCCATTAATCAAACCAAACAATGAAGCTTCTGGTTATGCTGCTCTTGTCGATCCGAAAGAGTCAGAAAAACAAAATATTAAAATTTCATCTGACCAAAAAGAAGCGGAAAAGGAAGAATCAAGTGATTCCCCTGGATTAAAGATAGATCAGAACGTTGCAAAGACAGCAGAACCTGATTATTCTTATTATTCGTATTATAGCGATGAATACGAAACAGATGACAAAGATGAAGAGAGTGATTCCAAGAAAGTGGTCGTTTCCGTGGTTTCTGTTGATCCTACTAAAAAACCTGTCGTAAATGACAAAGAAAACGCGCAAGATGAAGATTCCATTCAATCATACAGCGATGTTTAATTATTATTATCTTTTGTTATCAATAGTAAAGAATTTCTTATGTTTTTTTGTATGAATTTGATCAAATTTTTTTCAATTTTTAATAAACATAAGATAAAAAGCTAATTAATATAAATACATTTGCTATACATTAGAAATTTAAGCTTGTTGAACTTTAAAAGCATAATTTAAAAATTATTAGTTCAAAATTCATATGAAAAACTCTAACAATAGTAGGGGAAAATCATTAATTTAGAATTTTTTAGTTGAATTGCATATATGTTGTTATGATATTTACTGATATTATATATATATCAGATAAAATGATGTTAAAAATATTGTTAACGCAGTCTGTTAATAAAAATTTTTGACTTATTATGTTCAAAAAGCCAGAAATTCGCATGTAAATTGGTTAAAAATATGAAATAAAAATGGTATTTTTGAATTTTCAGATATTTACAAACAATACAATAAAATATAACAATAATATATATGCAACTAGATGATACTATATGAAAAATTCTTAAAATATTCATCAGTGAAGTGTAATTCTTGCATTTGCGACCTTCTTTTAGAGAATCTAATGTAGATACAGTATGCAAGTATAACAATGATAATAAATCCAACAAACGATGCAACAGAAATCATAATTATTGTTTTAGTATCGAATTTACTATTTGTAGGCGTTGTTGTGAAGTTAAATGGGGTCATCTTGCATTCTCCATTGCCAATTTCGGATAAAGCAAGCGTTGTGGCCGTTGTATCGTTGAATGTACAAAGATTAAAGATACAATCTGAGAGATTTTCCTTGGATATATCGAAAACGCACTGAATTACATGCATTATTGTTGTTCTCATCTCACTCAAGAAGGATTTGAAGTTGTTTGCCTTGAAAACTGAATAAGTTATTTGATTTGCCGAAGATGCTTCGAAATGAAACATTATTTTAACAGTATTATTAATGTAGTTTGTTTTGGATGTCAAAATTGAATTCCACGTTAAACCTTCCCCGACCATTGACGAATTTATTCCGACATTTTGAACGAGATTGACAAAAATCGTAGCGCAATTCTTAGTGTCGACATGCTTAATGAAACAACCAGCACCATTTAAAAAATTGTTGGTTATATTTAGGTGTTGAACCTTAAAATTGTTCAAAGAACATTTAAATTGAAAAGCTGTAATGCCACAAGCATCCGGTGATAGTCCACACTTGTGAATATTCAAATGATAAAGGTATCCGTCTTTGCATGTTATATCTATCGGCTGAACCCTTTCTGTAGGATTCGTATGGCACGAAAGGAAGCAATTACCGAATAGTTTTGCAGAATTAGCGTTGATTTTGCCGCCAGAAGCTCCAGTTGAAGAATAACAAGATCGAAATATTGATGAGTTAAGAACAACAGAGCGTTCTGGTGAATTAATGAATATAGGTCCACCGCTGGCGTTAATTCTTGAAATATTAATGAATGTGCACTGGCAAATTGAAATATCAACATTTGTAAAGTCGACAGAAGAATTAAAGCTATTTTGATAAAAGCTTTTCGATGGGGAGTCGTCATATTGGTACTTAGTTGAAATTTCAGAGACAAAATTTTTTAATTCTTTTTTATTTTGTTTTTCTTGTGATAAATTGTGTGTTTTACTATCTTCTATGGCATCCAAATTGTTCGGAGGTGTGAATCCGTTCTCTTTGGTGTCAGTAAATAAAAAAAATAGACATATCAAGATCATGAAAAAAAAATAATAAAAATTAATTCAATTGTCAGATTTGAAAATCTCAATTTACAAAAAGTGAAATCAAGTTATTATTTCGGTCTTAAATTGTTTATTATGATTAGTACAACTGATTTTAAATTAATCGGATCAGCTGATCAGATCATTTTTACTGACTGGAATACAGGTAATTTTTTTGCAAATCTATGTTCATACATATTAATAGTAGCATGGCCGCGATTTGTTGTTTGAAAGAATCCATTCAAATTGCAATCGAAACTGAAATTGTGTAATGATTTTTCCGAAAATCACAATTTTCTTAGATCTTAGAAAAATCGATTGTGTATAAGCTAAATAAGTATGTTATTGACTATGTGTTCTAATCGCGAACCAAAGAATCTGAAAATTGAAACAATAAATATAAATACAGACTATTTAATCTAAAACATCATATATAGTATCTAAGAAATAATCGATGGGAGCAGTAATTAATTCATTTAATACTGATAAAATATTATTTTTTAATAAAATATAAATATCAAGAGTAATACAGGATAATTCAATATCTTTCGATCATTCAATTCGGTTTGTAATTGCAAACATTCTGAAATATTTGATACCGATATGTGAAAATGTCAAAAAAATTGAATTTTGAAAAGTTTCATAAAGAATCGAACAAATCATATCTGCCTAATATCATAAGCAGATGTAAAAAGTCAAAATCTGAAAATTATATTGAATCCATTTCGAAATATTGAAAAAAAATGATTTATCGCAACTAGAATGCCAACTTTGATGACAATAATTCATAACATTCTAATTATAATTTCTGCAAGCAAGTCAAAAGCGAAGTTTTCCATCAATGAATAAAATTGATTTTGATATTGAGAGGAAAATAATCACCCGGCCAAATTATTTGGCATTCTTGATGTTTGTTTTCCTGAATTATTTATGCTATTGCGACGTTAATTTACTTGAAAAAGCAAGAAAACTAGTTGCTGAGCATAAATGGTTCACTGGAAAAGATACAACTACAGATTTAATAAATCAAGTGGGAATTCTTGATGCAGATCCAGAGTTATTCTTCCTCAGAGCTCAGTGCTACTTTGGCCTTGATCAATTTAAAGAGGCTGTTGAAGATCTTTCAAAAGCATTAACATCAACTAAATTCGACAAAGCAAATATGCCAGCAGCATATGAAATACGATATCAGTGCCATCTCAGATTAGGAAATATTGATGATGCCGAGTATGATGCTTCGAAACTTTCATCTCCAGACCCATTAATTAAAGTTCGTAGTTATAAAGACACACTTCAAGAAATTGAACAATATAAGAAGAAAGGGAAGTACGATGAGGCTCTTCTCAACTACAAAGAAATTCTAAAAAGTTGCGATAAAGCTGTAAATCTGATGGTTGAAGCTTCAGAGACAGCTCTTATGGCCGACGACCTTGACTATTTCAATGAAATATCATCTCAGGCAATCCAACTCGACTCCTCAAATCTAAAACTCCTTGAACTTCGTGGAAAATTCTTCCTTTGCGAAAACGACTACGACTTTGCCAAACGTCATTTTATTACATGTGCACAGCGTGCTATTCAAGCTAGCAAATGTCCATCATTAAATAGACAGAACAACGAGCTCAAAACGGCTTATGATAAATTTGAGGTTGCTGCAAACAATTCGAGAGTAGAAGATGCATACTTATTCTCCAATAAGGCATTTGTTATTGCAGAACGTAATTGCAAGAACAATTCCAAGGCATATCTCAAAGCTCTTTCATTAAAGACGAAAGCTTTAGTTGTTGACAATAAAGTCAGCGAGGCCTTGGAATTTGTTAATAATAACCTCAAAAATTACCCCAATTCTACAGATTTATTACTCGAAAAAGGCGATATTTTAATTAAAATGAAGGATTTAGATGAAGCCAACAAATGTTTCCAGCAAGTTCAGCAGAGAGAAAAGAATAACAAGCGTGCAGAGAAAGCAATTAACGATATTTACGATCAAAGAGAAAAAGAAAAGAAATGCGACTATTACGAGCTTCTCAACTTGTCAAGAGATTGTACAAGAACACAAGTAAGAGATGCTGTAAGAAGAGCAGTCCGTAAATATCATCCTGATCAGTATTCGGATCCTATTAAGAAGAAAGAGATGGAAAAGATCATGCAGCACGTAAATAGAGCCAATGAGATCTTAAGCGATCCTCAGAAGAAGGCTTTGTATGATAGAGGAGAAGATCCAGATAATCCAGGCTACAGACCACCACCAGAGGGCCAGCAATCTGAACAACAGTTCTTTAATATGGGTAACGGACAATTCTTCACTTTTAATGGAGGAGGATTCAATATGGGCGGTGGTCGCGGATTCAAAATTATTTTTCACTAAAATTTGACCATTTATCTTTATATTAAATAGATAAACATCTCTTATTATTTCAATGTATTTGGATACAGAATTTATTCAAAATTGAAAAAAAATTGAAAATTAAAACGAAATCAATGATTTTGACTGAGCAAATATATATTATAAGGAATAGCTATCAAATTATGAATCATTGATAAAACACTTATATTTAGAATAGATAGATTGCAACCAATGGAACGGGAAAAAAGCATAAATACCCTATTATCGTCGTTAAATTTCATGTTCATGAAACTTGTATTAATATATGATATGAACAATTACTAGAAATAAAGAGAATATGGTTAATTTGATATTGCATTAAAAAAATTAGAGAAAATCAATCAATTTGATATCCAATAAGTTGTACATATGTATCCAATACAGATATTTAATTATAAAAGAGAACTATTTGATTTGATTGATTTTGAAAAGGAGGGTCAAATTGATTGAATCCGATATATCAAGAAATATAAAAATGAAAAGTGTGATTAGATATTCTAATTATGAAAACGATGATTTGAATTAAGTTTGGTCATAATTATGAAAATTGAATGCTTTCGAAATATGATCGTTTATTAATTAAGTTTATTCATTGTTATGAAAATTTGATAATATGATAATGTTGTGAATCGATCGGTTACGATTGTCAAAAACAAAAATAACACAAAAGTGATATGAAATTGTGGATAGCTCACATTAATTTTGAATTGAAATGTGGTAGACCAAATAATGTTTTGATTTAAGATATATAACAATATTTAATGATATTTTTAACCAAAATCTCGTGCTATTTAAAATATGATCGGTTAATGATTCAAAAAAATTATAGTATGAAACATTATTGTAAATTAAACAACTTACCATTTATATATTTTGAGTGGTCATAACTTTTCAAAACAATTCAAAATGTTGAAATTAAAAATACGTGTGATATTATTTTACACATAATTCTACATTTTAAAAAATTGTGAGGAATTTTTATAGTTTCCGGAATTATGTATAACATCATAAATTATATATTTCTCGCTTTAAAATTGATATGAGATAAAACAATGAAAAACTGACCAAATTGATAACTAATTAGTTCATCTCATATTTCATATCATTCTATATTATCTCTATGTAATTGATATTTTTGTTATAACAATTAAAAAATTCCGGTCAATTTTACAAATCCGTAGATGTAAGGATGTCAATTCGGAAAATTGTTTTCGTTTTAGGAGAATATAATTTTCCATTTGGAAAATTTAAAAAGTGAGACGCGCAGGATTCGAACTTTTTTAAAAGTTGATTTAAATATATTCTAGTGTGGAATCTAAGGATAATATCATATTTAAAATAAGAATATACGAGTTTAGGTAGTATTATTTTTTTCGATAAATTTGAGAGTATGTACGTTTAGGGCATCAAAAGTGTCAATTCGCTCAGCGAAAGCTGAGCTAGCTTCGTTCTCGAAAAAATAGGGAAGAAGTGAAGGAGAGTGATACAGATGTTGACACATTCATATAATTTCAACAAATTTGATCAAATTGAAATTCAATGAAATTCAATTCACTTCATATCCTTCAGTCAGTACATTGACATCCTTCTACATCACAATGATAACTCGTGCATCAATAGTTCTACAACTAACTCAGAAAAAAAAACAAGATTTTTACTTCCAGCTTGCAGCTTTTAAAAAGTTTCGATGATAAAAATCACTCTACTCTTGTTTATAGATATGTGATGATAGTAGGTAAACATATTCTTATCGATTTTAATTAAAATATTTTTACGAAAATCTGAACCAATTACAGAGTTATTCATAAAGTTTATGATAACTGTAATTATTTCATCTTTGTTTTATATTTGAATAAACAATTTAATTTAAATTGCATAATATTTTTTGGTTGAAAGACAGGAAACTTAATTGAGTTTGTATTATTTTTATCGTTTAATTCATCGTATCAGTGAGTGATCCAGATATTTAAGATATTTAGAAAAAATTATTAATTTGATTAACAAATTTTAATCAAAATAGCAAAAATCTATTTGATAGCTGTAAACAAACAATAATTTTTATTTCAAGCAAAATCACTTATTTTCATCTAAACGTATAAAATTGTCAATTTTATAAAAATAAATTGAAAATCTCAAGAAATGTAAAGGAGAGTAATATTTTTCAATTTTCTTTTTTTCTTTGTCTCAAATATTTTTCTGTTGGAATTTTCTTGTTATCAAAAATAATTTTAATATTTGTTTATTTTATTACTATACAATAAAATTTTAAAAACTCTATTTTTCTCAAGAAAATTTTTTTCCTTCATATGAAGAAACATTTTGTTCTCCATTTAATACTGAGTCTAAATCTCGATTTTTGAATTTTCTTCTTTCCAAATTTCTTTTTTCCAAATTAGAAGTTTAATTCAAATTTTCAATAGTTTATATATTTTCTCAAACCGTCTCAGATTTTCTCACTTTTTAGGGATTTTCTCTCAAAATATACAAAAATAGTAATATCAATACATGTGTCTAATATACTTTAAAACCATCGTGACAAAATTCAAAAACGAAGAGTTCTTCTCTCCAAATTTTTTTCAAAATCAAAAAAATGAGATAAAAAAGTACGTTTGGAAAATTCATTTTTAGCATTTTAGGAATTTTCTCACTTTTCTTCCAAATTGACATCCTTAGTAGATGCTATCAACATTATAATGATTTATGATATTTGCCCTCAAAAACAATAACCCTTATTTTCAAAGCAAAAAGGTCGAATAAAAATGTGACAATAAAAATTGTGAGAAATGAAAAGTCTCAGAATCACAGACCAATCTTTTAATTAATTTTTCGAATGTATCTTACCAATTTTGCTGCCCTTCAGAAAGCTCATATGGAGTTTGCCCAATTTGATGACCAGCAATTTGCCACAGATCCGCTCGTTCTCCAACTTTCTTTTCCTGATCAATGAGAATTTCTCAGATTATCTGCTTTCTTCAAATTCGCTTCTGATCGAAATAAACGCAACATGGCCCTTTCAACATTTCAGAAACATCTCCAACTCATCAAAACATACGTTGCAAGAGGAGATTATACTGATTTTGATCGCGGACTTGCTTGTGGTATTAAGTTCGGTCCCAACTATATGCTGGTTAATACCAAGCGTCTCAAATTATTTATGGGCCGTTCAAAATCTTGTTTGAACGGTTGTTTCCATAAATGCGGGTACAATGTTTCAAGAATTTCTTCCGAGGAAAATCAAATTATCGCCGAGTTTTCCAGAAGATCCGGGCGCCCACTTCCACAGCCGCGTCAATGGTGCATTAGATCCAACGATCCAAATATTGCATCAGCTCAATCTGAATCAATTTCCGAAAGTGAAATTGAAATCGAACCAATGGAGACCTACCTTAATGTTTCTTCATTGCTCAATCGCAAGCCCGAGTCTATATAAGCTTTTCTTTGAAATACTTGTATGTCTTTGCTTTCATGCATAACTATTTAGTAAACTATTCATTATTCTTAAATACAAAAAATTTCCAATTTACGATTCTGATTTCCTTTCTCAAGACAGAATTTTTTCCAATCGTACACAAAATTTTGCCATTGGGAGCTTAATTATGGGTTCCATCGCAATTAAATTGTGTTTCAATCAGAAATTAAATGAAATGGCTCGATTTGAAAATGTCATGTTGATATGGGAGATAAATTTGCCCAATTAATAACAGATTATTAATGCATTATTAGGGTTCAACAAAGATTGTTGTAAACAGAAATTCATCAAAAGTGACACTTCAGAAAAGCTAAAATATTGAATTTTTGGAACTTTTGATAGAGCACGTTTTTAAATATTAATTAAAGTAAATGTATATTTTGTAAAGATTCTTTTTAATAAAAAAATAAAATTTTGAAGAAGAACACAAAATCTTCTGAAAAATAATATCACATAAACTCATATTATTTTCTAATATATAACTATTTTATATAAAAATCAAATTCAATGATCTTAAAAGCGAAGGATAAACCTCAAAATTTACGAATATAATGAGTGGGAATATAATGCTTATCTATCATAAACCATATGAAATATTAATTTTTGCTTTACGCCTAATTTTTGACGACAATTAGCAAAAAATGTTAAATGTTAACACTCAGTCCATTTGAATATGAAAAATAAAATTGACTTTGATTAAATGTTTTTATTTATCATGCAATTCTTCTTGCGACCAAAGATTTGAATAAAAGTTCAAAAAATAAGATAGCTTAAAAAATAATATACGGTAGTGTTTACTAATAGATGAATAGTATATAAATTCTATTAAAATGGATTTGATCCAAAAAAATATAAAACCAAAAATAATTGTTATAATTTAAATGAAGAAGTAATTTAAAACGATTTTATTTATGATCAAATTTTATATATTTTTTTGGATCAAATCCATTTTAATAGAATTTATATACTATTCATCTATTAGTAAACACTACCGTATATTATTTTTTAAGCTATCTTATTTTTTGAACTTTTATTCAAATCTTTGGTCGCAAGAAGAATTGCATGATAAATAAAAACATTTAATCAAAGTCAATTTTATTTTCATATTCAAATGGACTGAGTGTTAACATTTAACATTTTTTGCTAATTGTCGTCAAAAATTAGGCGTAAAGCAAAAATTAATATTTCATATGGTTTTATGATAGATAAGCATTATATTCCCACTCATTATATTCGTAAATTTTGAGGTTTATCCTTAGTAGTATATGTTGAAGGGTTGTGTGACTTTTTTTGTAAACGTAAGAATTCATACAATATTGAACGATTTTGTATCATTTTTTTTAACATATGAAGTAAAAAATGTATGATTCTTACGGTTTTTATTCTTGCGTTTTTGAATAAATCAAGATTTAAAAAATTGACTTCTTACGTAAAATTAAAACTAAGTTAAATTTATTTTTTTAATTTTTTATTTAATGATAAATGAGTATAACAACTAATTCATTGAAATCTTTAAAGTTCACTAATTCAGAATTAGAAAATATTTTAGAAAATTTTGGAGACGGTTCTTATCCAACATATATGCAGAATGTGAAAGAGTTTTCCAGATTGTTGAATGAATTTAAATATAACGGACCAATTACTAAAAAGGCTATAATGAGATATTTATATCCCAAAAAAGTTGAAAAACAGGAGAATATTCCTCTTTATGGTCCAGAGGACCTGGGCTCAGAGAGCCTTGAAACACCTCCTGAATATTTTGAAGAAAAAATTAAACAAGATGAATATTATAACGATGAGATTGAGAAATTGGAACAATTAAGAAATGAAATAGATGAAAAAATTAAGGAATTGAGAAATGCTGAGAATGAAGTAGAGGGTTTAATGAATATCCCAGCTTCAGAATCAGAAGTTCAAAAATCACATGAGGAAAGATATAAAAATTACTTTTTGGAATCTACTAAAAATTTATTAGATGGTGATATTGACGAAACACTTTCAGAAGAAGGCACAAAATTTATTCATAAACATAAGCTTCAGTTTATTGACGATGGAGATTATCCATGTATATTACTTTCACCTCCTCTTGATTCTGAAAAATTCAAAAAAGCACTGAAAAATGTAACATATGCAACAAATACGATTAAGAAAGAAGACCATGATATTTACACAAATTATTATTTAAATAAATGTACAGGTGTTGATAAAGTTTTTGATTTGTTAGATAAAATATCAAAAGAAACAATTGGAACCTATAAAATTTTATGTGATTGTGGTTTCATTATTGAAGATACCAATAATGTTTCATATGAAAGAACAGCACCGAAGGAAGACGAAGTTGAAAGGTCTATACCATTCGTTATTAAGAATATAAAAGATATGAAAACGTATAAGCATTATATTTATTCATTTATTTCAGAAAAAATGGAAGCAACCCATAAAATCATCTCATCATTTTATAGCTATTCATACATTCCTTTTCAAAGTTGTGAAATTAAATAAGACAGGAATTAGATTTAATGTATCAGGGTACGCATTCTTGAGTAAATTAAAATGTATTCGTCACGTCGCAGATGATAAAAATTTATGTGTTCTTAATTCATTTTATGGACTTTAGCCCTGGACTCTCTGAGTCGGACTTTAAAAAAATAAACTTTATTTTTATTTATTTTTTAATTTTTATTCTTACATAAATGAACAAAAATGGAACAGCTAAAATGAATGATAATCAAATAAGAGCCGAAGGTAGAAGGTTATTTAAACGCTTCTATAACATTCCTGATGGTGTTAATCCTAAAACTCGTAGAAGTTATTTAAATGAAGCCATAGATGCATATGAAGGTTTGACATTTCATCAGAAAGTGAGAGGTTAGCAAGAATGTTAAATGTTAATATTGATTTTCTATTATTGTGATCCTCAACCAGAAGACGTAGACATTAACAAGGTAGACTTTCCATTAGTGGATTCAATAATGATAGATCCAGAATTTGAAACAGTAAATATTTTATTAACACAGAGTCCATGTGGAAAACTTCACGCTGACAGAATAACAGACGTTGAAGCACTCACAGGATATAAAGTTTGCCCCTTTTGCAAAGAAGAAGTATATTCTATCCGTGATGATCCAGAAAGGAAAAACCAAAGAAGATTTTTAAAACATTGTGAGAAATGTAAAGAAAATAATGGAAGATTAATTCAAGACGTTCAATTGCAAAACACACAACAACCATATGCACCACATATTACGAAACAGAAGATATATCAATGGCTATTAGCACATAATTTGCAGGAATATTATAAACCGACAAGATATTATATTACTTTTGACTTCGAAACATTAGAGACTAAAGAAGAATTACAACTTTCTGAGTGTGCAACTTTGAACGCTTACTTAAAACCATTTCATGGTATCATCAACGGTTAAATTAAACGATAAAACATATACGAGGAATTTTTGCTTAACTTCGAGTGATTCTTTTATTTCTGATTGGATTGAATTTTTATTTTCAACCTGTTCATTAGTTGCTAAATCAAATATTGAACAATATGAAGAATTAATGAAGTCGCAAACGGCGGGGACTTTGTCTCATACATTAAATGAAAAACAGAAGGAAGCATTTAAAGAGCTTTTAGATGAGGAATTCAATAAAGTGAATATCATTGGTTTTAATTCAGGAAAGTTTGATTTAAATTTAATTCTTCGTGATTTAAATACTGCAAAATGGAAGATAAAATCAATGCTGGGTTCTTCTTCTCAATTTAAGCAAATCATTGTAAAGAAAACAAACGTTCCATATGAATTGAGATTTATTGACATCAGAAATTATATAGCGGGTGGAACATTAGACCAATTCACTCAAGATTTCGGAAACAATAAATCACGTGTTAAATCCTTTTTCCCTTATCAATTCATCACATGGGAGAATTACGAAGATGAATTATATAAAAAGGAACCATTCACTCAAGATTCATTTTATTCAACATTAACACAAGAAACAATATCCGATTCAGATTATCAAATATATCTCAATGATGCTAAAAATTTTAAGAATAGATTAGAATATTTTATTCATTATTGCAATAAAGATGTTGAAATTATGATTGACCCAATTGATAAAATTATCGAAGAAACATTTGTTTATAAAATTGACATGCTTCATAATCTTTCTTTATCATCGAATGCATCAATGATTCGTTACGCGTTAGCATATAAGAACTTCAATCCTAACGAAACATATCCAGAAGAAGAAAATGTGGAATCAAGTTTTGAATTAACAAAAAAGTATTGGAAATATAAAATTGAATCATATAAGAAACAAGATGAAAAAGCAGAAAGGGATACTAAAAACAATGTTTCAATGGATGACTATCAATACTATCACGATTTAATCCTTTCATCTAAATGCAAAATGTGTGGTAAAGCGTTTACATATGCAAATAAACCAACATTGGATAGAATAGATAATGAAAAACCACATACCAAAGAAAATTGTCAGTTAATGTGTTGTTATTGCAATGTCGTAAAATCAAATAAAGATGAAGATGTTCAACGTTTAAGAATCAATTTAAGAAATTATGCATTAAAAAATAATTTACCAATGACTTTAGATTCAGTTGAAGCTTATCACATTCTCCGTAATGGAATTACTGGTGGTCTATCAAATGTTCAACATCGTGTTAATCTTAAAGGAATCACGCACATTAATAAACTTTCATATAATCCAGAAACTAAAACTGTATCAAATGAGGACACCACCAACATTATGACTCATTTCGTTGGAGTTGACTTTAATTCATTATATCCTTCATCATTTTCATCTAATCCTCATGATTTCATTCAATATACTGACCATAAAATGTATATGCCGGGAAGATTGAATGGTGTTATCATTTGTGATACAGCAACAAAGAAAGCAAAAGCACTGGGAATTATTAAGAAAAAAATACTTTATTCGTGGCTGAAGTAAAGGGTCACATTGATGAAAAATACATTAATGATTACATAAACTTTTTACCGATAATAAGAAACTTAGATATTATCACAGATGAAAAAACAATTGGCAGTTTTATGTATAATTACATGAAATCAAACAATCTACCAGTTGACCAGAAACAGAGGAAATTAACTCAGTTAGCATCAACACACAACCAATATCAACCATTTTCTTCTTATTATCTTTGGTATCTAATAGACAGATTTCATTTTATCATCGATGATATTCAATCAATTTTAACATTTACGAAAAACACTTGTTTTAATGAATTTGCGAACAAATTTATGAACGAAAGACAAAAGGCTGAATTAGAAGGAAATAAAGGAAAAAGTTTATTTTGCAAGATTTCACTTAATGGATCATATGGTTACGATGCAATGAATACACAAAATTACGCAAAGACTAAAATAATGAATGCACAGAAGCACGCGTTGCATGTATGTCAAATAAGTTTAAAAACATAAGAGAAATAGGTGAAGATACATATCAAGTGATGCTTAAAGATAGATTTTATAGATGTGATACATGTTTACAAGAGGCATTCTTCACTTTAGATAATGCTAAATACTGGTATTTGGTTTTCATTTATGATTTTATGTATAAATGCATGGATGTTAATCGTTTTCATTTCATTGAAGGTGATACTGATTCATCTTATTGGGCAATCGCTGGCGACCCAAATCTTCCTAACACTCAAGCATTTCAAGCAATTGTTACCGATAAACAATTTTATGATAAAAACATTTTCAAATTCGCACCTTTTGATTTCTTCTGTTTTGATGAGAAATTTAAACCTAAATTAAAGAATAAAGCTGAAGAAAAAGCACATGAGAAGAAGTTATTGGGTTTAGCAATTGAGAAACAAGGTGATAACATGGTTGCTTTATGTCCTAAGTGTTATACATCATTCAATGGTTCAATTGATGGAAGTGATTTTAAAAAGATTGCACAAAAAATGAAAGGTGTTAGTTTACGACAAAATAAACAATTAACACCTAAAAATTATTTGGATATAATAAATGATAAATTGATATTTGATGGTCAGAATATTAATTTACAACTTAAAAATGGGTCAATGACTCGCTTAACAATTGGTAAGACTGCATTAACAGGAGCACACACTAAGGCTGTATGTTGTGAAAATGGATGTTGTATGCCATTTATTTAATAAAATACCACAGAAGAGACAAAAGGAACCGTTAATGATGGTTTTGATACTATGATTCAAAGAGGTGGGCACCCTTAAAACATTGATTTTATTTTTATATAAATGAATAACACAGATTTAAAAATTTTAATTGATGATTTAGTATTTAATCAAAATTTTCTTTTATTATGATTTAAAAGCATATCTCCAAAAATATAATAATAATATAACGGGTGATGATATGGAATATTATTATCCATATTATAAAAATGAAATTTTGAAATATCATAATAAAATAATTTCTGAAATTAAAGACAAAATTAAAAATAATGAATATATAAAGGGAAAAACTAAATCACAGCTTAAACAGTTGAAAGATTTCAAAAATAAAGTATTAACAGAAGAAGATATTGATGAATTATATAAATTATATAATCCCGAGCCGCAAAAGCCAAAGGAACAAAAACAAAAGGAACAAAAACAAAAGGAACAAAACACCCAGGTCCTTCAGACCATAAATGATGCACAAGCTTTAATTTATGATTCATTAGTTAAATCATATTCAGCCCGACTTTTAAATGAAGATCAACTTTTGGAATTCATCCTTCAACATAAACTCGAAGCGGGAAAGTATATCAAACCTTTATATACGGCATATTTAAAACAAATGAATAGAATACATCCAGAATTAATGAAGGAAGGAATGAAATCCAAAATCAAAGCAGATAAAATTAAACCACCTGCAACACCAAAACCTCCAACGACGGTACCGCCTCCTCCTTCAGTTAATCCTTCATCATTCACTTTATTATATCCATTTCAAACATTTAAGAAGCAAAAAGATTTTAAAAAGGATTTCAAGATATTAAATAAACCAATTGACCCGAAAATTCAACCATTAAAGGAAAAATTTAGTCGACCTTCATTTGCTCCATATCCATATTCATACGAAATCGATCATCTGGAATATTCAAAAGGAAATGTTACTTATTTATTTGCCATTAACATTAACACTAGATATTTATATTGCATTCCGGTGAAAGGGAAAACAGAACAGGAAACAAGAAGAGCTATTCAATACTTACTAGATCATGAAAGAGTAGATAATATCAGGGGTGATGGTGATAAAGGATTTCAGGCAGCTATGGCTCATTATTTCCCACAAATTAATTTTTACTTTTCATCCTCTCCATATACGTTTCATAATAAAATAGTTGATGCGGTAATGAGAACTCTTAGAGATGCGTTAGGGGTTAACGGTCAGATATACTGGGATGGAAATCATGACTCCATCATACAGCAGTTAGTATATTATTACAATAATACATGGCATAGAACTATAAACATGAAACCGGTGGAAATGAAAAATGATATTTCAAAAGAATGGGAATATATTAGAAAGCAAATGGAAAAGTTAAATGATGTTAAACGTGAACAAATTAATTCGGGCTCATGAATTTTAAACAAGGAAATAAAGTTTTAATTCATCTCGATTATGGAAAAACTGATAAATCAATGACAAAAAGAAGACGAAGATTTGACACAATAGCTGAATTTGTTAGATATATTAACGGCAATGCATTAGTTGAAGTTGACAAGAAATTAATAGAAATTCCGATTTATTTTATTACTCCATTATATTTAAATAATATTTAATTTTTTTTATTTCGTAAGAAATGAGTGACAACAAAGCAGTCAAGAGTCCAGACAATGAATATAAAAAGAAACTAAACAGAATTAAATCAAAAATATGCTATTACAAAAAGAAGTCGCAATGCGGTGGGGTTGAAAACAATAAAACTAATGGAACTGAAAACGATAAAGAGAGGAAAGAAATAATCGAAAAATTAGAAACTTACCGTTCAATCATTAAACTGAGTGAAGCAAAAATAAAAGAATTTAATAGAATAAATAAATTGGTTGGAAGAGATGAATTTAATAAAGATGAATTTTTAAACTCTATCCAAATTTAATTTTATTCCTCTTCGACAACATCTCTCTTTCCATCATTACTGCATAACCACATTTTCTCAATTTTAGTGGTTTGTTATTTTTAACATGTTCTTGCATCATTTTTATCATTTCCTCCCTTGTTATGATTCGTGGTAAATTTTGAGCTTGTGGGGTATTCATTTATGATAAAAATAAAAATTTAAATTATGCCGTTCTAAAGTTTGTGACAACATGACATTTTGACAACAACATGGGTTATTCAATAATTAATTATTTTTGAAGAACTGAAGGGGTCACCAGGTCACCAGGTCACCAGGTCATTTAACTTCTCTGAAAAAATGTGACAACATGACATTTTGACAACAACATGGGTTATTCAATAATTAATTATTTTTGAAGAACTGAAGGGGTCACCAGGTCACCAGGTCACCAGGTCATTTAACTTCTCTGAAAAAATGTGACAACATGACATTTTGACAACAACATGGGTTATTCAATAATTAATTATTTTTGAAGAACTGAAGGGGTCACCAGGTCACCAGGTCACCAGGTCATTTAACTTCTCTGAAAAAATGTGACAACATGACATTTTGACAACATCACAGGATTAATGCAAAAATAAATTCAAATCATACTTTATAAAGCTTCATTCACAGGTATTTCATCGTCAGTAAATGATTCCTCATTATCGTTTGGTTCAATTTGTTTATATAATCCTTTCATTTCTTCTTTCAAAACATAATACCATGTTTGTTTACCATCTATTTTTCTTTGTTTCCTTTCACATTTATCCTTAATGCTCATTTGAAAGTTTTTGTCTTTCATGTCTGATGGTTTGCAGAATAGAGCATTTTTACACGTCATACCTGCACATAATTCATCATAATGTGTATTTATCCATTCATCTAAAGGATTTGTTGATAACTCGATTAAATCTTGTTTGGCTTCAGTCATCGGAATGATTCGTACATTAAATGATGAAAGGTCATATTGCATAAAATATGTTAAAAGGTTATCATAAAATTCCTTTGTGCATGAATCCATTAAATTCTTGAAGTAATCAAATTGACCCTTGAATTTACCATTAACTCTTAAAACTACGTATCTTCTGTCTCCAACTTCAATTTTGACAGGGTAAACGTTATTAGTTACGAAAATGAAGTTTGCAACATTCTGAGCAGTTCTTCTGGGTTGATTCTTTTCATTAATTCTTATCTCATTATCCGTTATAATTGATTTCAAAGCGTTGAAGTTTGCGAGTCTGTCTTCACCTACATTCTTGAGTTCATTAAGTACAAGAAACATTTTATTCTCAACTACTGAGTTGAAATTACCCGTTAGCTCACTTATTTCGGTAATGTTTTTACATGAATAACCAGCGAGAAGTTCAGAAATAATGTCTGTAAATCTGTTTTTACCTGTTCCCTGAAGTCCTTTCAAAATAATTGCTGTTTCATTCTTGATTCCAGGATGTTGAATCATTGATGCAATCCAGCCGAGAAGGTATTTATACACTTCATCGTTATTATCACAAATGGCTTCTTTAATGAAATTCATAAACATCTCAATTTTTGAGTAATCTGGTTTTTCAAGAATGTTGTATTTATAACCTTGAAACGTTGAGAAAACATCTGGGGAATCAGATTTAAAGCAAACACCCTTAACGGTTAATGAGGATAATTGATTTAGTAGTACATCCCATGCTGTTATTGTTTTACCTTCTTCTTTAAATAATTTAATCATTTTAAGTGACTCTTTCATGTTTGACTGAAGAACAAATGATATTTGATTCATTTTGTCGTGTATGTTGTAATCTTTCTGAATGAAGTATTTGTTTCCACAATCTACAAAACGAATGACACGTGATAAATCCTCAATTACTTCAGAACTGTTTTTATACTGATGATTTTCAGCCTTGCGTCTAATATCTGTTATCAAAAACGAGTCATCAAGTTTGATATCAAATGTTATTTTTGGCTTACGTAATAAAGGTAAAACATATTCATCATAATATTCCTTTTGATAAAGTTTTAGAATCTTCACCAAAACAAATGGAGAAGTCATTAAATGTGCATATCTACTACGTGCTTTTTCAAAATTACTTTTTGCATTTTCAGTTAAATTGCAGAAGTTATAAACGTTATCGTATGCTTCATTAATCAAATGATTAGGTAACGAATTAATAGCTTGAAACAGTGTGAATAATGTTATTTCTTTTTCTAAATTCATGTTTCCACCATCATTATGTACTTCAAAATCACACATGCCATCAACTATGCTTTGAGCAAGTTTATCGTCAATGTTTACATCTTTGTTTTCATTCATGATAGTCTTTATTTCTTCATTCTTCTGTTCAACTCTTACCTTAATATTCAAATCATTTAATATATCATCCACTGTTCTGGTTAATGTTGAGTCATAACTTCCACGAATGAATGAGTATGTATTGATTGGTTCTGTTGCATTCTTACGAACTCTTGAATCAGCCATAACCACTAATGAACGCTTTGAATCATCCATTGAAGTCATTATATCAATATCATAATCATTGCAGGAATAACATTTAATCATTCTGTTCGAAACTGCATAGAAGAAATTAGTGTTGCAATAAATGTGAAGACCTCCTGATGCGGTTTTAACGATAACATCTTTCTCCGAAAGTTTTGATAAAATGTCTTTTCTAACTGTTTCTTTAAGTTCATCATTGTACGATTTATTGATATCAACATCTATAATCGTTAAATTTGAAATTTTATTTACTAATAAAGCTGTACCAGTTTTCCTTCCTCTTCCTCCATCATGTTTGAGGTAGTTATGTAAATCAATCATGTTTTCACCAATTCTTTCGTTGAGGGTTTTAGTTTCTGCCACAACTAATTCCGCAACTAATGAATCAATAACTTTTTCATCAGAAACGATAAAGTTGCTGTTGTTGTTTGTTGCTGTCATTTATATAGGAATAAAAAAATAAAAATAATTTTAAAACTAACTTTATTTTTGGACTGCATCAAATTTTCTGTGATGTTGTCAAAATGTCATGTTGTCACATTTTTTCAGAGAAGTGAAATGACCTGGTGACCTGGTGACCTGGTGACCCCTTCAGTTCTTCAAAAATAAGTCATAACTGCCTTCCTCCTGTGATGTTGTCAAAATGTCATGTTGTCACATTTTTTCAGAGAAGTTAAATGACCTGGTGACCTGGTGACCTGGTGACCCCTTCAGTTCTTCAAAAATAATTAATTATTGAATAACCTAAATCATTTACTCACAATATTTTTGTACAAAACGACCCCAAGCTTTTAACTTCTTTTCTGTAGTTCATCCATTACTTCATTACCTAATTAATTACAGACATAAAATATATTTAGTTCATTCGGTAAGCCTAAACCTTTGGGTTAAGTGTGTTCATTGAACTCTATACCATGCGAATACAGTCATAAATGGTGGCATGTATTCTTTACTTTGTCCCGTTGTTTGTGTATATCCTGAAACGAAATGTGTATGGTTTCCTTCTCCCTGAGTGTCACTCCAACCTGCTTGAGATGTGCTTAAATCTATGTAGTGACTATGTGCAGGTAGATTTTCACCTGAAATCGTTTTACTTCCCCCTGTTTCCTTTGAAGAGTTTGCACAATACAAAAACCTGTCAACTATTTGTTCCCATGCACCAACACCAAACATTACTTGAGGACCTCTTGCATCCATAGATGTATAAATAGAACCTACTGGGTTCATTAAATCAAACATATGAGATATTATAGGATTGTCTCTTTTGAACTTAAAATATAGTGTAACTATTTCAGGTTTCTTCTGGTTTGTGTCAGAATATTTTTTATAATATAATCTTATGTTTTCAGGGTAGGTAAAATCTTGACTATAATATTTATTTCTGTCATCTGTATAATAATATACTATTCTCGTTTTTTCTATTGCATTATATCTTTTATATCTATAATAATCTAAATATAATGTTAACTTTTGTTCATCTACATGTGGTGTTCTGACATCATCTCCATAGTCATAATAATATGGTGCTGGAGCTGGGTCAGGCAATGTCATATCTGCCATTTCATAAACTCTTAAATATTTCTTTTGTTCGTCTCCATATAAGTTTAAGTAGCAGTTGTTGTCTAATGGAACTTTAACTTGTGTGCCATCATTCTTTTTATAACTTACATACATTTCATTGTTATTTTTCGGAATGAGTTTCCACCGTATACCATTTTTTAAGGAGTGTACAAACTGCCATCTAAAATATTTATTTTCTTCATTGACAGAAAAGTCACCAACAATAGTTTCAATATTTTTTGTTCCTATCAAACTTTGGTATATTTCGTTAACATATGTTTTATCTGCCTTCTTCCCTAACTCATCGTTAACATATGTTTTATCTGCCTTCTTCCCTAACTCATCGTTAACATATGTTTTATCCGCTTTAAGGTCTAAACATCCTGAAACCCATCCTGTATCAGCTTTAGTTTTTAAAATCTTTGATGTCCATTCATGATACCATTCAACCATTTCTTTAATTTCATTATCTTTTTCATCCACATATTCCTTATCTGTCCTCTTCTTTAACTCACTATCCACATATTCCTTATCTGCTTTCTCCATTATGTCATTTAGGAAACCTTTTATGAATTCCTCATTTAAATTAAATCTTCCAATCTTCAAAACTTTAGGAAATGCATTTAATGCGTAATATCTCTGTTCTTCTGGTGGAATTGATGTTATATCATCCGTTATTCCTTTAATTTTTGAATTCATAAATAAAATTTCTTTTATATTTGATATCACTGCACCACCTTTGCAAACGAATTCGAAATGTTCATTTTTCAATACTATCTCCAAATCTCCATATTTCAACCTTTGCGTTTGTTCTGCCGTCTTTGAATTATATGCATATATGGCGTATGTAATGGTCTGAGGGACCTGGGTGCTTTGTGCCTTAAGTTGTTGTGGTTGCTGTTGTTTAATCATTTATTATGATTTAAAAATAAATATTTAATCGTTATCTCATCAGCTATTTTTTCTATTTGAAATTGCCATAATATTTCATTCATGAATTCTAAATCACAATCAAATAGGTCAGTTATTCTAAATTTAATATTTGATAAATCTTTTGAATGAAGAATAAATGAATTCCCGGATAATTGAAACGGATATGATAAAGAAAATGTGTTTAAGTTGATGGATAAAATGTTTTGTATTGATGGGTAAGAGTTAGGGTCTAATGTTTGATGTGAAAATCTCATTGGGGTATTAACTTTATCACATTTGATTAAAATGAAATTGGAACCAGTGTCAGAATACAAAACATCCCCAACATCTTTTTCAAAATTTAATATCCCCAACAATGAACGAAGATGAGGAGTACAAAATTTAATTTTCAGCGGAAATTTAATAAGGTTATTTATTTCATCAAGTTCAAAAAGTTTATCAGGTTTTGATTTAAAATTTTCTTCATACCATACGATAAATGATTCATTTAAATAACTTAAAATCATGTTAATATCCCATTTTGCTATCACATTATTTATATACATATCATACGTTTTTTCATGGTCATCTTTAATAAATGATATATAATCTGAAGGGTCTAAAAGAATGGGATTAAATTTACCACTCACAGAAACGAGAGTAACATTATAAATTCCGCTAACTGTTAAATTTAATTCACAGTTATTATTCGAAATAATATTGATAATTGACATTTTTATTACGATTAAAAATATGGTAAAGCGTTATTTTCCAGTGATAAATAAAACTAGGATAAGATTACCTCAAGAATTCATAAATTCAACGAATAAGAAATTCATTCATGTTATAAATTTTAGTGTTTTCAGAAAATATGAGTCGATGTCATATTCATCAACAGGTTATATTTCACTTCATTCAAATTTAGTTCAATCAAACCCATATAATGACCATTTCATAAGATTTTCAGATGGTATTAAAAATGTAATTGATAGATTAAAATATGAACAGATTGACAATATCGAATTTTTGGAATTTTGGTTTAAATATCCTGATGGAAAAAAGATTGAAGTTAAAGATAAAGCTGATACTATAACAAAAACAATTACAATGACCGATCCAGATAGTGGGGAACAAAAAGAAATAAAACAAACGATAGAAACTGGTGAAAGGTCAATTATTATTGATTATGATTCAAAGGATTATTATTCAATAATGTTAATGCTTGAATATTAAATGGCCTTAACAAAGAATTTTTCAAGTGATATTTTATATTCATCAACTATTTTATTATAAATATCATTATATGTTAAATGAAGTTCAGTTGTTGTTCCGTTCTTTGATATCTTAATTGTGCTAATATCCTTTATAGGATTTATTTTTGCAACTGTTCCGCAGCATGAAACCTCATCATCTATGAAAAATTGAATCTTAACGTCTGAATCTTGAACATCACAAAGAATGGCGATAATGTGAATTAATGATTCATAAGGTAAAATAATTAAACCGGATTGATCAATTAAATTTATTATTGAATCATAATTATTAATTATTATATCACGGTAAATTTTCATTAATTCTGAATTAATGTCTATTTTATATGGCGCATTGCGACTGGAATCGTAGATTCCTGGGTTCTCGATGTTTGATGAAAGAGGCGGGGGGTATGTTGGATAAGTGGGAATTTCAACAGGTTCTTTACCGGGTTCAGATAAAATGATTGGGTCTCCATCTTCTTTATTTTCCTCCTCCTTTTTCGGTAAGTCACGAGTTAATAAATTTGGTTGAGTTGCTGACCTTGTTAATTCAGGACTAACATTAACTTTAACATTTTGAATAATTCGTGATTTATCATCATTTACGTTATAACCAACCGTAATCTCTGCTTTTGCGTTAGTGTTCTTTTGACTAGTGAAACGTCTTCTCATTTATAATCGAATAAAAAAAAGAAAAATATATTTAAAGTTTTATTTAGTTGTTACGGTAATATCCCAAGGTTCATCCTTGTTTGCTTATACTTTCTTTGTAACTGCACCAATTATGTTATTGATATTGCTTTGAGTTTCTTCCAGTCTTATTTTATCATTTACAATATCTTTAATCATTTCATTACATGCATTCTTAAAACCATCTGATTTTTCTAATTTACGTCTATCACTTTCTTTAATTAAATCAAAGTTATAACCTTGTTGAGAATAAAGTGGTTTCTTTATCAATTCCTTGAACGCTTCTGAAAGTGAAGATGAAGAAATTCTTGCCACTTGAATTGGTTTAAATTCTGCTTTCATTGCTTCTTTCTGTTCATTGAACACTGGATCGAATAAAGCAACTTTAAAGAATTTCTTAGCTGGAATTTCAGGTCTCAAATGTGCATATTGACCATCAAACTGATTAACATATCGTGGTAATCCATCCGGTCCCTCTTCAACAGCATTTAATTTTTCATTGAAATAAGAATATGGAATAAGATGGTATGAATACATTGAACCATTTTAACCTTCTCCAATGTATTGTTTAACAGCTTTTCCATTTTCATCAAATTGCATAGGATAACATTCATTATATGCTTTACGTTTAGGATAATCCGTCATTGTTAATTTATACCCATTTATGACTTTAATATTTCCTTGACCATCAGTAACGAAAACTTCATTTATACCATCAGGCTTTCCATTTGGTCCTGTAATGTCTGCTTCATGTGCTTCCCAATTTGGTCCATGACGTTTGGCATATGCTTGAGCTTCTGGTAATGTTAAAACGTTTCTCATTTGTTTAACATCCTTTTGAAGACCGGCAACAATGTGGACTAATTCTTTCATTCCGTCTGGAACTTTCATAGTTCTATTATATGCACCCTTTTTGTTTGTCCCTTGTTTTAATGGAACCTGTAGAAGATTTGCTATTTCTGTCATGTTTAATTATAAATAAAAAATAAAAATTAATTATAAAAAGTTAATCAAATTTAATGGAACCTTTATTTAAATCAACTATTATTTTTCCATGTTCACCTAATTGTTGATATTGTGTGTAAAGTTCATTAATGCTCATTGGTAAATTCACTTGATAAAGCATAACGTTCAACTGTTGACGACTAAACCCACTGAAAATGAAAAGTGTTGATAGATTTGATTTAATGTTTGTGCTTAATGCTTTGAAGTATTGAACAGCCATGAAGAATGAACACTGAATGTGTCGACATTGAGTTAATAATTGATTAAAATATGATTTCTCATTAGTTATTAGTTTTGATTTCACGGCATCATCTAGAAAAATTAGTGAATGCAAAAATTCTCTATCAAAATTTGAAATAGAAAGTGTTTCAAATAATTCATCCCTTTGTTTATTAATAATTTTATCCTCTAATCCTTGCTTCTTGATTGTATTATATAATTCTTTATACATTAAAAAGTTTTTTAAATAATCTTCTGCTTCTTCTTGTGATAAATAAATAATTGGAATTTTGATTAAATGCTTTAAAGATTCAAATGTATCATCTGAAGGTGAACCTGAACGGTTGATATAAATTAACACATGTGAATAGGGGGAAGTGTTAGCAATAATGATAATTTGTTTTAATATCGTTAATGTTTTACCTTTATTCTGTTTACCAATTGCTGCAGTGATTGAATTTAAGTAACATTCAGAATATGTAATTTTCATTAATTTTTCCTTAGATAGAGCATTTCTATTATCACTCAATGCTTCATTAATCATATCATCTATGTATGTATTATATACATCTGTTAATTCTTCAGAATTTAAATCCATTTAATCAAAAATAAATTTATAATTTTAAACATTTCTATTCATCAATATTTCATCATATGAACTTCTATACTGTGGTGGTGTACCTGTTGGATGATATTTCAAACCTTCATCCGGTGTCCATGTCCAATACGTAGTCCTAGTAAACCAAACCTGAGGAGGATTTGTCACCTTTGAACAGTAAGTGTCATTTTCACCCTGAATGATTGGATAAGCTTTCACTTGTACTGTAACTTGTGAGTTGAAAGTTTCTAATCCATCAAAGAATATACCCGCTCCATCACGTTGAACTGGAATAGTGCATAAGAATGAAGTTTGGTCTTTCCATGTTCTAGCTAATGGCGTGCCATTATCATCATTCAGTGGTCTAGTTAATGAGTCCTCGTATTCTTCCGTGCATTCATTCACTCCATCTAAATCAGAAGCTTGAAGCATACGTGTAAAGAATATGTCACCCACTGTGGTCATCGCTTGATCGGGGAAGTTTCTGGAATCTATAGTGACCTGAAGACCTCGAAGCATTGGATTTTCTAAAACTGTTCTTTGCATTGCATTCTTTGGAAATGTTAACACAACATCTGTAACATTATGAAGAGCGTATGAGAAATCTGAGCTAATACCTTCAGGAGTGATGCATCCTCCATTTAGTGAACGAACGTCAATATGTTGAGCTGGAATCATGAATGGATCTTCCTTACTGAATAAACGTGGTATTGCTTTAACTGATTCTTCAATTAAACCGTATCCTGGTGTAATGCATTTATCCTCTAAAACTTCCATCTTTGTGCATGAAATAATAACGTTATCAACTGTTGCGTCAGCAGATGTAGCGGCTAAGCTTGTAATTAATTTGGTAGGAAGTCCGATTTGTTGGAATTTGCGATCATATTTATAAACATGATTCATAATCTTTTCATAATTTTCATCAGTTATCTTTTCATAAACGTAATTTTGTAAATCAGCAACTCTTAACGGGTCAACCTGACAAAATACTAAAGTATCCCTGAAAACATAATATTTAAGAATGATTTCACCAAATGATTTAGGATAATCATCGAACGCCTGAAATGCTAACAAATCATTTACCGGAATAATCATATCAAAAGTGACATCAACTTCTTCATTTGCGTTCTTGAAAACTTCTGAAGGGTCAATATATTTACCACATACTGAGTTATCATATTTTTGAACATTATTATATAACGAATGAACAAACTTTTTAACTTTCCTTTCTGATTTTGGTTTATATGTTGCAAATGCGAAAGATTCACGGGCACAATCCATTTGAAGATAACCGGCATCACCTCTTTCGGTTTCTACTTCTAATTGTTTAAAGCTTTGATTTGATGATTTGTAACCAACGAATAAACGCATGCATTTAAAAGCGGCATCACATGTGAAAGCTTTATTTGAAACTAGAGTTGCTTTAACTTTGCGTTTAATATATGTGTCACCTAATTGGTTCACATCATGAGCTGGGTTTGTAATTCTTAAATGAGTTTGTTTATCATCAAAATATGGAGTATCAGAGTCATAGCATGAACTTTCAAGTTCTCTATAATATCTTCTACCATCATTCTTCGCGAATATTTCATTTATCTTTTCGAATGAATGAAACACATTTCCATTAATCGGTTTAGTGTTTGGCACCAAATAGTTAGTCGTCATTTATTATTAAATAAAAAATCAAAATTAAAAGATGAAAATGAATTTTTAATTTTAATGAAATAATCAACTATGGCTGCAGGTATATTTAAGAAACTGTGGGATAAAGTAAAAAGAGGAGCGCATAAAGTTTGGGAAACAATGAAGAAAGGAGCAAATTGGATATTTAAGAATAAAGAAGCAATTAGTGACGTTGCTGAATCAATAACACCAAAAGCCGCCCCAATAAGAGAAATATTAAATAAAGGAGAAAAAGTTTATCAAAGACTACAACCGATACTAAGATAAAAATAATATTTATTTATTTTTCCACTATCTACCTCCTATTTTATTAAGTATTCCTTCAGCTATTCCACCAATTGCGTTACCCGCTTGTGCTCCCATCGCTGGATTACCTGCTTTAGTACCTAATACCCCACCTATGATAGTTCCTGCCGTTTTCGCTACTGGTGCCAAAAAGTTTGCAACGGGTTTAATAATATTTTTATGAACCCAACCCGCAGCTTTCTTAATTCCATCCCATAATTTTTTAAAGAATCCTGCAGCCATTTCTGATTTAATATTAATTAAAAAATATATTTCATCACTTATATTCTAATTTTTATTTAATGATAAATGAAACCGATTTTAAAAATAAATGAAACAGAGGAGGAAGAAATAAATGAAAGTGAAAATGTTCAACAAAAAATAAACGTTGTTAAACCAATTACTGAAATAAAAATTTTTTCATCTGTTGAAGAATTTAATGACTATTATGCTAATAATAAAAAATTATTTGAAGAATTGACAACATGTAAATTGAATAAAATGTTTAAAGTTGATGGATTCAAAATTTCAAAAATAAAAGGAGTGATTAGTTTGAAATCTATTCCTCAATCAAGAATCACCTCATTAATGAAAATTGATGATTTAACAAAAAGAATAGAAATTATTGAAGAAAGAATAAATCAAATAATTGATTTCATAAATCATGACTCGTTGAGCCCGGGTCCTTAAAGCCCATCACTGAGTTCAAGGTTATATTCATCAAATATTTCATTATTAAATGCAACTTCTGCTAGTTTATTTATTTTTTCAATACGATCATTTGAAAGTCTATCGTTTAATTTTTTCTGAAGTTTTTCATTTTCTAGTTCTGAAACTTTATTTGGATGATATTTAAACCCGTTAAATTCTTTTTCCTCAGTTTTGATCATTAATTTACAAAGAACTTTTGTGGTTGGAATTCGTTTAAACCATTTATCATTAATATTTGTTATAAATTCAATATTCGGAATTAATTCCCAAATTTTTGCATTTTCAATTAATTTATTATCAAATGCAAAAGCAATAGGTTTAATATTAAACTTACCTTTATAATATAAACTTTCTACATAATCATCGAAATAAACATCTACTTGTTTAACATTTTCAAGAATTGGTGAAAGAGCATCCATTAATTGATTGACGGTTACGAATCTTGATCCACTCATTTATCATTAAATAAAAAATTAAAAAAATAAATTTAACTTAGTTTTAATTTTACGTAAGAAGTCAATTTTTTAAATCTTGATTTATTCAAAAACGTAAGAATAAAAACCGTAAGAATCATACATTTTTTACTTCATATGTTAAAAAAAATGATACAAAATCGTTCAATATTGTATGAATTCTTACGTTTACAAAAAAAGTCACACAACCCTTCAACATATACTACTATCCTTCGCTTTTAAGATCATTGAATTTGATTTTTATATAAAATAGTTATATATTAGAAAATAATATGAGTTTATGTGATATTATTTTTCAGAAGATTTCATTCTATATGCCTATGAAAAGTACTCTCAAAACTAACTTTTTCCTAATTATAATTAAATCTAGAATATTGTATTATGCTTAGTATTATTTCATTTTTCTCATTCAATTTAGAATTTACAAATGTCAAAAAATTGAGAGCTGTCACTTTTGATGAATTTCTGTTTATTACATGTTTTTGATATTATAGTTTTTTATCTGAGGTTGTAAGGATTATGTGAACAAGTCGTTTTTCTAGATTAAGCTTAGTTACATTTTACAATTTTTTATTTCTAATTTTTCTTTTGCTTTTCGTCCTTATGTGTGCCTTTCTTAGGAGTTTCCTTCTTTTCTGCAGCTGCTTTCTTGGCTTTCAAGTTTGCTCTGAATTCGGAGAAGAAAATGCATTTCATTGTATTTCCGTGGTACATAATTCCATTTTTAACGATTTGTTTAGCAGTCATTTCATCTTTGAGTTCGATATTTACATTTCCACTGAAGTATTGCTCTCCTCCCTTTCTATTGTTCTTTCTCATCTCAATTCTGCAGACCTTGTTAGGATACTGCTCCTTGAAGAGGGCCTTAATATCATCTAATGTTTCGTTTTGATCAAATCCTTCAATATGGATTGTGCGGAATGATCTGCGAGGATCAGAAACGAATGGTTCCTTTGATCTAACCATATTAAGTTCTTTGTTTACCTCTAATGTCCTGGATGCAGAGCAGGCAGTAATGACATCTTCGTTTGTAGCTTTAAGAGCCTTCATGCGATTGAATGTAAGGAAAGTTTCGATTGGAACAAATCTATCTTCCCTCTCACTGATCGCTCCCTTCATGAATGCATCGAATTCGATATTGGAATCAGAGAGATAAAATTCCATTTGTTCACGAATAGCGTCAAGATGTGGTTCTAATTCGATGTTTGGTTCTTCTTGATCTGGAAGTGCTTCGAACTTCGTGCAAGTACTATATAGTTTTCGGAGAAAATCCATATTTCTGAAAGTGAAAAAAAAAATATGACGTTGGAGGCTAAAAATGGTATATTTTAAGACTCAATGTTTATTGTTATTTATGCAATTGCCTAAGCACTATGCTAGTTTATACTCTAAGCAGTCTAATTTTTTACTTGAAAAATTATCCAAATTTCCAAAATTCTACATTAACTCCGAGAACAAGTCAATGTTTTTTAATAATAGTTTGTCTTCGTATGATCTACTAATGATTGGATATTCTGTCTTGTAGTTTCATTGTGAATACTATAGAATTATCCATGGGAAGAGAGAAAAATAGCATAATTGAATATGCCTATTGGCTGTGATCCTCTGATACAAGTAAGAAATATGCTTGTAGGACCTAATTTTGAAACATTTACTTCAAATATTAATTTTTTACAGTTCATTCTATGTATTTTCTTGAGTCAATTAGATTAAATGCATAGGAAATGTCCTTCAAATTTCAAATAAAATATATTTTTTGAAAAATAATTTTAAAATTCTAAGAACTTTTCTTCTTTTTTTCGTAATTTTTAAAAATTGTGAAAAATTTAAATGAGGCATTTGTTGTATTTTTAACAGAAAATGATAATATGCTTTAAAACAAGCAAGAATTCTATAATTTTAGATATCTATATTTTCAAAATCATTTAATTTGCAGGTTATTTACTTCCAATAAGATAGACACACAATAAATTGCATCGTTTGAACAAACACGTGAATCAGAAATTATCTGATCCAGATCATTCTTGACTTTTACATTTATTCAATTTATTTTACCTGACGATTTTTTAAAAAGTATCATATAATATTATTTATAGGTTAATACACGATTTTATTGCCGATCTCTGAAAATTGAGAAAGAGATGAGCTTGCAGTGAACCATCCTTATATCTTATTTAAAACAATTAATAAATTCGTTGTTTATTTATTCGATTATTTTTCAGAGGAAAAAAAAATATTTAAAAAGATAGTGATGGAAATGACAAGGGATTCTGCAGAGTTACATCTTCCACCACTACCTACAGAAATAACTAAACTTGTTACTATTTATCCTTTAGATGCACCGGATTTTCAAAAGTTGATGGCTCAAACTCACGATGCATATCAACGAATACAGAAATTATTTAATGACGCAAAATCAAAATGTGAAGTTCCACTTAATGACAATCGTTTTAGCTATGATATTCCTAAAAATGCTTCACCTTCATATAGATTTCTATATGGCAAAATGATTAAAAACCTGAACAAGTTTCGAGCCATCAGAAGAGAAGTACAAGCCAGATATTGTAACCAACTTGCTATTTTCAGCCTCTTTTTTCAAACTTTAATTGAAAATAATGTTCCTGGAACTTGCGATTTTAACGGTTTCAACCAATTCAAGCATCATTTTGTCGATGAGGATCCGGAATTTGCAAAACACGCAAACAAAGCTAGACGTTACAAAGCATATTTAACCGCAAAAAGAATTGAATACGAAAACAGCCCAGAATACACAAACAAGTCTCTATCGAAAGATATCATCGAACAGGCAAAACATTACTCACATATATACTCTTATTGCCCTTCAAATCCTTTTGATACGAAAATTGAAGAATTTTTTATACAGAACGAAAAATTGAAAGAGCTAGATCAAATAATTCTCGATATTTCAGGAAGAGGCGAAAAATTACCACAAAAAACTTCATTCCGCAAAAAATCGAAATGGAATCAACCGAAAATGAACGCGAATAGTTTCAATAATTACATAAACGAATTCTTGCTTAGTTTACAGACGAAAAGTTTAGTTTTTGACGACATTCAGAAAGCAACTTTTCGTTCTTCGGTTTTACGTATCATTTTTAACAGTCTTTACACAGAAACGAACGGATTGAACATGCCTGATGCAAACTTTCAGAAATCTGCTTACATAATCATGAGATTGAACCCGAATGATATGAATATGCCAAAAATTTTCTCAGAGGAAGAAAAGGAAAAGAGCTTTTTAGAGCTCTTTAAATCCATCCCCAAATTACAATTAATTTCGGGAAAATTATCGTTTATCCAATTTTATACAGATCCGCTTGATATCGCATACGATATCGGCACCGTCAGCCTCCTGATCGACGAATTCGCTCAGGAACGCTTTCCTTCGCAAGAAATAATCAAACTTGCATTTGACGATTTCTTTATTATATTAGTTGTTTGTATATGCTCCATTACTATCTCCAATCCAGAGGGAATCAGATTTTATACAGAGTTTTACAGAGATCTTGAATCTGCCCAGATCATGAACCATTCAATGACTTCACTCGCTGCTGCCATCAAATATGTTAGAGATTTTGATCAGCAGGAACACACTCCCGAGGTTTTGCAAAAAATTAATTTAATTTTAGAAAATTATAAATAAATTGTTAGTTTTTATATTTTTAAATACCAAACAAACTGATTTTGATCATTACGATCGCATTCCTGAAGCTTTGGATAAAATTAATTTAATTTTCTAAAATTTTACATGAATTGTTAGTTCAAGCAGTATTAAGACCTATCTTGATTAACAAAAACGCAATTCTTGATGCAATGCAAAAATTTAATTTGAATTTCTAAAATTTAAATGATTCGTTAAGTTACACATTACACAAACATATTTTGATAAGTATGAACACATCCCCAAAGTTTTTCCAAAAATTTAATTTGATTTTAGAAAATTATGAATAAATTATTTGTGTAGGTATTACACAAACTGATTTTTGAGTGACAAATTTGATTAATTTTTGTATGGAAAGAAAATTTTATTTTTTTTTAGAATAATGAAACAAATATAGTATTATATTAGCAACATAACTTCTTAGTAGTCTGAGTAGTTAGCTTTGGAGCTGTTCCAGTTTCTATCTGATTTGTAGCCGTACACTTCATTGCAACACTGATGAAAAGTTCTTGGATATTGCTTCCAGTTTTAGCGGAAACAAAGAAAATATCTTCGAACTCTCCCTTTAATCGAAATTTCAAGTCATCTATTGTTTGCGTTTCATCTTTTGCTAAATCTATTTTGTTAATTACAGCAATAATTGCTGGCTTTTCACCAGATTGTAATATCACGTCTTCCCATTTCTTCATATTGTTAATTGATTCAGGAGAGTCGACAGAACCAACAATTAAAGCACAATTTGCTTTTCTTGAATACATTGGAACTAATGGTGCAAACTCTTCTTGTCCTGCTGTATCCCAAACTACTAGTGTTACTTTTCTGTCTCCTAAAGGAATTGTAGTCATAAAGTGTGCAGAGCCAATTGTTGGTCCCATGTCTGGTTCAAATTCAGAATTGCACTGTCTGGAAGCTATAGAAGATTTGCCGACCGCACTATCACCAATGATAATGACTTTATAACGCTCTGAATTGTCATTTTGCTCATCCATATTTTTTAAGTTTAACCGTAAACTTAAATTGAAAAAAGGAGTTGAAAATTTTTGGTTTTATGAAAATAAATCAGTTCAAAAAAGAATTATTTTTAATCGTAAAATTTTTTGCCAGGCAGATTCCGTCGATAGTTCTTCGTTACATCCTTATGTATTTCTTTATTCCCCACGAAATAAACTCAAAACATTAAATTATATGAATTTTCCATTTTTCTTCAGCTTGATTTCATTGCTAACTCACATCGAAGCATAACCACTAAATCAAGATGTAGCATATTATTTGATTTTTATTAAGTCTAAGAGAAACTTGAGTCAATATTTTTATTTTGAATTTAATAATTTGATTTCTTATATAGATCATATTCTATTTCATTTAAGTAGAAGTGATTCGATTTAATGTTTATACAATCATTTGAATATTTAGTATAATTAGAGATGAATTACAGAAATTAAAGTTTATTTCTTTTTCTTAATTCCATTATACAGTTGCATATCTCATCAACCCATTCTCTTGATTCTGATCTTGCTGCAACAGTTACTGGAATATCTCCATGTGCATCAACAATTCGAGGATTTGCACCACTCATAATTAACATTTTTCCTATTTCCACATCATTTACTAATGCAGTATAGTGAAGAGCAGTCTTACCAGCAATGTCTTGGAAATCTAAATCTATACCATTCTCGATCAATATCTTTGTTAATTCAACATTTCTCATTGAAACAGCATGCAACAAAGCATTCTTTCTATGAGAGTCATAACAATTTATTTCACATCCTTTTTCAATTAGATACTTACATATATCTGCATAACCACAATTTGCGGCACAAAGAAGTGCAGTTGTTCCATCATATCCCAAAGAATCCATTGTCATTTCATTTTCTTTGATGTATTTCGATAAATTATGAGTTTCATCATTCATTCCTTTATTAAAAAGAAGTGACTTATAACCAGTTTCTGATTTAATGTTAACATCAGCACCATTGTCAATAAGATATTTAACAAGATTGAGATTTCCATTGTTACAAGCAATCATCAAAGCTGTTAATCCAAAATTATCAAATTCATTTATGTCAAACTTTTTGATTAAGAACTTTGTCAGCTCCAAATTCCTCTTCTCTACACTTATCATCAGTGAATTTCTGTTAGCAAAGTCTCTTACATTAAAATCATATCCATTTTCAATAAAAAGTGACAAATTTCGATGCGCTAAACAAAATGGACCTAATTTATCAGGATTCAAGTTATAGCTTTGGAGTATCCACTGTGCTGCATCATTTCTGTGGTATTTCACTGCTTTTAGCAAATAGTTTTGGAAGCTAAAACCATTTTGCAAAAGAATTTCCAAGATTTCAGTATTTCCACCTTTTATTGCGAAATTTGGAATTTTCTCGTTTAATTTCATACCATTTAACATCAAGTACTTGAATATCTTTACACTTCCACTGTGTGCTGCAAGTTCTAATACTGTTTCTTTTCTGTCTTTGCTTTTATAATCGACATCAAATTCTAATTCATTGAAATCACATAAAAAGGAAGAAAAAGAAGAGACATCATCATTCATTATAGAATATCCTATAGAATCTTCACTAAATGGGAGCTCTGTTTTGTTGAAATTCATGGGTGATGATGATATTACAAAATTTTCTCCTTTTAAGAGTCCATTTTCCATTAAATAGTATGTAAATGAGGAATGGCTAACAATCGGGTTCTCTGGCATCACCAATTTTATAAGTTCCATGATTAAATTAAAATATAATGATCTGATTTTTGCTAAATCAACAAGGAAATAGAAAATATCTTCTTTCATGTACATGTACTTGTTCTTGATGAGCTCCTTAAGAGATCCGATTGAATTATTGCTAATATCACATAGCTGATTTTCCAGAAAAATCAAATCATCCATATTTTATTGTCACTTTTAGTTGGTCGGGTAAATTAAAATCACATTCTCATGACATAATATTTTATTAATTATTTGGTGGAAAAATTTTTGATCTTCCCCTTTTAAATATTGAATGACCCTATTAATTTTTTTTAATTCTCCGACATGGCTGTGATAAAAATCACGGCAATCGATGGGAAAACATATGATATCGAGGTGCAAGATGACTGCACATGTCAAAATGCAATCGATAAACTCAAAGATATTACAGAATTTAAAGACCAGCAAATTTCACTATATTTCAACGAAGAAAAGCTAAATGATCAAGATAAAATCAATGTTTCCGATGTATCAGAACAAAATCCTCTTATTGTTGTATGCGAATCTCAATTATCTGAACGAGTTTTTAACTTAGAAAATTCATTTGACTATTTTGAATACCCATTTACACAATACTCATACGAAATAATAAAATATGGACGAAGCAAGGCATACAAAGAGAGAAAATCAGCGAGGGTCCCATATTATCCCTTAAAGAAAGATGATTTTCTTGCACCTTACGATGAATACATTAAATTCAAGCAGCACGATGAAGAGGAAGAGATACCAGAGGTAACAGCTCGAAACGAGATCAATCTTCCCACAATTTTGACTGATATTCAAGCTCCAACATTAATTTACAGAAAACAAACAAAACCAAAGCACGACATATATACTGCCGATGAAGAGATCCCTACACTTACTTTTATTGCTGCAGACAACACAAGAGTTGTCAGAAGAGTAAATGAAGTGATTGAACCAGACCAACCATTGGAAGGTGACCAACCACAAGAAAACGCCGATAACCAAAACGTCCAACAAAACCAAAACAACGAAAATCAGCATGAAAATGCTCCAATACAAATAGATAACGATAACAACCAGAACAATGATAATGGCAATAACCAACAGAACGATTTACAACCAAATCAAAATGAAAATCAAAATGAAAATAATATTTTAGAAAATAATCAAGAAAATCATGCGGATAATGATAATGGCCATGATAACAATGACGATATACATCAGAACCAACAACAAAATCCAAATAATGAAAATCATGAAAATAATATTGGCCAAGACAGGCCAAGACCTGCAAATAACAACAGAGACAACAATAATCAACGTAACCAAGCCGACTTATTGGGTGAAAACTTAAGATATTTACAAGAATTATTTAATCCACGAGATGAGAACGAATCTCCAATGCCACCCATCGAATTACCCAACCACGAGATGCTTAATGTTCCTTTCAACCAAGTTCTTCGAAAAATACGAGATATCAAAAATGGAAAAGGAGATGTTGCTGACAAAGAGAGCGCAATGGTTATTTCGGACTTCTTGGACAAATTCAATCAAAATGCAGAGAATGCTTTGCGATTTTCAGACGAAATTTCGAGAATCAGCAGAATTTCAACAATTCGTGAGGAAGGAGGCATCCAAGAAGAGGAAGGAGAGCCGAAAGTTGATGCTGACCAGTTCGAGGAAATCCTACAGAGCGCACAGTTCATGGAAGAAGAAGATTACGATGATGACTTCACTCAGTTGAAAGTTGGTCGGGTGAGGAGACAGAAACTTTTGAGACAGGACATTGAATCTATTCGTTCTAGAGAATATGACGAACTTTCCATAACAATGAACGAAAATTATACAAATGCAGAGCGACACGAGATCACAAACCTCTCAAAGATAGGTTTTGACTTCTCTCTAATCATTTCCAAATACGAGGAGAATGGAAGAGACTTCGATAAGACAAGACGCGCATTAATTAAATTATTGTAATTTTTTTGTTGTAATTTAATAAAATATGTATATTATATTGCCAGAGTTTGTTTTATTGAATCATGAATGCAACAATTTTAGAAAATTTATCATTTTTGTAATTTTTTTTTGTTGTAATTTAATAAAATATGTATATTATATCGTCAGAAGTTGTTTTATTGAATCATGAATGCAATAAATGCTTGTTTTAAAAATCAGAGAGAATTTATTTCGAAAATTTCAGAATTCAAGGGATCAGATGATTTCGAAAGTATCTACGGTTTCTTTGATGAGTATACATCTCATGGAAATGAAAAGATGATTTCAAAGTCATGTGAAGAAGGACTTTGGATAGGGAGCAACCCTCATTATTTTTAAAAATTTCCTTTTCATTTGGTTATTGATGATTTGCTTTGAAAATATAAAATATTATAATTATTTGTCAGAAAATGATGATGGTGTCTCAATTACTGACATATAATGAAACTCTTTTTAATTATTTTCAATGCAAGAGTAGATTCAATGATAATAAAAACTGAGAAGTAGTTTACAGCTAGGGTTGTTAAAAATATCAAAAATTAGCGTTTTGAAGACACCATGGTGTCTTATAATTTTCCCTTCCTTATTGGCGTGTAGAAATAAATGCGCCAATAGATTGAAGAAGAAGAATTGTTTTTCTCTTAATGAACCTTAATCCTTTTGATATAAGAATATTAAAAACATTAATATAATTTCGATTTCGGAAATTAAATTTCCAAATTTTTTGTCGATTTCGGAAATTAAATTTCCAAATTTTTTGTCGATTTCGGAAATAAAAGGATCCCGCATCCAACACGCAACAACAAAACACAAAACACACTTTTTGGTTCTTTCATCGTTTTAATCGTAATTTATGTAATACATGATTTGGATAAATTTTACAAAAAATAGAACCTATATTATATTCTTTTCAAAGATTCTTGCAAATCATATTTATTCATCATTAAATAAACAAAAAAATAATATTTGAGAGTTATTTCAAAAAAACACATTGAATTTACTAATTTGTCTCAATTTCAGTATTATAAATTTTTATAATTTCAATATTTTGAAATACACTTGTTAATATTTCAATATTTATGATATTTCAATGTATTAAGTGGTCTCAAATTGAGCTTCTCAAATATAAGTTGGCCTATTCAAATAATAAAATTAAATAATATTTAAAATAATAAATAAAAGTGATTGAGGTCATAGCAAAACGGCTGTTTCAGTCATTAATTCTTAAAAATAAAAAGGGCAAAAACTAAATAAAATGGGTAAAATTCAATAGTGTCTGTGCTATCGTTCAATTTGAAGGTGTCTTTTGAAACCGCAAGACACATTGAATTTTTGAATAGTGTATTATGGTTTGACAGACACCAATGAAAAAAATAAAATGATATTTATTTTAAATATATAAGATCCTTATATAAAATATAAATATTTTATCGTTTTATTTTCTTGTTTTAGAAAAATTTTTTTTTGAAAAATCAATAAAACTAACTCCAAAATAAAATTTTTGATTTAAAGACACTATGATGACACCAGGCAAATCTTCCAAGACACCTATCGTCGGGAATCTAACAACCCTATTTACAGCTTTTTAATTTTCAAGTATCTCTCAAAATTGAAAACAAGTGTTGAAATATATAGTTACAAATTTATCATTGGTATCATATCGAAAACAATTTACATCAATTTAAGTATTGATTGCATTTCAAAATTGAGAATATATTGAAAAAATTTCAATCAATTATTTTTTACAATTTTGAGATTAAAGTCTATACAAAAAATGATTTTGATCTATCCATTACTAGCTGTAGCAACAAAAGTTCTGATATTCGACGCCGGCAGTAGTGGAACCCGTGTTTATTTGTATCAATACAAAGATTCTCGAGATCCATCTACATATGAGGCTGTTTTAGACGAAAAAGGGCAACAATATAATTACAAAGCACAAATAAAACTATCAGATGTTGCGAAAAATGAGTCTATTATGGACGATATTTACACAGAACTTCTCACAAACAAAGCAAATAATTGGATTCCAGAAACTGAAAGGCCTGATGTTCCACTAATGATATATGCAACTGCAGGAATGAGACTTTTAAGCAAAGAAGATCAAACAAAAGTTTTGAAGATAGCATATACAAAAGCAAAAAACAATTTTAAATATAAAATTAACGAGAAGTATTTCAGAGTTATTGAAGGATATGAAGAGGGAATTTATGCATGGATTTCTGTTAACAAACTACGTAACGCAATAGGAACCGAAGAAAAAACATTACCAATCTTAGAAATAGGAGGAGCATCTGTTCAATTCGCATCCCAGGTTAATGGTAAGATTGGAAGCTACCTAAATAGTTTTGTTAAAAAAATAAGAATAGGAAAGGAATATTATAATGTTTTTGCATACAGCTGGCTTGGATTCGGATCTGATGTGAGTGGAAATACAGTAAATTGGAAAGCTTATAATGATTCATCTAAAACACCATGTACAATTAAAGGTAAAAACTATTCTGTAAAAACAAGTGATGGAAAAATTGAAGTTCCTGGTAATCCTGATTTTGACAAATGCTATAACTACTTTTCAGACCAAATATTAAAGAAGGATTCAAAAGAAAATTGTGGTGGTTTTGAATGTATTTTTAAAGATGAAAGGGAAAACAAATGCGTTCCTTTGCCCGAAAAATTTGACAAACTATATGGATTGGGCGTATTAAATTATGAAGCAGGTTATTTTAAACTCAAAACATTTGACCTGAATACTTTTAAAAATGAATCATTCAAATTTGGAAATTATTCAGCTGCTGAAGCAGAATCCATTTTTCAAGGAAATCCATTTTTAAGTTCTTTTTATTCTCAACAATTATTAATAATCAATTTCCTATCTCGAGGTTTTGGCAGCTTCATTGATTCCGTCACAATAAATGCACAAAGGAAAATTAATAATGCAGAGCCTCAATGGACTCTTGGAGCTGTTTTAGAGGCCGGATCTGCTGCATCCATTGGTTTGCAGTGGTATTTTATTTTGCTAATTGTTCTTGCAATAATAATTATCATTGTAGTTATCATCATTATTATTGTTTGCTGTGCTTGCAAGAAAGATAAATCACACCCTTCAGATAATGATGAAAATGAAGATTCAGGTTCTGGAGTTAATGTTTAAATATGAACAGATATTTTTAGTTTATTTTTAATAGATTTATGTTTTATATATTGACATTTAAACAAATTATATGTGCCATCATATAAATAGTCAAATAATCCAATTCCTTCTTAAATATAAAGATATGAAATATTTTATTCTGTATTTTCTTCAGCTTGCTTAGCTAAAAGGCCAACAATAACACCCATAACATCATCTGGGTTGTTCTTTTGTGTCCAACCAAGCTTAATTGCTTCTTGGAAGACACGGAAAACGTTGGTGCCTTTTGCAGCAGATGTATAGTAGATTGGATAGTTATGTTCCTTTACCCACTTGAATTGAGTACGAGTGATACCTGGATTAAGGTCTTGCTTGTTAACAACAACGATTATTGGAATTTGGCCACGCTGACTGATGAGCTGGGCATGCCATTCTTCAAGGTGCTGGTATGTTTCCTTTCTTGTTGCATCAAAAACAAGAATAGCTGCATCAGCACCGTAGAAGAATGATGGATGCAATTCATCAAAGCAGCCTTGACCAGCTGTATCCCAAATGCATACTTGGACATCCTTGCCACTAAGATTTTCTGTATGCTCGTATAATGTAAGTGCAAATGTTGAGTTTGTAATTGGACTGTAATCTTTGAGCAAAAAGCGCTCGACGAGTTTTGTCTTGCCTACAGCAGAGTCTCCAAGCAGAACAAGCTTGACATCTGGCTTGGCATATTTTCTGGTTGGGAAGAGTTCTGTATTTTCTTGGCTCATTAAAATTTCAAACGAACATCATTGAAAAGAACTTCTTACATGGCCAAATAATTTCGATGTAATATAACGGAATGTATCCTTGTAAGCAATATTTCTACCATAGAAATTGATCAATTATCAATTTTTCAAATCTTTTCATTTCGTTTTTTTCCGAGTTCAATCTTTATCCATGAATCAATAGTTGCCATTACATGAATTAAATTGATGCTTCTTGAATTAGAGTTCTAATTATAACGTATGAAAAAAATTCATAAAAAAATATTCATAAAAAAACACTAATATATTTAACAGAACATATAATATGCACAATTGAGAAAATATAATAATATTGCACATTATGGTTTCCATGGATTTCTTTGACTTAGTGGAGATCTTACACTACTTTTTCCTTCATAGTCAGAAAGCCTAAATCTTGAAGCATCATCAAGTAACAGTTTTGATTTCAATAATTCTATATTTCTCTTCTTATTTTCTATATCCTTCTTCGCATGAGCATTTAATTCATCTAATTTTGAGGCCCATTTTGCACTTAATGCAAGAAGTTCCTTTTTTTGAGCATCCCTCAATGTCTTTAAGTTTCTTCTGAATTGGTCATTAAAATTATCTCTTTGTCTATCTATATCACGCTTTTCGAGCCTATCCGCTCTATTCTTATATTCGATAGCATCATCATATCTGTTCATATATATTAAGTGCCTTTCTTGGTCTCGAATTTCAAGAACTCTTTTTGATACTTTTCTGAATGGTGCTGGTAATATTTTAGGCCACGTTTCTTTAAAGTCAGAGATCTGCTGTTCATGTATTTCTTTTAATTCTTTTTCTGCGTCAGCTTTAAATTGAAGCATTAATTTTCTTTGTTCATCGTAATAATCTATAGTATCTTGAAGATCATCCTCGAAATCAGCAATCTTGCGCTCGATATTTAAGTAATTTCCAGAATTTGATATTTTTTGAGGAGATTGATATAATTGAACTTTAATATCATGAATAATATTGTAAATCTTTTGTGCTTGATGATAATCTCTAGCGGAAACAGCTCTATTTTTATCTACTTCTAATACAGAAATGATATCTTGTAACGAAGTGGGTGTTGGAATATGAGACATATCATATTCAGATGTTTCTTTAAGTTGTGAAGTATCTTCTTTAGGCTTTTGTTTCTTTTTGATTGGTATTGAAGATCGTGAAGAATTTGATGAACGTTGAGATCGAACTGAGCGAGGACTATCATGATAATTTGGTGATGTAATGCTATTAATCTCTTTAACAATGTTTTGAATACGAATTACTGTTTGAGTTCTGCCAGAAGCCATCGCAATTTCTTTTTCGCTTGCAAGAGGTTCAAAAAGGTACTCCAAATATTGTGTAGGAACTCTTGATAAAGACATACCATCAATCAAATTTGAAACAATTAGAGATAAGTAATCTTTGTCGATTGCTTCTCCCATGAAACAAATTGATTTGTAGTTCCGATATAATATCTGTTTTGTATATTAATGTATATATTGAACACATATTCATCCATTCCAGATTGTTGATTTTTTGCAGAAAAATTATTTCATGTTAGAACATGAACTTTGGCACATGCAGAAATTATTATTTATTAAAATTACATATATCCACTATTGTCAAATTCCCACAATCTGAATAATTTTTTCAAATAATGAAATTATTCAACACGAGAGGGTTTGTTTAAGATGCAAAATATCTTCCTCACTACAGTTTTATTAAACTCATATATATGGCTGCATTCGATTACACTTTTTCATGTGAAATATATGGTAGGTCAATTTATTTTATCAACACATGGACATTATACATGGACAAGACTACTCATTCAAACGATGAATCAGAAACAGGTAATGTGAGTTTTATGAGATCCATTCTTGTATAATTTTGCTATTCACAATCATAGATCCGAATATCACCGAGCTGTGTAGTATGAATATTTACATAGTTAAATCTTATAATCCGGATTTATCATAATTATTTACAAATTTCTGAAAATTAGGATATTTATTAAAAGAAATGATATACAAGATGAAAACACATTTATTCTTACATTGGCCTGATTTACAAAATCTTAATAAAATAAGATTAATGAAATTATTTCAAAAATTGTATTTTGGTGAAGATAAATATTAGATATAGCAACATTTAGCTCTGAATTAGATATTCTTATTTAAATAATAATATTTGACACATAATAAGACGTTACTTTCTATAACGACCACCGCCGCCTATCAAAAATGAGAGTTGGGTTTCGCTTCGTTTTCATTGGTAAAATTATTTGTAACCTAATTTAAATAATAGCGTTTCAACTGAGAATTCATGCTTCAAGCTATCTTTAGAAATTGAAATAGACAGATTTTCTAGGTATTGAACTGTTTGTAAGTCTGCATGTTCTTTTACTTCTGGAGATGAATCATATAGAGGAAGTTGAATGCTATGGATTTTGGATTCTTGAATTGAATACAATTTTATGTGGCACTTTTCCTGCTTTCTTTTTCAAAACCAATCAAAAAAATCGGGTCGGGTTGATTGAGAATTTTGGTTTAATAGTTATTGGAATAATACATATATCCGATAACAATAAAAATGATATTAAAAACATAAAAAACAAAGAAATGTCAAATTTCGTTCTATGATTTTTCTTTAATTTTGACTTCAATTAGGATTGATAATGATTTAATAGATAATATAATTGAATAAGATCATTGCCTGAATTTTAAAATTATAATTTATGATGTTTCAGTTAAGCAACTGGAACATAATAAATTTTAAAATTCCATGAACGTTAAAAGTTTTGAATTTTTTTTTGTTTACTATTGAACATCAGAATTATTTGATTTGAATGATGCTTTGAATTTTAAATAAATTTAAATAAATGACAAGTTTTTTATTCTCTAGGAAATTTCTCTTAATTTAATTCAATACATATGTTTTACATTTTAATTTTTGAGAGCTTTGACCAAATTAATTCGGATTTAAATATAAAAGCAAATTGATATATAACAAATTAAAATAATGAATTATGAAAATGATTCAAAGTATAGAAAAATTAACGTCATTTATTGATTCAATAATTATTAAAGTTTCCTGATTTAGATGAGCCAAGATCTTAATTATGAATTCATTGCGGCTCATATCAGCGATTATATTAATAAGGGGAATTTCTTTAATGAATTTAAAATCGAGGACGTCGAAAAAATTATGAAAATCTCAAAATTAACAACAAATGACTTCGTTAATCTACTTAAACAGTCCCATCATACAATTAAAGCAAAGAAACTCTCTTCAATCATTCGTGATTCTAATGTTTCTATAGATGACATGGAAGATATCATTTCAACACTTAAATCGGTTAAAAAGTACATGAAATTCAAGATTTTTAATGGAATTATTGACTTTTTAGAACATCAACAACAAGATACACCTGATCCTCCAACGATTATGCATAACAAAGATACACCTGATCCTTCAAAGAATATTCAAAATCAAAAAAGTGACAAGCAAGCTAAAGAAAAAGGGGGATTATTCAAAAGGCTTTTCCATGGAAAAGACAAGCAAGCCAAAGAAGAAAAGGCGAAATCAAAAAGTGATCACCAAAAGAAAGAAGAAAAGAACAAACATTCCAAAGAGGAGACCAATGCAAAAGATCAAATTGATAACGATATTCTGGCAAAAATTGCTGAACTTAAGAATTCTGATGATTTCGATAGTATCTATTATTTCTTTAATGACCTTTCAAAGCAAGATAAACAAGCAGCTATTTCGAAATCATGTGCCGAAGGACTTTGGAATGCAAGAAATGAAGATGACGGCGGAAACGTACTTCATGTAGCATGCGAAGATGGAAACTTCAAACTTGTCAAATATCTTATTGAAAGTGGATGCGATAAAGAATCAAAATCTAATAACGGTAACACTCCACTCATTGTTGCATCTTCTGAAGGTCATCTTCAAATTATTGAATATCTTATCTCTGCAGGATGTGACAAAGAAGCAAAGCACAATACAAGAAATACTCCACTCACAATGGCGTCACGCCGTGATAAACTTCAAATTGTTGATTATCTTATCTCTGTAGGTTGTAATTTAGAAGGACGAGATGATGAAGGAAATACTCCACTCATTTTAGCTTCACGCAATGGTCATCTTGAAGTTGTTCAATTCCTTATTGAAGCAGGAGCTAATAAGGATGCAAAGAATTTCAAATATCAAACTTCAATAGATTGTGCATCTCAAGAAGATCATCCTGAAATTGTTAAATATCTTTCCTCATGTGAATGTGATTCTATAATAAGAGATCCTATTCGAGCAAAAATTTATAAACTAAAGGATTCAAATAATTTCGAACAAATCTACAATTTCATGAAAATGCTTTCATTACAAGACAATCATAATATGTTTTCATTGGCTTGTAAAGAGGGGCTTTGCGAAAAGAGAAATGCATCCTGGATGGATGTACTTCATGTTGCAAGTAAAGAAGGAAATATCCAACTCGTAAAGTCTCTTTTAAAATGCAGATGCTATATAGAAAATATAGATCAAAATGGAAATACTCCACTCATAATTTCGTCACTTTTTGATAAACAAGAAGTTGTCAAATATCTAATCTCTGCTGGAGCAGATAAAGAAGCGAAGAATAAAGATGGAAATACACCACTCAGTATTGCAACAAAAGAAGGCCATCTTGAAGTTGTCAAATATCTTATTTCTGTTGGAGCTAACAAAGAAGTAAAAGATAAAGATGGAAATACATTACTTATTATTGCAACAAAAGGAGGTCGTCTTGAAGTTGTCAAATATCTGATTTCTATTGGTGCTGATAAAGAAGTAAAAGATAAAGATGGAAATACACCACTCATTGAAGCATCTATTTTAGATAAACTTGGAATTGTCAAATATCTAATCTCTATTGGAGCAGATAAAGAAGCGAAGAACAATGATGGAGATACACCACTCAGCATTGCAGCAAAAGAAGGCCATATTGAAATTGGAAAATACCTTCTCTCTATTGGAGCTAATAAAGAAGGAAAATCGATAGAATTTCTTCTCGATCAAATTGATAAAGAAACTCTATCGAAACTTATGAAATCTGATAATCTTGACGATCTCTACAATTTCCTTGACCAACTTTCATCATCAGGGAGATTTTCAAAGGCCTTTGATCCCTTATTTTGCCAAAGGATAGATAATTCGAGCTGAAACGTCCTTCATGTTGCATGTAAACAAGGAAATCTCGGACTCGTTAAATCTCTCATAGAAGTTGGTTGCAAAAAAGAAACAAAAGATAATGATGGAAATACACCACTTATTATTGCAACAAAAGAAGGTCATATTGAAGTTGTCAAGTATCTTATCTCTGTTGGAGCTAACAAAGAAGCTAAAGATATATATGGATCCACTCCCCTCATCATTGCATCAGCTTTTGATAAACTTGAATTTGTTCAATACCTAATCTCCGCTGAAGCAGATAAAGAGGTAAAGAATAATGATGGATATACTCCACTTCTTGAAGCTGCATTATTTAATCATCTCGAAGTTGTCAAATATCTAATCTCTGCTGGAGCAGATAAAGAAGCGAAGAACAATGATGGAGATACACCACTCATTATTGCAACAAAAGAAGGTCATTTTGAATTGGAAAATACCTTCTTTCTATTGGAGCTAAAGAAGAAAGTCGATAGAATTTCTTCTCGATAATTAATAAAGAAAATCTATTGGAACATATGAAATCTGATAATCTTGACGATATCTGCAATTTCTTTGATGAACTTTCAAAGTCGAGCTAGAAAATTTGATAAGAAGAATGAAGATTGAAGAAAGTCATACAAGCATCTGAAAAGGAAATCTCAGACTTGTAAAATACCTTATTGAATATGGTTGCGATGTAAATTATAGCGATTATCTTCAACGTACTCACTGATTAATGATCAATAAAGGAAATCTTGAAGTTGTTCGATATCTAATTTCTTCTGGTGCCAATATAGGACATGCGATAAATCCGGATCCACTGCTATTCATAATGGCATCAAAAGAAGGTCATCTTGAAGTTGTCAAATACCTTATGGAGGTTGGAGATAAAGATGTAAGTAACCACTGATTGAAGCATCAAAGAAAATCGTCTTGAAATTGTCAAATATCTTATCTCTGTTGGATCGGTTAAAGAAGTCAAAGATGATGGTGGAAATACACCACTCTATTTATTGCAACAAAGGAGTCATCTTGATGTTGTTCAATATCTAGTCTCTGATGGAGCATATAAAGAAGCGAAGAATAAAGATGGAAACACATCACTCATTATATGCAACAAAGAAGGAATCTTGAAATTGTCAAATATTGATCTCTGCTGGAGTAGATAAAAAGTCAAAGATGATGGTGGAAATACATCACTCATTATTGCAACAAATGAAGGTCATCTTGAAATTGTCAAATATCTAATCTCTGCTGGAGCAGATAAAGAAGCGAAGAATAAGATGGAAATACACCACTCATTATTGCAACAAAAGAAGGTCATCTTGAAGTTGTCAAGTATCTTATCTCTGTTGGAGCTAACAAAGAAGCTAAAGATATATATGGATCCACTCCCTCATCATTGCATCAGCTTTTGATAAACTTGAATTTGTTCAATACCTAATCTCCGCTGAAGCAGATAAAGAGGTAAAGAATAATGATGGATATACTCCACTTCTTGAAGCTGCATTATTTAATCATCTCGAAGTTGTCAAATATCTAATCTCTGCTGGAGCAGATAAAGAAGCGAAGAACAATGATGGAGATACACCACTCATTATTGCAACAAAAGAAGTCATTTTGAAATTGGAAAATACCTTCTTTCTATTGGGCTAATAAAGAAGGAAAGTCGATAGAATTTCTTCTCGATCAAATTAATAAAGAAAATCTATTGGAACATATGAAATCTGTAATCTTGACGATATCTGCAATTTCTTTGATGACTTTCAAAAGTCGAGCTAGAAAAATTTGATAAAGAAGAATGAAGATGTGAGAAAGTCATACACCAAGCATCTGAAAAAGGAAATCTCAGACTTGTAAAATACCTTATTGAATATGGTTGCGATGTAAATATATAGCGATTATCTTCAACGTACTCCACTGATTAATGCATCAATAAAAGGAAATCTTGAAGTTGTTCGATATCTAATTTTCTTCTGGTGCCAATATAGGAGCATGCGATAAATCCGGATCACTGCTTTCATAATGGCATCAAAAGAAGGTCATCTTGAAAGTTGTCAAATACCTTATGGAGGTTGGAGATAAAGATGTAAGTAAACCACTGATTGAAGCATCAAAAGAAAATCGTCTTGAAATTGTCAAATATCTGATCTCTGTTGGATCGGTTAAAGAAGTCAAAGATGATGGTGGAAATACACCACTTATTATTGCAACAAAAGGAGGTCATCTTGATGTTGTTCAATATCTAGTCTCTGATGGAGCATATAAAGAAGCGAAGAATAAAGATGAAACACATCATTATTGCAACAAAAGAAGGCAATCTTGAAATTGTCAAATATCTGATCTCTGCTGGAGTAGATAAGAAGTCAAAGATGATGGTGGAAATACATCATCATTATTGCAACAAAATGAAGGTCATCTTGAAATTGTCAAATATCTAATCTCTGCTGAGCAGATAAAGAAGCGAGAATAAAGATGGAAATACACCACTCATTATTGCAACAAAAGAAGGTCATCTTGAAGTTGTCAAGTATCTTATCTCTGTTGGAGCTAACAAAGAAGCTAAAGATATATATGGATCCACTCCCTCATCATTGCATCAGCTTTTGATAAACTTGAATTTGTTCAATACCTAATCTCCGCTGAAGCAGATAAAGAGGTAAAGAATAATGATGGATATACTCCACTTCTTGAAGCTGCATTATTTAATCATCTCGAAGTTGTCAAATATCTAATCTCTGCTGGAGCAGATAAAGAAGCGAAGAACAATGATGGAGATACACCACTCATTATTGCAACAAAAGAAGGTCATTTTGAAATTGGAAAATACCTTTTTCTATTGGAGCTAATAAAGAAGGAAAGTCGATAGAATTTCTTCTCGATCAAATTAATAAAGAAAATCTATTGGAACATATGAAATCTGATAATCTTGACGATATCTGCAATTTCTTTGATGAACTTTCAAAAGTCGAGCTAGAAAATTTGATAAAGAAGAATGAAGATGTGAAGAAAGTCATACACCAAGCATCTGAAAAAGGAAATCTCAGACTTGTAAAATACCTTATTGAATATGGTTGCGATGTAAATTATAGCGATTATCTTCAACGTACTCCACTGATTAATGCATCAATAAAAGGAAATCTTGAAGTTGTTCGATATCTAATTTCTTCTGGTGCCAATATAGGAGCATGCGATAAATCCGGATCCACTGCTTTCATAATGGCATCAAAAGAAGGTCATCTTGAAGTTGTCAAATACCTTATGGAGGTTGGAGATAAAGATGTAAGTAAACCACTGATTGAAGCATCAAAAGAAAATCGTCTTGAAATTGTCAAATATCTGATCTCTGTTGGATCGGTTAAAGAAGTCAAAGATGATGGTGGAAATACACCACTTATTATTGCAACAAAAGGAGGTCATCTTGATGTTGTTCAATATCTAGTCTCTGATGGAGCATATAAAGAAGCGAAGAATAAAGATGGAAACACATCACTCATTATTGCAACAAAAGAAGGCAATCTTGAAATTGTCAAATATCTGATCTCTGCTGGAGTAGATAAAGAAGTCAAAGATGATGGTGGAAATACATCACTCATTATTGCAACAAATGAAGGTCATCTTGAAATTGTCAAATATCTAATCTCTGCTGGAGCAGATAAAGAAGCGAAGAATAAAGATGGAAATACACCACTCATTATTGCAACAAAAGAAGGTCATCTTGAAGTTGTCAAGTATCTTATCTCTGTTGGAGCTAACAAAGAAGCTAAAGATATATATGGATCCACTCCCCTCATCATTGCATCAGCTTTTGATAAACTTGAATTTGTTCAATACCTAATCTCCGCTGAAGCAGATAAAGAGGTAAAGAATAATGATGGATATACTCCACTTCTTGAAGCTGCATTATTTAATCATCTCGAAGTTGTCAAATATCTAATCTCTGCTGGAGCAGATAAAGAAGCGAAGAACAATGATGGAGATACACCACTCATTATTGCAACAAAAGAAGGTCATTTTGAAATTGGAAAATACCTTCTTTCTATTGGAGCTAATAAAGAAGGAAAGTCGATAGAATTTCTTCTCGATCAAATTAATAAAGAAAATCTATTGGAACATATGAAATCTGATAATCTTGACGATATCTGCAATTTCTTTGATGAACTTTCAAAAGTCGAGCTAGAAAATTTGATAAAGAAGAATGAAGATGTGAAGAAAGTCATACACCAAGCATCTGAAAAAGGAAATCTCAGACTTGTAAAATACCTTATTGAATATGGTTGCGATGTAAATTATAGCGATTATCTTCAACGTACTCCACTGATTAATGCATCAATAAAAGGAAATCTTGAAGTTGTTCGATATCTAATTTCTTCTGGTGCCAATATAGGAGCATGCGATAAATCCGGATCCACTGCTTTCATAATGGCATCAAAAGAAGGTCATCTTGAAGTTGTCAAATACCTTATGGAGGTTGGAGATAAAGATGTAAGTAAACCACTGATTGAAGCATCAAAAGAAAATCGTCTTGAAATTGTCAAATATCTGATCTCTGTTGGATCGGTTAAAGAAGTCAAAGATGATGGTGGAAATACACCACTTATTATTGCAACAAAAGGAGGTCATCTTGATGTTGTTCAATATCTAGTCTCTGATGGAGCATATAAAGAAGCGAAGAATAAAGATGGAAACACATCACTCATTATTGCAACAAAAGAAGGCAATCTTGAAATTGTCAAATATCTGATCTCTGCTGGAGTAGATAAAGAAGTCAAAGATGATGGTGGAAATACATCACTCATTATTGCAACAAATGAAGGTCATCTTGAAATTGTCAAATATCTAATCTCTGCTGGAGCAGATAAAGAAGCGAAGAATAAAGATGGAAATACACCACTCATTATTGCAACAAAAGAAGGTCATCTTGAAGTTGTCAAGTATCTTATCTCTGTTGGAGCTAACAAAGAAGCTAAAGATATATATGGATCCACTCCCCTCATCATTGCATCAGCTTTTGATAAACTTGAATTTGTTCAATACCTAATCTCCGCTGAAGCAGATAAAGAGGTAAAGAATAATGATGGATATACTCCACTTCTTGAAGCTGCATTATTTAATCATCTCGAAGTTGTCAAATATCTAATCTCTGCTGGAGCAGATAAAGAAGCGAAGAACAATGATGGAGATACACCACTCATTATTGCAACAAAAGAAGGTCATTTTGAAATTGGAAAATACCTTCTTTCTATTGGAGCTAATAAAGAAGGAAAGTCGATAGAATTTCTTCTCGATCAAATTAATAAAGAAAATCTATTGGAACATATGAAATCTGATAATCTTGACGATATCTGCAATTTCTTTGATGAACTTTCAAAAGTCGAGCTAGAAAATTTGATAAAGAAGAATGAAGATGTGAAGAAAGTCATACACCAAGCATCTGAAAAAGGAAATCTCAGACTTGTAAAATACCTTATTGAATATGGTTGCGATGTAAATTATAGCGATTATCTTCAACGTACTCCACTGATTAATGCATCAATAAAAGGAAATCTTGAAGTTGTTCGATATCTAATTTCTTCTGGTGCCAATATAGGAGCATGCGATAAATCCGGATCCACTGCTTTCATAATGGCATCAAAAGAAGGTCATCTTGAAGTTGTCAAATACCTTATGGAGGTTGGAGATAAAGATGTAAGTAAACCACTGATTGAAGCATCAAAAGAAAATCGTCTTGAAATTGTCAAATATCTGATCTCTGTTGGATCGGTTAAAGAAGTCAAAGATGATGGTGGAAATACACCACTTATTATTGCAACAAAAGGAGGTCATCTTGATGTTGTTCAATATCTAGTCTCTGATGGAGCATATAAAGAAGCGAAGAATAAAGATGGAAACACATCACTCATTATTGCAACAAAAGAAGGCAATCTTGAAATTGTCAAATATCTGATCTCTGCTGGAGTAGATAAAGAAGTCAAAGATGATGGTGGAAATACATCACTCATTATTGCAACAAATGAAGGTCATCTTGAAATTGTCAAATATCTAATCTCTGCTGGAGCAGATAAAGAAGCGAAGAATAAAGATGGAAATACACCACTCATTATTGCAACAAAAGAAGGTCATCTTGAAGTTGTCAAGTATCTTATCTCTGTTGGAGCTAACAAAGAAGCTAAAGATATATATGGATCCACTCCCCTCATCATTGCATCAGCTTTTGATAAACTTGAATTTGTTCAATACCTAATCTCCGCTGAAGCAGATAAAGAGGTAAAGAATAATGATGGATATACTCCACTTCTTGAAGCTGCATTATTTAATCATCTCGAAGTTGTCAAATATCTAATCTCTGCTGGAGCAGATAAAGAAGCGAAGAACAATGATGGAGATACACCACTCATTATTGCAACAAAAGAAGGTCATTTTGAAATTGGAAAATACCTTCTTTCTATTGGAGCTAATAAAGAAGGAAAGTCGATAGAATTTCTTCTCGATCAAATTAATAAAGAAAATCTATTGGAACATATGAAATCTGATAATCTTGACGATATCTGCAATTTCTTTGATGAACTTTCAAAAGTCGAGCTAGAAAATTTGATAAAGAAGAATGAAGATGTGAAGAAAGTCATACACCAAGCATCTGAAAAAGGAAATCTCAGACTTGTAAAATACCTTATTGAATATGGTTGCGATGTAAATTATAGCGATTATCTTCAACGTACTCCACTGATTAATGCATCAATAAAAGGAAATCTTGAAGTTGTTCGATATCTAATTTCTTCTGGTGCCAATATAGGAGCATGCGATAAATCCGGATCCACTGCTTTCATAATGGCATCAAAAGAAGGTCATCTTGAAGTTGTCAAATACCTTATGGAGGTTGGAGATAAAGATGTAAGTAAACCACTGATTGAAGCATCAAAAGAAAATCGTCTTGAAATTGTCAAATATCTGATCTCTGTTGGATCGGTTAAAGAAGTCAAAGATGATGGTGGAAATACACCACTTATTATTGCAACAAAAGGAGGTCATCTTGATGTTGTTCAATATCTAGTCTCTGATGGAGCATATAAAGAAGCGAAGAATAAAGATGGAAACACATCACTCATTATTGCAACAAAAGAAGGCAATCTTGAAATTGTCAAATATCTGATCTCTGCTGGAGTAGATAAAGAAGTCAAAGATGATGGTGGAAATACATCACTCATTATTGCAACAAATGAAGGTCATCTTGAAATTGTCAAATATCTAATCTCTGCTGGAGCAGATAAAGAAGCGAAGAATAAAGATGGAAATACACCACTCATTATTGCAACAAAAGAAGGTCATCTTGAAGTTGTCAAGTATCTTATCTCTGTTGGAGCTAACAAAGAAGCTAAAGATATATATGGATCCACTCCCCTCATCATTGCATCAGCTTTTGATAAACTTGAATTTGTTCAATACCTAATCTCCGCTGAAGCAGATAAAGAGGTAAAGAATAATGATGGATATACTCCACTTCTTGAAGCTGCATTATTTAATCATCTCGAAGTTGTCAAATATCTAATCTCTGCTGGAGCAGATAAAGAAGCGAAAGATAAAGAAGGAAATACACCACTCATTATTGCAACAAAAGGAGGTCATATTGAAATTGTCAAATCCCTCATATTTACAGGAGCAGATAAAGAAGCGAAAGATAAAGATGGACATACACCACTCATTATTGCAACAAAAGAAGGTCATATTGAAATTGTCAAATCCCTCATATTTACAGGAGCAGATAAAGAAGCGAAAGATAAAGAAGGAAATACACCACTCATTATTGCAACAAAAGAAGGTCATATTGAAATTGTCAAATCCCTCATATTTACAGGAGCAGATAAAGAAGCGAAAGATAAAGAAGGAAATACACCACTCATTATTGCAACAAAAGAAGGTCATATTGAAATTGTCAAATCCCTCATATTTACAGGAGCAGATAAAGAAGTAAAAGATAAAGAAGGAAATACACCACTCATTATTGCAACAAAAGTAGGTCATATTGAAATTGTCAAATCCCTCATATCTGCAGGAGCAGATAAAGAAGTAAAAAATAAAGAAGGAAATACACCACTCATTATTGCAACAAAAGAAGGTCATATTGAAATTGTCAAATCCCTCATATTTACAGGAGCAGATAAAGAAGCGAAAGATAAAGATGGACATACACCACTCATTATTGCAACAAAAGGAGGTCATATTGAAATTGTCAAATCCCTCATATCTGCAGGAGCAGATAAAGAAGCGAAAGATAAAGATGGAAATACACCACTCATTATTGCAACAAAAGAAGGTCATATTGAAATTGTCAAATCCCTCATATTTACAGGAGCAGATAAAGAAGCGAAAGATAAAGATGGAAATACACCACTCATTATTGCAACAAAAGGAGGTCATATTGAAATTGTCAAATCCCTCATATCTGCAGGAGCAGATAAAGAAGCGAAAGATAAAGATGGACATACACCACTCATTATTGCAACAAAAGAAGGTCATATTGAAATTGTCAAATCCCTCATATTTACAGGAGCAGATAAAGAAGCGAAAGATAAAGATGGACATACACCACTCATTATTGCAACAAAAGGAGGTCATATTGAAATTGTCAAATCCCTCATATTTGCAGGAGCAGATAAAGAAGTAAAAGATAAAGAAGGAAATACACCACTCATTATTGCAACAATAGTAGGTCATATTGAAATTGTCAAATCCCTCATATTTACAGGAGCAGATAAAGAAGCGAAAGATAAAGATGGAAATACACCACTCATTATTGCAACAAAAGAAGGTCATATTGAAATTGTCAAATCCCTCATATAGGGTGTCCAAAGGTGCGTTTAGCACAGCGCTCTATATGAGACTATTAAAGGAGATATATGCTGATTATAAATATATAATAAAAAATATGAATATATGTATATGATGAGTATGTTGTATTTTGGCGCCATGCCGGGATATAAAATGAATTTTGAGACAAGAGGCGGTTTCGCGGGAAATTTTGGCGAGATTTTTTTCATTTTTTTAATGAATCATAAAGAAAACATCCTCGCTCTTGCAAAAAAATGCAAAGACTGTAAAAAAATCTACGAGACATTGGTAAAATGCTTCGGTATGGATGCTTCTAGCTATTCCACTGTAACGTATCATGTTAGGATGTATCACTTCATGAACAAAAAGGCGCCCATCATAAAAATTGACAAAAAATTGCCGGATCAAAGAAAAATCAAAGCAATTCTTCAAGCGCTAGATGAAGACCCAAGAGCATCACTCAGAAGGATAGAGGAGATGACAAAGATACCACGTACAACAGTCAGTTATTATCTGCACAATTATTTGAACTACAAACTAGCGTATACACGTTGGGTTCCGCACAACCTTAATTCAGTTCAAAAAAAATCTAGAGTCCAATCTTCGAAAGAGCTCCTCTCTATATTGGGTGCGTATCAATCCAAGAAGTTTCGCTTTTTAGTAACAGGGGACGAGTCTTGGTTTCAATATGCAACAGAAGCCAAAATCATGTGGATCCCGAAGGATGAAAATCCGCAAACATTCCCGAAGAAAAAAATTGACACACCAATGATGATGTTGTCGGTTTTTTGGGGCGTGAATGGCATCATCGCAATTGATATTCTTCAAAAACCTAATACGATGAATGCTCAGTATCTAATTGACAATGTTCTTACTCAAATTATCAATTCTGATGAGTTTGAGAAATCCAAACAACAAAAACAAAAGTTTGCAATTCATTTTGATAATTCAAGAGTTCACAAAAGTCATAAGGTAATGAATTACTTGGTGGAAAACAATGTCAAAGTTGTTCCAAACCCAATTTATTCACCTGATATTGCACCCTCTGACTTTTATTTATTCGGCACGCTAAAAAAGAGAGCTGAAGGACGCGAATTCGCGAATCCAGATGATCTTGAAAATTTTGTAAGAGAGCAATTTGAGCAATTTTCTCATGATGATTTAAAGCGTGTCTTTCAAGCCTGGATCGATCGCTGCGAACGCGTGATTGAATCCAATGGTGATTATATTTAAATAAACTTTATATATATGTAACTTGTTTATTTCTATTCGCAGTATTCAGGTTTGTGCTAAACACACCTTTGGACACCCTATATTTACAGGAGCAGATAAAGAAGCGAAAGATAAAGAAGGAAATACACCACTCATTATTGCAACAAAAGAAGGTCATATTGAAATTGTCAAATCCCTCATATTTACAGGAGCAGATAAAGAAGTAAAAGATAAAGAAGGAAATACACCACTCATTATTGCAACAAAAGAAGGTCATATTGAAATTGTCAAATCCCTCATATTTACAGGAGCAGATAAAGAAGCGAAAGATAAAGAAGGAAATACACCACTCATTATTGCAACAAAAGAAGGTCATATTGAAATTGTCAAATCCCTCATATTTACAGGAGCAGATAAAGAAGCGAAAGATAAAGATGGAAATACACCACTCATTATTGCAACAAAAGAAGGTCATATTGAAATTGTCAAATCCCTCATATTTACAGGAGCAGATAAAGAAGCGAAAGATAAAGAAGGAAATACACCACTCATTATTGCAACAAAAGGAGGTCATATTGAAATTGTCAAATCCCTCATATTTACAGGAGCAGATAAAGAAGCGAAAGATAAAGAAGGAAATACACCACTCATTATTGCAACAAAAGAAGGTCATATTGAAATTGTCAAATCCCTCATATCTGCAGGAGCAGATAAAGAAGCGAAAGATAAAGAAGGAAATACACCACTCATTATTGCAACAAAAGAAGGTCATATTGAAATTGTCAAATCCCTCATATCTGCAGGAGCAGATAAAGAAGTAAAAGATAAAGAAGGAAATACACCACTCATTATTGCAACAAAAGAAGGTCATATTGAAATTGTCAAATCCCTCATATTTACAGGAGCAGATAAAGAAGTAAAAGATAAAGAAGGAAATACACCACTCATTATTGCAACAAAAGGAGGTCATATTGAAATTGTCAAATCCCTCATATTTGCAGGAGCAGATAAAGAAGCGAAAGATAAAGATGGACATACACCACTCATTATTGCAACAAAAGGAGGTCATATTGAAATTGTCAAATCCCTCATATTTACAGGAGCAGATAAAGAAGCGAAAGATAAAGATGGAAATACACCACTCATTATTGCAACAAAAGAAGGTCATATTGAAATTGTCAAATCCCTCATATTTACAGGAGCAGATAAAGAAGCGAAAGATAAAGATGGAAATACACCACTCATTATTGCAACAAAAGGAGGTCATATTGAAATTGTCAAATCCCTCATATTTGCAGGAGCAGATAAAGAAGCGAAAGATAAAGAAGGAAATACACCACTCATTATTGCAACAAAAGGAGGTCATATTGAAATTGTCAAATCCCTCATATTTACAGGAGCAGATAAAGAAGCGAAAGATAAAGAAGGAAATACACCACTCATTATTGCAACAAAAGGAGGTCATATTGAAATTGTCAAATCCCTCATATCTGCAGGAGCAGATAAAGAAGCGAAAGATAAAGAAGGAAATACACCACTCATTATTGCAACAAAAGAAGGTCATATTGAAGTTGTCAAATATCTAATCTCTGCTGGAGCTAACAAAGAAGCTAAAGATATATATGGATCCACTCCCCTCATCATTGCATCAGCTTTTGATAAACTTGAATTTGTTCAATACCTAATCTCCGCTGAAGCAGATAAAGAGGTAAAGAATAATGATGGATATACTCCACTTCTTGAAGCTGCATTATTTAATCATCTCGAAGTTGTCAAATATCTAATCTCTGCTGGAGCAGATAAAGAAGCGAAGAACAATGATGGAGATACACCACTCATTATTGCAACAAAAGAAGGTCATTTTGAAATTGGAAAATACCTTCTTTCTATTGGAGCTAATAAAGAAGGAAAGTCGATAGAATTTCTTCTCGATCAAATTAATAAAGAAAATCTATTGGAACATATGAAATCTGATAATCTTGACGATATCTGCAATTTCTTTGATGAACTTTCAAAAGTCGAGCTAGAAAATTTGATAAAGAAGAATGAAGATGTGAAGAAAGTCATACACCAAGCATCTGAAAAAGGAAATCTCAGACTTGTAAAATACCTTATTGAATATGGTTGCGATGTAAATTATAGCGATTATCTTCAACGTACTCCACTGATTAATGCATCAATAAAAGGAAATCTTGAAGTTGTTCGATATCTAATTTCTTCTGGTGCCAATATAGGAGCATGCGATAAATCCGGATCCACTGCTTTCATAATGGCATCAAAAGAAGGTCATCTTGAAGTTGTCAAATACCTTATGGAGGTTGGAGATAAAGATGTAAGTAAACCACTGATTGAAGCATCAAAAGAAAATCGTCTTGAAATTGTCAAATATCTGATCTCTGTTGGATCGGTTAAAGAAGTCAAAGATGATGGTGGAAATACACCACTTATTATTGCAACAAAAGGAGGTCATCTTGATGTTGTTCAATATCTAGTCTCTGATGGAGCATATAAAGAAGCGAAGAATAAAGATGGAAACACATCACTCATTATTGCAACAAAAGAAGGCAATCTTGAAATTGTCAAATATCTGATCTCTGCTGGAGTAGATAAAGAAGTCAAAGATGATGGTGGAAATACATCACTCATTATTGCAACAAATGAAGGTCATCTTGAAATTGTCAAATATCTAATCTCTGCTGGAGCAGATAAAGAAGCGAAGAATAAAGATGGAAATACACCACTCATTATTGCAGCAAAAGAAGGCCATCTTGAAATTGTCAAATATCTAATCTCTGCTGGAGCTAACAAAGAAGCTAAAGATATATATGGATCCACTCCCCTCATCATTGCATCAGCTTTTGATAAACTTGAATTTGTTCAATACCTAATCTCCGCTGAAGCAGATAAAGAGGTAAAGAATAATGATGGATATACTCCACTTCTTGAAGCTGCATTATTTAATCATCTCGAAGTTGTCAAATATCTAATCTCTGCTGGAGCAGATAAAGAAGCGAAGAACAATGATGGAGATACACCACTCATTATTGCAACAAAAGAAGGTCATATTGAAATTGTCAAATCCCTCATATTTGCAGGAGCAGATAAAGAAGCGAAAGATAAAGATGGAAATACACCACTCATTATTGCAACAAAAGAAGGTCATATTGAAATTGTCAAATCCCTCATATCTGCAGGAGCAGATAAAGAAGCGAAAGATAAAGAAGGAAATACACCACTCATTATTGCAACAAAAGAAGGTCATATTGAAATTGTCAAATCCCTCATATTTACAGGAGCAGATAAAGAAGCGAAAGATAAAGATGGACATACACCACTCATTATTGCAACAAAAGAAGGTCATATTGAAATTGTCAAATCCCTCATATTTGCAGGAGCAGATAAAGAAGCGAAAGATAAAGATGGAAATACACCACTCATTATTGCAACAAAAGAAGGTCATATTGAAATTGTCAAATCCCTCATATTTACAGGAGCAGATAAAGAAGCGAAAGATAAAGAAGGAAATACACCACTCATTATTGCAACAAAAGGAGGTCATATTGAAATTGTCAAATCCCTCATATTTGCAGGAGCAGATAAAGAAGCGAAAGATAAAGATGGAAATACACCACTCATTATTGCAACAAAAGAAGGTCATATTGAAATTGTCAAATCCCTCATATCTGCAGGAGCAGATAAAGAAGCGAAAGATAAAGAAGGAAATACACCACTCATTATTGCAACAAAAGAAGGTCATATTGAAATTGTCAAATCCCTCATATCTGCAGGAGCAGATAAAGAAGCGAAAGATAAAGATGGACATACACCACTCATTATTGCAAAAATAGCAGATCATCGTGAAATTGTCGATTTCCATATATCTATTAGAGCCTATTAAGAAGCAAAGAATAATAATGGATTTAAGAACACTTAAAGTAAGAAATTATCTGACATACATTGAAGTATATTTATTTATTATCTTTTTATTTTAATTATTTATGAGTAAATATTTTTTAATAGAGCACTTACAACTTTCTGACACCAACTTAAGGGTCCACTGTAAAAATTGAAAGCCTCCGAAAATTGAGAGGCAATTTGCAAATAATCGTTATCGCCTTTTCCAAAAATTCCATTTTTCTAGCGTTCTGATTAATATTATGTGAATGCTACAAAGAAACATATCTTTAAATAAGATAATAATATATACTATAATTTCAAATCAGCATAAAATTGCAAAATCAGCGAGTTTGTTAAAAACTTGATTTTTTTTTATTTTTTCCCCTTATGAGACTGAGTTTTGAAAAATACATATTTTCGAATTTTCATTTAGTTTTAAGTATTAGGAATCTTTTTCTGGGAAATTAATTGAAAGGAAGTTAGGAATTTTGCTTTGATGCTATTTCGAACTAATATTATTACGTATGCAGTTTATGTTGGTTCAATAATAAACATGAAATTTCAAGATTAAACGATAATCTCAACATTATCATGATGATATATAAATTATATCTTTCCATATGCCAAATAATCAAAATATTGATTATCAAGAAGATATTCTCTAACAAATTGATAGTTTTTAAATAATTGTATATTTTAGTGGTTATTATTCATACCAATACCTATTTTATAAAATCTCATAACAACAATATCAATGTTCGACTCAATGCCAAAATTAAGATATTATTTTTTCAATATTCATACTGTGATAAATTTTAGTAAGTTGAATGATTTTGTCTCGTATATGATATAGAGATGAAATGCATAATTTATAAAAATTTTCATTTATTCAAGGGCATTAGAGTAAATCTTTATTAAAAAATCAGATTTATATAGTGATACTGCATAAAATTGCCAGTTCTCAAATCATGAAAAATAAAAATGATTTTATTTCAAAAACAGCACAAATAATTTATATTGGCATTAATGTAGTAGTTATCACGTAAATTTGAGTTGTTAATGCTTGAGTCAGGGAAATCTCACAAAAAATGACATTTTAACTTTACAAAGTCCTTCATGTTTGCCATTTATTTGCCAACTACCCCTAAGGATGCAGACTTGGCAATTCATAAAAAATTTCGCCCAATAAGACACATGTATCATAGTTATAAGTATTTAGTTTTAGGACTTTTTCTTCTTCTTTTTCTTCATTTTGTTTTTAATTATTTTGTATTTTAATTTCTTTGTGAAAAATAATTCACTCTCTGCTCATTTTGATGAGAATTCTCTGATACATTTTGTGATTTGTTAAAAAATTTATTTTTAAATAGTATTGACGAGAAAAAAAATTAAAATAAACATTTAAATCTTTTTTCTGCAGTCAATACTATGCTAAAATGTTATTCAGCTTTTTTGCGGTTTGAAATTTTGGGGAGGCGACCTTCGGTCGCCTCCCCAAAATTTCAAACCGCAAAAGTGAATAACATTTTGCAAAAATTATTCGAAATATAATAACCGAAATGCATTATCTTATTGAGGTTTGAATGTTAGTTCAACAAATGTATCATACTCACGAATGAACTCTCAAAAATAGTTCAACTGACTAAGATTATTCCAAAATAATCATAAATTTACATATTAATTCATGTAAGAAGGCCATGTAAAGAAATTTAGGCATAAGTTCATGTTTACTAAACGAAACAATAAGTATAAATATAACAATAAATGAGCCTGATTTGATTTTACGTGTAGTTCAATATGTTTCAGTGTCTTTGTTTATGCTTTCTTGAATCTTGTGGCAATGGAGCAATTCTCAATAACGTACAATTGCCAAAAATTTTAAGGTTTGGCAATTCATCCAAATCACTGCGAAAAAGAATTGCCAAAACCGTAATTGCCTTGGCAATTGTACATAATTTAAAAAAGTATCTCTAGTTTTACTATAGCCTAATACACAACATCACAAAAAACATAAATCCTTCGACAAAAAATATCGAATGATTCAATTTCAAATAATGGAATCATCAATAATGTCACCATTTTATAGGGTGGCAGGAAACCCCCGTAGCATCTAGGGATCAAAAGGAGATAGCTACATTCTGGTTTCATATTTATAAACCTTTGTTAAATTAGGTAACTTATAGTTGTGTAACTTTGATTAAAAGATTTGAATAAGATCGAAAAGATTAATTTTTTCAAAAAAATTGAATCTGAAAACCATATTTGAATCTCAGTTTGTTATTGGGATATTCTTCTGGATATTTAATAAGTATGATATAAAAGATGATTGATAATATAAATAATTCTGTATTAGATTTTGTTCTATCTCATCTATTCAGATATTTTTTAGCATCCAAGTTTATTCGGGTAATTTTGACAAAAAAGTTCGCTTCGAATTACGATTAGCTCATCACCATAACCAATAGTTGTAACAACCAAATGAGTTAAAACATAATAATAAAAAGTTATATATTTCATAATTCTTTGATAGGTTTTTTATTAATAATTACCAATAATTCTGAAAACTTTATTTTATCAATTATCCCCGCACTCAAAAAATGTCATTTTATGACGTTTTAAACAAAATAGTTTACATCAACCACAAGAAATAACAATGTGTTTGCTATATAATATATTAAATAAACTCGTATATTTTCTTTTTTATCATACAAAGTTGGATTGATATTGATCACATAAAACACAGCTAGATTTCAAATCATCATAAGAAAAGGTGATACTTTTTCTTCAAAATAAATGGCAAAATGAACTTTAATAACTCGCTCAAATCAAGGATTGGAGACTCATGATTAAAAATATAATAGGCTATTATTGACGTATTTTCTAAATATAGTATCAGATAAAAGATAACTCAATTAAGTATTGAGATGCTATGGTGGTTTCCTGCCACCCTATATTTCAAAAATATATATATAGATGCACGACGATAGCCATAATTATGGCGACCCGCTCGCCGAGCACTTTTTGACGTTCGCGCGTTATACAAAATAAATTTCGTTTATATACGATGCATGATAAGATATCTATTTTTATCTTGCTATCACCTCCCTTTTTTGTGTAATACTCATATTAAATTTCATAATCTTTTTATTTGCCACAAATGAATATATTGAGATGTTGCCATTGATGTTCCTAGTCAAGCACGCATATTGAAGTGGAAAATTGGGAAAGTTTTCAACTTAACAGTCCGGTGGTTTCTCGCGTGTTAAGACCTGGCTGGCGTGTTAACTTTTTTGACATAATCGTACTTTGCTACTTTTCCTTATATTACGAACATACATACTAATATAGTACAAATTATTTACAAACTGTTGTTAGTTGACGTAACAAAATATTGATTACATGCAATTTAGTCATAAAGAATGGAAATACATGGGTATTTAGGAAGAATAACACAATATTAGTGTTTATCCCTTGCATTTTTCACTATAGTTTATCATAACATATCGAAATAAATGTGATAATTCTATTATCATCTATTTTTCTGAATAACGCTTACATATTATGAGCACATAGATAGAATAAGAATGTGATATTATTTAAATCTTCTAATTACCAGATCCAAAAAATTGGATAATATTATACCAACAAATTATCAATTAAACGAATTTGAATGTCTTTGATATAATCCAACAGCCCCAAAACTGTTTTGTCAGATTTTCAATATCTTAATAAAGGGAAAACTAAGATTCTATTAATGATGAATGATTTTCTAATCCCCAAAAATATTATGTGTTCTAATCCTAATTCAATGCAGTCTGCTAATTGCACCATTAGATGCTCATGATGGAAAATTTTGACCCAATTTTGTAAATTTATGAAATATTATTATTTATAATATTATCAAATATATTTCCAAAAATGATTCCACGAAAATTTTTGCCAAAGTTCTCAATTTTGAATTTATCGTCTTAACACGCCAGCCAGGTCTTAACACGCAAGAAACCACCGGAGTGTTAATAATTTAATTAATTTTGTATTTAACATTCGAGAGAGTTTTAATATTTAATACAAGTATGTTTAAAGTAGTTTAATTTAAATAAGTATAGCGAACAAAAATGCGAGCGGTGTCAAATTTCCGAGCACTTTTTGCACTTATAAATATATGGAAACTAAAATGTAGCATTTTCTTGCTTCTTTTAGACTAAAATAATGCAAAATTTACTGATTTTTTTTCATAACTTCACTTATCCAAGAATTTCCAAGCTTGGCAATTCGTTTTGACAACCTTACTTACCCCACCAAAAAAAATTCTCGCCAAATCGCAGAAGTGTCATAATTTCAAGGTGTACCACAGTTGGAGTCGCCCCCAACAATCTACTTGCTGGGATGCTACATAGCCTTTGATCAGGCTAATCATAGTGTTGCTCCATCCATATCATCATGTGATATCGATCGGAGATCTCTAATCGGTCTTCCATCAGAGCTCCGCAAGCCAGAAGCGCAATACATATGCAGTATAACTGTTAGGACATAGTAGCTAAGCTGTATAGTTATTGCGCTTCTAAGGATTTTAGTTATCCTTTATTGTCCTCATACATTTGTACTACCGCCTTCTGATCCCCAAAGGACTAAGGGTTCTGAAATTACTCGAGCAGGGCAAGGTTCTTCCGAGATCTCTCATTCCATCGGAAGATCTTGGAAGAATTTTGCCTTAAACTACTCAATTACTATTTCCTGGTTTACAAAGAACCAGGGATTCTGTAGTTGATCTAATAAGGCAGAGTTTTTCCGAAGTCTCTCATTTCATGAGAGGTCTCTGAAGAACTTTCCCTTAAGATAGTGTACTTATGATCTCTAACAATTTGGGTGTCAGAGAATGTAAATTTATTCGACTAGGACATAGTGATATTTCAAGAGCGGTAAATTACACTTAGCATTTCTCGTTGGTCGATAACATAGTTCTCAGAGACTGGCGGATGTTTTGGTTCTGAATAAACTCCTGCTACTCCTAATGGGATTTTCAGAGATAGAAGCAAATCTAATGAAACTTTGAAAGAGATAATGATTATTGTGGTCAAAAGTTTCACAGAATAGTTTGATTTAGATATTACATCAGTTCTTCATTGATTTTCTTTCCCATCAACAAGCATATCATGTGATTTATTGATTTGCAGTGTGAAGATATATATTTGATCAAATATAATTTGGGGTCTCAGTTGGCTTCGCTTGCCCTTCGGGCAAGCACACCACCTTCGGCAAATCTAAATAATTTTTTTGAAAAATTGAATTATTCACTATTTGGTTGGCCCTTTGCGCCAACCAAATAATGAAGAATAATAATATATGTTTAATTAAAATATGATTAAAATTTCTGAATGAAAACTATCAAAATTAAAGTCCCTTGAGATATTAATTCTATGATGTATGTCAATGTTATATTTATCATTATTTTTAATTTTTATTGACCCACCCAAAAAAGCCTTCTTCCACTAACATGAGTTATAACGTGCTTTTTCTGAAAATGATAGACTAGTATTATAATATATTGTAGAGCATATTTTTCATCTTTTTTAAGAAGGGATTCCACTCTCAATTTTGAGTTTTAGCTCAAAATAAATGGAAATTTAGATTCGTCATATATTGAAGTTTCTAAATCCTCTTTTTATTTAAGCCAAATTTTCGAAAATTTTGTCAGAAAATTTTCTGACACTCTCACTTTTTGGAGATCTACGTATGATATTAAATAACTTTTTCATAAAAAAACGCAAAAATAATTCTGATCGAGCACGGTGGCAGACTCTGAAATATTTGTATTCCAATTCAAATTTTATTCGCGGAAAATTTCAGATTTTTTAAAAGAGTTTCAATTTTTCATTTTCTAAACAGATTGCGGAGATTATAAATCGGCTAAAAGTAGTTATTTTTAATATCCATTCATATATATTTATATAAATTTCTAAAATTCACTTTTATTAAATGAAATATTATTTTATCGGGAATGTATACTTGTTAGTTTGTTAACGCCCTAAATATACATAATCCAAATATTTACTTTATTAAATCAACAATAATGCCGGTTTTGGTTATAAATGAAAATGCATATCCTCATCAGAGAGCTTATATCATATATGAAGTCAACAAATAATATTATCTTATCAATTCTATTGAGATATGAGCTGGGGTCTGCATCATTTTTCAACGCAATCTAACTCAATATCTTAATTTTTTTGAAACATTGAAGCTTTTATCTACATTTGCTATCTGTTTTCATATTTTTTACCGATTGTAACAACTAATATTTTATATCTTTATGTATAACTATCACTAAAGGCAATTTACTGATATATTTGGTTATAGTAATGTTAGAAATACATATGAATAGTCTTTTATACGAAAAATCATATTTTTATTAAAAGATTATCAAATGATTTCTCCAAATATTAAGCATTATTGTGAAATATAGATCAAACATATTGTGATACTGATAGTGTAGAATGATTTATACTCTAAACACTAATAATATTATAATATCATCGAAGTTAGATTATTATATCCCTACAACTTAGCTTAATTCTCGATTTAATCACGGCTTCAGTTAGTCATACTAGTATGCATTATACCCTACTTACCCCATTGATTGACACCAAATATCCAGTGTGGAACCACTTCTCTTTTTTAAAATTTTGAATTCTTGAACTAGGGTTCTAATTATAACTTATGAAAAAAATTAATAAAAAAATGTTGCATGCTAAGTAGTGTCAATGTGTAAACCTCTCAATTTTATCGTCGAGGAAGCAACACAATTCCCTCAAAAATATTGAAAAAATATAGAAAATAAAATGAATTAAGATGTAGTTAAAATGAGAAATAGATTATGATATTAGATTTTAGAAAAAACAGACTTTTGATATAACTTTTGAGAATCTCATATAAAAAAAGCATTTAAAAATAAATTTAAATATCTTATTTATTTTACTATTGTAAATATATTCTGAGATTTTTAGAAAAAAACACTTTTCATAAGTATTCAATATTTGAGAATACGCTCCAAAAAAAAATAGATTCTCTTATATTTGCTTATATAAAAGGAAACTCTCTATCAGATGCGAATGCATGAATTCAGCACCTCCGATCGAGAGTTTCCTCTTATATAAGCAAATCTTTTTCATGAGTTATTGTTAATATAAAAACATTAAAAGCTACCAATATGAGAAATTAAACCCTGCGAGGTACCAGTCTAGAACTGGCGCTTCGCAGGGTTTAATTTCTCTTGACAAATGACAAAACTTGTTCGCAATTGTGAACCATTGCGAGCAAGTTTGCCAGATATCTGGAAGGAATTGCTCCTTATGATATATGCATTGTAACTGTATATATCATAAAGAGCAATTCCTTCAATTAAACGCAAAAACTTTGGTGCAATCGTTGGTGATTGCACCAAAGTTTTCGAACATTCCCGAAGGAATTGGAGGGTGAGAGATACAAAGTCTATCTATGTACCTCCCACCCTCCAATTCCCACTCTAAATGGGAGAAACTTTGTTCGCATGTTATCTTATTCAAACAAAGTTTCTCCCATTTAGAGAAGGAATAGGAGCCTACCAGGCACTGATATATAATCAGTGCTTTGTAGGCTCCTATTCCTAATAGAAAGTTCGAAAACTCGGTCGCAATTGCATCTGATTGCGACCGAGTTTTCGAACTTTCCCGAGGGAATTGAAGGGTGAGAGGTATATAGTATGCCTATATGCCCTCACCCTCCAATTCCTCTCTGAAGCTGGGAAATTTTGTCCAAATGTTAAACTATTCAGACAAAATTTCCCAGCTTCAGAGAAGGAATAGGAGCCTACAAAGCACTGATATATAATCAGTGCTTTGTAGGCTCCTATTCCTAATAGAAAGTTCGAAAACTCGGTCGCAATTGCATCTGATTGCGACCGAGTTTTCGAACTTTCCCGAGGGAATTGGAGGGTGAGAGATACAAAGTCTATCTATGTTCCTCCCACCCTCCAATTCCCTCTCTGAAGCTGGGAAATTTTAGGGAAACCCCAACATATTTCCCTAAAGTTTCTCCCATTTCCACCAGGAATTATAGTCTACGAGGTACTGAACCAGATTCAGTACCTCGCAGACTCGGATTCTCATTTACAAACTCAAAAATTCAGACGCAATTTGAAAGCATTACGCCCAAGCTTTAGAGTTTGTAAATGAAAAATGTTCCTTATGAAGCATATAATTGATACACATGCTTAACATGGAGCAATTTACAGAAAAAAGCGAGGAAACTTCCCTCATATTTTTGCATATTTAAAGCAAAATATAAGCATTTTATAGGAGAAATTGGGAGCTATGAGGCGCTGATTCTAGATCAGCGCCTCATAGCTCCTAACTTCATATTTTTTCTCATAATTTTAAAAAATTTTAGATTTTTTGAGATTTCAATACTACTTTCAATATTTTGAATATATGTGCATTTTTTCTTTTTCAATTCTTATTCACAAAATGGTAAGCTTTTATAAATGTAATTTTTAATATCTTATATTCAGAACATATAACTAGTAAATAAAGTACTTATTTTATACATACAACGTAGGGCATAACACATCAAATGATCAAATCTATTTTATTTTTATATAATATATCAATCAAAGCAAATTTGTTGTAAACAGAAATTCATCAAAAGTGACACCTCAGAAAAGCTAAAATATTGAATTTTTGGAACTTTTGATAGAGCACGTTTTTAAATATTAATTAAAGTAAATGTATATTTTGTAAAGATTCTTTTTAATAAAAAAGTAAAATTTTGAAGAAGAACACAAAATCTTCTGAAAAATAATATCACATAAACTCATATTATTTTCTAATATATAACTATTTTATATAAAAATCAAATTCAATGATCTTAAAAGCGAAGGATAAACCTCAAAATTTACGAATATAATGAGTGGGAATATAATGCTTATCTATCATAAAACCATATGAAAAGTACTCTCAAAACTAACTTTTTCCTAATTATAATTAAATCTAGAATATTGTATTATGCTTAGTATTATTTCATTTTTCTCATTCAATTTAGAATTTACAAATGTCAAAAAATTGAGAGATGTCACTTTTGATGAATTTCTGTTTATTACACTATAAGCATTATTATCAGAGTAGAATATGAATATCATATCAGAAAATGTCGCAAATCTGCCATTTACCCGGCCAAATAGCAAAAATAATTGAATACTTTTAGCAAACACTTTAAAAATCAATAAAAATATGAAATATAGATATTAAAGAGACTCTATATACGATATTCATAAAGATTTTCCAAAAATATCACATCGCAATATCAAAAAAGTGACGTCCTCAGTGGAGTCAAGGGTCGAAATTGCTAGCTAAATGTTTTTTTGGCGAAATTGCGTATTGTACGTTTTTTTCGCAAAACGAAACCCTTAATTCACAATCATGTTATTTGCTATTCTTATCAATTTCAAATTACAAATCAAATCAATATTGTCTCAAAAAAAATTTTTTTTTATTGGCGTTAAAATTGAGAGGAAAAATCAAAGATAAGGTGCAATGAAGTCTAAAGGAATCCCTGACTACATCAACGCGTCAGGGTCCGTTGATTTCGAGCCTTTCATTGCTGCTCCACCGCCAGTAAAACCAACAAATAAAGACGGAACAGTGAATAAGGATGAAATCCTTAAAATGTTCGATGAAACGATCAAAGAAATGGACTTGACTGGTGACCAAAGGAAGCCGCTTGACATTAAACCTATCGAAGAGAAGTGGAATTTCATTGTTGCTCAACAACAGATCAATAGTCAGCAGCCATCACCAGAATACTTAACAAAACTACTCAAAGCAGATAATATTGTTCAATCCGGCAAGAAAGAAAGGCTTTCTCGAATTTTAGACAGAATTGCAGTTTTTCTCAAGAGTAGCTTTCTTTCTTGGAGTACTCGCTTCTTCAAGGCTAAAGGCCACATGATACTCATGTCAATACTTACAAAAAAGGTTGCAACCTTGAATGGATTCGAACCAATAACTCAAGAAGACGCAGAGTGTCTCATTAATGTTCTAACATGTTTCAGAGCAATCTGCAACACCAACTCAGGTATTGACATCGTTATGGGATTCCCAAGTATCTTTCCTCTGTTTGTAAACAGTATTTACCCAACTTTACCACGAACCGTTGAATTGGCCTGCGAAATATTACTCGTTATCATACTATCAGAGCAAAATCTCGATAAATCTGAGAAAAATCTTTCGAGAATTCTGAAATCTTTCAAAGAACTGAAGAGATCGCATCACGGATGGAAAATATTCACGTCAATCATCAAGCACGAGAAGGAAAATACGTCTACGAACCTTTTAAGGTCATTAATTACTTTTATTATCGGATTATATTCTGAACTTGGGGAATTCCCATCTCTCAGGTCAGATTGGATCTTAGAGATTGTCGAATGCGGTCTATTCCAGCAATTACAAGAGATTCCTGAAGGAAGATTCCAAAATTTGAAAGAATTAATCCAAAACATCGAAGAAGAGATGCGAATTTTACGTACAACATTCTCGTTGAAAGTTATCAACCCATTCAACAAGAAAACTCTCGTCAAAGAGTTATATGACATGTCCGACCCGAATTTTCTCATTCCGAACATTTCATTATCACTATTCGACGTAGGAATCAAGAACGCGCAACTTTTCAGACAAACTTCTACATTCTTTTACAACGTTTTGACGATAATCAGATGTCAAAACCAGGGAACGAATATACAGAAGCTCCTTCAAGCCATAGCCATTGCCAAAGACGTACGATCACCTATTAAGCTCAGACAGATCAAAATCGAGCAAGATCCGACAGAATTATTTTCTCTTTACAAATTCCTTCCTGAATCCGAAATGATCGATGAACCGATCATGGAGCTCGTTACAGAGGCTTCCGGTAAGATTATTGACGAATCTAAGTTTAATATCGAATCTACAGACCCGGCCACGCCCGTAGACACAAGTTCCGGTGACTTACATCGCATTATAGCCGATTACGAGTCAAAACTCAAAGCAGCGAACCAGCAAATCGATGGTTTGAGATTTTCATTACGAAATGCGATGAAAAACAAGGAACAAGAGGTCAAAAAGGCGAAGGATGCGACAAAGAAGAGCAAGGAATACGAGAAGAAGCTGAAAGTCATGGAATCAAACAGTAAAGAGATATTAAACACTGCGAACATTTATAAGAACCAAGCCGACCAGTACAAGAAAGGTGTTGAAGCCTACAAAAGCCAATGTGAGAAAATCATTCAAAAATTCAAAGATGAAATTATTAATCTTCAATCTCAGAATAAAGAGCTATTGGCGAACTGCAAGGCCTTGCAGGATGTCGTAGAATTGGAAAAGTCGCAGCCAGGAGTCAAAGTTTCGGAAGAAGACGTGAAATCTTTGAAAGAAAATAAATTATTGAAGCATGACCTCGAAATGAAGGAAAAAGAGAACTCAGAACTGACTAAGCAGAATGCAGAACTCAAGGATGAACTGGAGAAACTCAAAAAAGAGCTTTCCGAAGCCAAAAATAAAATTATTGAAATAGAATCTCGGCCACAAACAGCTCCTTCATCACCACAGATAGTCCCATCATCACCATCATCCATAATGCCTACAGTAAACGAGTCAGCGATGCCAACTCCCCCTTCATCTCCGATTCAACCACCTCCGCCATCTCCTCCTCCCCCGGCACCCATTTCTTTGCCACCGGGAGTTCCTCCACCTCCTCCCCCGCCTGAAGGAATACCTCTGCCGCCTGGAGTTCCGCCTCCTCAGGGATTTGGAATTCCTCCGCCACCTGGAGCGCCAATGGGACCTCCCCGCAAGCCAAATGTCGCTCCCCCTAAGAAGTGCAGATCGATTTTCTGGACGAAAGTACCTGACGCAGCTTCTGTTTCTATGATTTGGAAACAAATTTCTGACAAAGGCGTCAAAATCGATAAAGAAATTCTTATGGAGCTGTTCTCACCTGTAGAGGCAAAGAAAGTAGCATCAGGAGGCAAGAAACGGCCGAAATTAGTCGAATTATTAGATCCAAACAGAGCTAAAGCCATTTCTATCATGTTAGGAAGACTCAGAAGGCCTGCATGGGATATTGTACAGCAGGTAAAGAACTTGGATGATGCTGTTGATGAAGATTTGCTCGCATCTTTGAAATCAACAATTCCAAACGACGAAGAATACAAAGCAGTCAAACAATATAATGGAGATCCAAATTTACTCGGTACAGCAGAGAATTTCGTCAGCGAAGTCATGAAAGTCAAATTATATCAGAGCCACATCGAATTTCTCGACCTAAGAATGACTTTCGATGAAGCTTTCAAGGACGTATTGACACCTCTGACCACTTTGGCCAACGGTTTCTCTCAATTAAAGACTTCCAAAAAATTCAGAGAGTTTTTGGCCTATATCCTCGCGATTGGTAACTTTTTGAATGGAGGAACAAGCAGAGGTGGCGCTTATGGCTTCAAATTTGACTTTTTCACGAAAATTTTGGATATAAGAACTTCTAGATCTGGATATACGTTTTTGAACTACATTGCAGAGACATTTGACGTCATGGACTTGATAAATGAGCTCCCGACTGTTCCTTCTTGCCTTTCCGTCGATTTTGATACAGCAAAACAGAATTTCCAGAAATTAGACCAATCTTTCAAGAAACTGGACAAAGCAATGGAAGAAGCAGAGAAGTATGTCGCTGATGGATACATGCTCTACCCTTATTACATGAAATTCAAGGAAATTAATGAAAATAAATTAAATAACCCTCCAGTTTTGATCAAACAGATCGAAACAGACTTCGTAGATGTGGTCAAATCATATGGAGAAGACACACAGAAGACGAAAATGGTCGAATTCCTTGAAGTTTTCACGAATTTGATCACTGGTCTCAAAAACGCTTACGATGAGAACAAAGCTAGGGAGCTGGCCGCACAGAAGGCCGCCGAGAGAGCACGGAAAGCGGAAGAAAGAGCCAGGATGAAGCAAGGACAAAAACCTGTTGCACCAGATGGAGCAGAAAGAGGCGTTATCGACAGTTTGGTGCAGAATATGGAGAAAGGAAACATTGTTCTCAAGAAGAAGCACGAATCCAATGTTCCAGAGGACACAACTCCGAAAGTATCAGAATTAGAGAAGAAAATGGCCCAAAGACGCGCTAAAGCTGAAAAATCTTCTGATGCAAAACAATCTGATAGCTCAAAGAATAACGAAAAGCAATCAGATGCTGCAAACAATAATAAAAAGACTCCAGAGAAAAATTCTGACAATGTAAAGCCGACTGATAAGAAATCTGACAATGTAAAGTCAACTGATAAGAAATCTGACACTGTCAAGGGAAGTGTCAAAGGGAATGAAAAAATTTCCGACTCAAATAATAAGAATAACGCAACAAGCGAGCCAAACAGCATCGCTCCTAACAATGTAAGTGTAACATCCCGCACTGGACATCACAGGCGTCCAAGGAAATCTACAAACAGTGTTAATTTGACTGACGTCTGAAGAAAAAAATTGTAATAGATTATTTTTATATATTAATTTGTTATTTATTTTGTGTATATTATAAATATATTAAGGAATATATATTGTTTTGTTATTATTTTAAAATATGAAACATTTTTTTTTCAAAAATAATAAAATTCATTATAATAAACCCATGGTCCTTGTGGTTGTTAACATTGTTAAGCATAACTTGATGCTTAATTCTAATTTGATATCAATAAAATTCTATATTATAATGAGTATTCATAAAGTATTGAGAAAAAAATATATTAAAAGTTTAATTCAAGTAATAACGCATCTTGTAACATTGTAAAAACGAATTCATTGTGTTTAATTTGGAATTTCTAAGGTTATTTGAACGCTAATCACTATCTTTGAGGGCAGTATTAGCATATCCTTTACTAGTATGTTATTATAATCTATTAGAAGTCTTTACATTCTCTAATTTTTATCAGTTTAGAAATAAAACAGTCATTAAATGTAAAAAATTTAGTGAATATCAAGGCTTCTAAATATGTGTATTGTAAATTTTATATTTTTAGGATAAAATTGTTGTAACCGATCGTAAATTTTGATCAGATGTTCTCCAATTCACAAAATTGAATGCAAGATTAGTCCGATCAGATAAGAAGATATATAATAGACCATGAAAACGAAAACCTTCATATTCAACCCTTCATTTTTAGCACTTTTCACGAAGAAAAAAAAATTTTACAAATAAATGTCCAAGCTCTTTCGAAACGAAGCAAAGGGCGAGGTTATTGATTTGCGTAACCAACTCGACTCAAATGATGGCGAGACCAGGAAAAAGGCAGCCAAGCGTGTTGTCGCTCTCATGAGAGCCGGCGAAAACGTTGGAAACTTATTTTCATCAATGTTGAGGTGTGTCAAAACAGATGACTTAGAGTTGAAACGATTAACATATTTATATTTTGTTACATATGCCGAAGAGCAATCAGAAGAAGCTATTATGGCAGTTAATACTTTTATACAAGATTCAGAAGACAGAAATCCATTAGTTAGAGCATTAGCAGTTAGAACGATGAGTAGAATTCGTATAGATACAATTGCAGAACATATGATTATCCCAATCAAACAAAGATTATCCGACAAAGATCCTTTTGTACGAAAGACTGCCGTACTTGCAATAGCTAAATTATTCGAAATCATCCCAGAATCAGTCGAAAATTCAGGTGTATTCTCTATATTAATCAAACTATTAAAAGATGAAAATCCATTGGTTGTTTCTAACTCTGCTGCCGCTATTTGTGAAATCAATTCAAAGAGGTCATCCCCTATATACGAATTCAATGATGATTTGACTCCTATCATCAACGCTATTGTAGATTCCGCCGAATGGTGCCAAATTACATTACTCAATGTTTTATCGCAGTACGAACCTAAGAACCCTGATGAGGCTCAAATGCTCATCCAGAGGTTCCTTTCGTTCCTCAAACATGCAAATCCTGCGGTAGTTATCGGCGCTTTTAGATGTATTTTCATTTTCATGGAATATTCAACCATGGACATCAAAGAATTGCTATCTCAAATAATTCCACCGTTTATTTCTTTGATTTCAGGCTCAGATCCTGAAATACAGTTTATTGTTTTACGAACTCTCAGTTTATTCGTTCTCAAGTATCCAAAGGCACTTACAAAAGAAATCAGAATATTCTTCTGCAAATACAATGACCCTTCATACATCAAAATCGAAAAATTGGATATTATGCTCAGCTTAGTCAACAGCAACAACGTTTCTCTCATTATTTCCGAATTGTCAGAATACTGCAACTCCATTGATGTAGATTTTGTCCGTAAATCCATCAGATGTCTCGGTCAAGTTGCAATGATGCGACCAGACGATGCATCTGCATGCGTAGACATACTAGTTAAGCTTGTATCAGGCGATGCTATTTACGCTACTGAAGAATCCATTGTAGTTCTCTCAGATTTGCTCAGAACTTACCCAGGAAGGTTCGAATCCGCAATTGAGAAGGTCTGCAAGAATATCGAAGGCGTAAAGGATCCAAAGGCCAAAGCCGCCGTAGTCTGGATCTTAGGTGAGTACTGTAACCTTATTGAAAATGTAGATGTAATCATTGACACTTTTTTGGACAATTTCGACTCGGAACCACCGGAAGTACAGCATCAGCTGATCTCATCGTTCGTCAAGCTATACTTACAGAGGCCTGACGAGACAAGAGATCAACTCCAGTGGATATTAAACGAGGCTACGAAAGAATCCGTATTACCGGACGTCAGAAACAGAGCTATAACCTACTGGCGACTCCTTTCAGCAGACAGCAATGATACTGCCAAGAAGATAGTCATATTTAATAAGAAACCAGTGCAAATTCATACAGATAGATACAATGAAGAGATATTGAGCCAGTTCTTGCGCGGAATCGGTACTGTATCAGGTGTTCTTCGCATCGCTACAACAGATTTCAAGACAATGAAGTACATGCCGGAAGATTTGAACGAAGAAGAGGAAAGAGACTTCACACAAGTATATTCTTCGAATGGTTTCATTGTTTCTCTCGATTACGATGATAATTTGTTGTACATACAGCTGGAAAATACTTCAGATTCAGTTTTATCTGATTTTGCTTTGGCTCTTGATAAGAACGCCTACGGATTTACACTTATATCAACACCAAACTTCCCTGCAAAGCTTAATCCTACAGAAAGAATCGTTGCAAAGTGTTCATATTCTTTTGATCAAAATAATCATGGTCCGAAAGAGAATTTGAGCTTTGCAATGAAGACATCCGCCGGTGTCATCTATTTCAACCACTTTACAGACACAAGAAGGATGTTTAAGAGAGAATTCAAGATTAAAAAGAAAGAATTCTTGGAATTCTTCGCAAAAGGCGAGGAAGTCGTTGTTCCTTCGAATAACGCACAAATAAGACTCTGCGAAGACGAAGAAATGAAGAGAAGAAATATCCAGATCGTCGCAAGGAAAGATGACGAAGTTTGCTTAGCCGTAAAGTTCGCTGGATTCGTTTACGTCGTAGATGTCGATGTTACAAAGGATGGTTTAGTTTTCTGCATAAGAGGTGACAAATCTTTCCTCAATTTGATGTCTAAGGCTGCTGTTTACACATTTTGTGAAATTTAATTGATATTTGATAATAAAAAACACTATTTTTTATTTTATTTGATAATAAAGATTTTAAAATTTGAAAATTTCCGTGTTTTTTCATTAAAAATCCCATTACCTAAAACTGACCAAACTAATTATATCCTTTTATTTCTGGAATTTTATGTTTTGTTCCGATTTTCATCAAAATCATTTACGATTATAAGATAACTTCATGATTCAAAGTAATCGCAATCATTATACTATATGATATTGTAAATAAGAGATGTTTAGTTAAATTATACACAAAAAAATCGCTTATGAACAAGTTATACAGATTAGGAATATAAATATTGTAATTTGGAATCCCCAATTCGGTGTTTTGCCAGAAGGTATGTAGTTTCTTAATGAACTCATAGCTAAAGGCCATTTTATTATTATCATCGAAATAAATACTAAGAATGGTAAATTTGTTCGTCGTCATAAGAATATAGCACATCATTAATATATAAAAAGAATATCAAGATCGCATGATTCCCTTTTATTGGATAGAGGTATTCGTATTTGTTGTATAACGGTAGAGAAGTGAATTAAGATCGTTGGTTTTGCTTATTTGAACCTTGTGTATCGTATAAAACGATTAAGAAAACGAATAAAAAATTTAAAAAATAGCCTTTACAAGAAAATTCGTCTATATATTTCATTAATTTGTCCTAATGGAATTTAAGTATGAAAGCATGAAAGTTCCATGAAACGGATAAAAGAAATTCGAGATTAAATTTTCGAAAAAGAAAGCTGCTAATATGGTAGGGAAGATAGAATAACATGTTTGGATTAATCTAAAGGAAATAGAGTTGATTTTTAACAATTTTTTTTGGCAGCATTTTAAAAATATGAGAAAGGAAGCCAAAAGAGACAAATCATCATTTGCTGAGATGTGTAGATCCGTTTGTATTGCTTTAACTTATAAAATACTAATAATTAATAATAAATTTGGAATATTTTGTAAGTGAGAAGAATTAATGCTTCAATACTTTTGGAAAAGAACCAAATGTAATCGCTCTATCATTTTTTCGATGAAAAATCTGAGATTATATAGTAAAAGCCTGAGTTTTCATAGATGAAAGTTATCAGGTCACTCCTGCTTCAAATTTGAAAAGATAAATTGTATTACAATTCAATTTGATAATAATGCTGATTTGAACTATAATGCCATTATTAAGTTCATCTGAATAAATTTAATGAATTTGAATTCACTAAGTGAAATTCACTTATTTTATTAATCATTACAAATTAAACATATACATAAAATTTATCATTTCAAAACTTTTGTGTGTTTGCTTTCAAAAAATTGACAAGCTTTTAAAATTTGAGATCATCGATTTTTCGCAATGTACTTTTCGATATTATGCATTATTTTCAAATAAAAATATTTTTTACAATTATTCAATTATTGAATGCTTTTTCGATGACGGCTTCACAAAATTCTCCTCAAATAAAATCTTCGACGCCTTACAAACAATATTGTAAATATATAATATGTTCAAATAACCAATTACAAAAACAGTCGAATTTTTTGTATTTGCCTCAACTTTTTGGTCTCTTAGCTTCATCGATATATGAAATAGTTAGTAATATAACATTTTCACATATTTTCTATACAATATAATTTTCAATAATGATTGGAAGGTCACCCATACAAAAAAGGATGGGACCTCGCAAAAAAATAGCCAATGAATATTTCGGTCAATTTCAAGAGTTTGAACGTCATAGATCGGCCACGTATATATTGCGCTAACATAATGCTATATCACTTGTTTAAAAGCTCATTTTTCGAAAAATGGAGCATATTTCAACACAATTAAGTGACTCCTTTGTATTCAATTTTTGTGATAATAATCGTATCATTCTCAATTGCTCAGAATTCCTGTCCAATTATCAAATAAACATTATTCGTATTCAATAATACTAATAGATATAGATTCTGAGGCGAGTCACTTTTTCTAATCGTTTTTAGATAACATGACTGCAAATCAGTTCGCCCCGATCAAATCCTGGAACAATGGCCGTAATCCAATGTTCTGCCTCGGCTGCGATGTCGGTGGTTCTGGTCTCCGCATCCGCTTTTCAAATTACTTCAACCCAAGTGAGTACATCGACGTCAAGCACATCAAAGCACAGAATACAGCTGATGCCTTAAGACATCTTAACGAGCTTTCAGCTAAGATCAAGAAAGTCGCACCAAACGCCGAATCAAGAGGCGCTGCAATTGCTGTTGCAGGTCCAATTAAGGATAACACTGTTATCTTCACCAACTGGCCAGGTAAGGCTGAGAATAGAACAGTCAGCTTAAACCAGCTTCCAAAGACACTCTTCCCACAAGGTCATTCACTCTTCCTCAACGATCTTGAGGCAGGTGCTTACGGTGTTATTGCCGCTGAAGAGCAGGGTGTTCTTTCTCCACTCTTCGAGCAGATGTGGCCGGAGATTGCTCCAAAGGGCAAATTAATCTCCGACAACAGAACAGCAGTCCTTGCTATGGGCTCTGGCCTTGGTGTTGCTCTTATCGTTAAGACACCAATCCTCCAGCAGCCACTTGTCGTCCCATCTGAGCTTGGACACCTTCAGATCCCAACTGTTTGCTTCCGCCATAAGGACTACCTTAACGAGCAACAGCTCATCCAATTCGTCTCAGATCACTACTACAACGGCCGCCAAATGCCAGAATACGAAGACATTGCATCTGGCAGAGGTCTTTGCTTAGCTTACCAATACGAATACGATCGTATTAACCAGGTCAAGATCCCACTCGATCAGATCGAAGGTGGCGAAGTTGCACAATTAGCTCAGAAGGGTGATAAGATCGCTAGAAAGGCCCTCTTATACCACTACTTATACTTCATGAGAGCTGCTAAGGCTGTCTCTACAACATTGTCTTGCGACTCTGTCCTTATGGCTCTTGATAACCAAGTTAAGAATGATTGGTTCGTTAGATCCGCTTTCGATGAACTCTGTGAAGAGTTCTATCACTTCATCCGCCCAGACTGGATGAAGAGCATCAGAGTCTACACACAAGTTAAGACTCTTAACTTTAACATCCTCGGTACGGATTACATGGCTCATAAGATTGCTGATAAGTAAATTTCTATTCGTTTATTTAAAACTATTTATTTTACCGTATTAAATTTAACTTTGCTTTTTTACAAAATAAAAAATCAAAAAAATTATCAAAAATTTTCTTCAAAAAAATCAGAAATTCGCTTTTAAAACCATCTCTTTTATCAATAGTCACTTTAGTTTTTCTATCCGGTAAGCGTAAAATTCATTATTCATATGAGATGTATTCGAATTACAGTTCAAAGGTTTAATAAAAGACTGTTTGGAATAGAAAATTATGAATTACTCAATCTATATTAATATATAAATCATATTCAAATACGAATTCTTATAAAAAAATAATTTTCATAACGAATATTAAAAAAAATTATTTAATATAAAACTAACATTTAAGAGATCTGTATTCCTTAGAGACCTGGGATGAGTTGTCTGGCCAATGCGACTGCAGCTTTGGCTTGTTCGTCTTTAATTGGCGCTTTGAAGATTTTCAGAAGAATCTTGAAGATCTCGTTAAGAGGGTAATCGGCCTGGAATGTTTTTCCGTTGTAAGGATCAACAGCCGGCCAAACAGAAAATTGTGGAGTATTCTTTTGAGGAATTTGGAGGCCAAGGACGTGTTCTGTGCGAGGGTTGAATTCGTATATGCGAACATTGTCACATCCAGCGAAAACTTCTGCAATAATTTCGGCATTCTTCTTGCATTCCTTGTAGTGCTCCATTCCTGGATCAGCAACGAGAAGGATGCAATCAGAGCCTGCATCAAGTGCGATTTTCATGAAATCGTTGGCGTAAAGCATTGGAACTCGAGAAATAACTTCTGGTTTGCCTTTTCCTGTCAATTGGAAGCGAATCCAGTAGTATATGTCTTCGGCTGGTTGTAGTGGGTTATCGCAGACTTGCCAAATGCTTAATGTTGGCCCTGTAACAAAGAAAAGAGGATATGAGAACTTAAAAACGCCAAATTGACGGACAAACTTTGGCGCATCGAAGAAATCAATGGCGAAGTATCTGATTTGTGGAATTCCGAGTTCTACTTTTGATTGATTGAAAACTTCGTTGATTCTATGGAAATGCCATGGAATTGATTTATCATAAAGAACACAGACACTCTGCTTGCCAATGAGGTTCTGATTTGCTACGAAATTCCATGTTGGCTGTGAGTATTTGATCAAATCTCTGACAGAAATCAAAGAATCGAAATTTGTAGTAAATTCTTCGTATGGTTTCGTAAATACTATGTCGTCGAGGTTGAGATCGCTAACAAGTTTGGAATCTTCGACAACAGCGAAATGAACTAAACAATGGCAAATTCTGGCGTATTGGTTTATCTGTGGGACCAATGATGTGTCAGTAATAATTAAGTTTGCTGGTGCAAGTTGTTGGAATTCTAAGATTTCGAAAGCATTTTTAGGATAATGAACAACTGGCTCTTCTAAAACACGAAGAGAATACTTGTAGATGTCCTCAACTGTGTAGTTATCTGTATATTGGACTATTCTGTCTGATTTGTAATACAAGAAAATTAAAGGAGCATCAACAATAGAATAATATTGGATGTTCTTGTTGTCATTTGAAACATCAAGTGAGATGAATCCAACTCCATTTTCGGATTTATGTGCTGCAGCAGTGAAATATTTCAAAATCTTCTTAGAATCGTGAACATTTACTGATGTAACAAGCACTAAATTGTAATCTGATTTTTCAAGGGCTGAATTGAACGACTCGCGCTTTGTTTCTATGACTCTGGCTGCTAAGCCAAATAATATCGGAATCATTTTTTTTTGTCAGTTTTTTGCGAATGAAAACTAAACATTCAGTAATTAGTTATTAGCAAAGTAAGTAAAATAATTAAGCATAGAAACTATTTGCGTTATAGAACATAAAAGCTCTGCTTTCGAAGATATTATACAGAATATCTTTGATATGAGAAGTATTTGATAGCAACTTGAAGAGTAAATATAAGAATAAAAAATATTAGTAGTATATGAATGATATGAAATAAAAACTATTTATTTAGAAAGATGTCTCCAGAATAAACTTGGAGAATTGCTAAACATGCGCTTAATAGCGTGTATATTATATGATCCTTGAACTACTCCACATGAAAACAGAAGTCGTTGAGGAATGCCTGAATCAATGATCATTTTAAGATAATCAAAAGTTGTGTTCTCAATTATAAGGGGACATCGAATAGAATTGCATTCAAAAAATGAATTGGATTCAACAGTTTTAACTGAGAAAGGGAAGTTGATGTGTTGAAGATTCTTGCAGTTGTTGAATGAAAACTGTTCAATCAGTGAAACACTGTCTGAAACAATTTTGATGTCAATGATGTTGTTGCATTCATTGAATGAATAGCTGCAGATGACATTACACTCAAGACTTAGAACTTTATCTGGTGAATTGATTGCATGATATATTAGATATTTTCCTGTTTCATTCTTATAATAAAGAGTATTATCAATGCATTTGTATTTATCTGATTCGAAATTAGAAATGCTTTGAAGAGAATTACATCCAGAAAATGAATTATTTGATATTTTCTCAAGAGAATTTTGTTGGGGAAATGTGATTGATTTAAGTTTAATACAGTTTAAGAATGCATTTTCGGATATAGTTTCAACAGTTGATGGAATATTAATATTCTCTAATGAATAACAGTTCTCAAATGATTTATATCCAATCACTTTTGAATTTTCGATTATATTCACTGTTTTCAATTTAGAACAACCACTAAAACAACTATTAGGAATATCTTTAATATTATTCACACTCACTAAATTGCTGCAGTTTTCAAATGTATTACCCATGAGATTTAAATTAGTTGAAGCAAAACTCACAGAAGCCAATTTACTGCATCCTTTAAATGCTGAAATTCCTATAGTAAATAAAACTGAAGAAGAAAAACTAAATGAATTTAAATTAGAACAATTTCTAAATGCGTCTTTCTCGATCTCTAGAAGTTGTGAATCTGATTCAAATTTTATTATAGAAACAATTGAATTTTCGAATGCGCCTTTTTTGATTGTTGTTACGTTTTTAGGAATTGTAATAGAATGAGAATCTGAATTAATGTATTCCCAATATTCATAAATTATTGTTGGGTTTGAATTCATAATAAATAACTTTGGAGTAATAATTAGATCTGATTCATTTATATATGAAATTGAAACAATAGTATTTCTTAGAATTGATCTTGAAGAAAAAAAAGATTTGTGTGTATATGACATCTTTATTTTGGGAGAATTACTTGAACTGAATTGATATGAGTTTACTATCATCGATGAATTTGGGAAAACAATGAGTTCGAGATTATCGCAATAAATAAATATCTTTTCGTCAATGTAATCAATGAGTCCTAAAAATGTAACATTCATCAAATCATCACAATAACCAAATGCATAACTTTCAATTCTATTCACAATTTTTGGAATTGTAACAGAGACAAGTTTTGAAAATTCGAAGCAATCATTTTCGATAGTTGTGAGAGAACTTGAAAATGTTATTGATTTAAGTTTAGAACGGTAGAATAAAAATTTCCCTAAAGTTGTTACAGAATCTGGAATTTCAATTGTTTCAAAAGTTTTGTTACAAATAAAGAATAAAATACTTTTATGAGCAGAAAAAACAAAGTTGTTGTTTTCAATTACAAAGAATTTATTATTAGGATGAATTGTAAGATTTGTTAATTTTGCATCACCAAATGCTGCTCCATTAACATTAGCGACATTTTCTGGAATTTGAAACGAAGTAATGCTAGTAAAAGAAAATACACAATATTCCAATGAAGTTAATTTTGAACCTTCTTCAAAAGTAACATTTTCTAGCTTAGAGCATGCTTGAAACCCTAAAGATTCTATTATTTCGACAGAAGCTGGAATTGTAACACTTGTTACTAATATATTATTTGCAAAAGCATGGAATTGTATTTCAAGAAGTCCTTTTGGTAAAAGTATTTCAGTAACTTTTTCGCAATGATAAAATGCTTCCTCAGATATTATTTTAAGTTTGTTACAAGATGATAAATCAATTATTGAAAGTTTAATGCATTCCCTAAAACTTTCTTTTCCAATTGTTGTTAAATTAGGATTGTCTTGAAATGAAAATGAAATTAAAGAATTTAGTTGATAAAAGCATTTGTCTTGTATTAATTCGCATTTTGCTGATATTCTGAGATATTTTGATGTATCATCGACTTTAGTGAGTGTTTTTCCGTCACTTGAATAACATCTTTGTTCGATATCTGTGTAAATAATGGATAAAATGGTAATCATATTGGATCATTTATGCATATTTTTGTTGAGAGATTTGTTGATAAAAGTTGTTTAAAATAACTATGAAAAGGGAGGTAAAAATATAATTTCTAAAAAGCAATTGAATCAATCTGGATATTTTTGTATGAATGTAAGCTTGGCAGTATTTTACTTGAGCACTTTTAGCAATTTCTAATGCAGAAATTTCATAATCTAGGTGAGAAATCCCCTAGATTATGAAAATTTATAAAATGATTTTTTTGAGAAGAAATTTTCGAATCGGATCAAATTTTGTAAATAAGAGAACTGTTCATAATAACCTTAATGTGTATTCCATAAAATTATGGATTTCGTATTGACCAATCATAGATTTTTTTGAAATGTTTTGACACTTTTGCATTTTCAATGAAGAACTTCAAATCTTTTAAGTAAATGCGAGTTTATTTTTCTGCTTTTTATTGGGACACGCAAAGGTTGCCAGAGTTCATGAGTTTTCTGAATTTATTCAAGGAAAATAAGATAAAAAAAAATAAGCACTGTAATGGCGTTTTTATTGTTGCCTCGTAACAAAATAAATGGTGGCATAGAATCACTAACAAAGCCAATCAAACTAGTCCAAAGAATTAACGAAACTCCAAGAATTTGTTGACTACCTTTGTGTCTATCTCATAATGTGCTTGAATCTTGCATCCATTCCATTGTGCCCACATGTTTTCTTTAACTATCTAATTAAATTATGTTTTAATAAATTAGTGTAGTTGAAATAAAAATTATAGCAAAAGGTAATGAAATTATAAAGTTTTTATTTAGATAATTGACCAAAGATAAATTTGGTAGATGAATTATAAAACTTTTTAAATATACCAGGTTTTTTTGAACCATGAATAACTCGACACGAAATAATAAGTGTAAGGGGGATTCCCGATTCGTTAATCATTCTAATATAGTGAAGTTTCTTGTTCTCAATAATAAGAGGACATCGAATAGAACGACATTCAAAAAATGAATTAGATTCAACAGTTTCAACTGAAAGAGGGAAATTGATGTGTTGAAGATTCAAACAATTATTGAATGAATATTTTTCAATCAATGAAACACTGTTTGGAAGAATAGTGATGTTATAAATGTTGTTACATTCATTGAAAGAATAAGTGCAAATAACACTACAGTTGATGAAAAGAGTTTTATCTAATGATCTATTAAGATGAAAAATGAGATATTCCCCTGTTTCATTCTTTGTATATATCGTATTATCAATGCATTTGTATTTATCTGATTCAAAATTAGATATGTTTTGAAGCAAATTACATCCTGAAAATGAATTTATTGATATGTTTACTAAATGATTTCTCTCGGGAAAAATCATTGATTTAAGATTTCTGCAATTTAAAAATGAATATTCTGATATATATTGAACAGATGATGGAATACTAATACTCTCTATTGAATAGCAATTCTCAAATGATTTATATCCAATCATCTTTGAATATCCTTGAATACCGATATTAGTCAAATTAACACACCCTCTAAAACATCTATTAGGAATATTAATAACATTAGCTACACTTACCAAACTAATGCAATTTTCAAATGCAGTATCCATGATTACTAAATCACTAGAAGCGAAACTCACAGAAGTTAATTTAATGCAATCTTTAAATGATTCAACGCCAATGGTATTCAAGTAAGTAGATGAAAAATTAAATGAAACTAATTTCGAACAATTCAGGAAAGCGAAATTTTCAATCACAGAAAGCTTTGAATCTTTTTCAAGATTTATTTGAGGAATTATCGAATTTTGAAAAGCTCTTTCTTTGATGCATGATACTGATTTAGGGATAGTGCTATAATAAAAGTAATTATAGCCCCAGAATTCATAAATAATTGTTTGATTTGCATTCATTACAAATAATCTAGGAGTAATAATAAGATCTGAATCATTGATATACGAAACTGAAACATTTGTAATCCTATTAATAGAATTATCACGGAACAAGGTTTTATTGGTGAAATACATTTTTGTTTTAGGTGTATTATTTGTAATGAAATTATTACCATTTATATTCATTGGTGAATTAGGAAAGTTGATAATCTCTAATTTTTTGCAATTATCAAACACTTTATCACCTAAATAATCTGGGGCTCCTAAGAATGTAGCATTTATCAATTCAGAACATAAAAAGAAAGCTTGCTCATCAATATATTTCACATTCTGAGGAATTTGAATAGTGATAAGATGTGTAAAGCAAAAACATCGATATCCAATTGTTGTTATAGAATTTGGTAATACTATTGTTTTGATAATAGAATCATAGAATAAATGATCTCCTAAGATTGTGACGAAATCTGGAATTACATATGTTTCGAATGAACGATTACAAATAAAGAAAAAAAACACTTTTATTTGCTGAAAACAAAGTATTATTTTCAACCATAAAATGCTTGTAAGATTTTTTAATTTAGCATTGGAAAATATCCATCCATCAACTTTTGAAACATTTTCCGGAATTTGAAACGAAGTAATATTTGTGTAAGCAAATACATTATTCTCAAGGGATTTTACATTTGAACCTTCTTCAAATATTGCATTTTCAAGTTTTTCGCAGAAATAAAATGCCTCTCTATCAATAAATTTAACAGATGCGGGAATTTTAACAATTGTTACTAATTTATTACTAAAGAAGGCAATTTTCTGTATTTCAAGAAGTCCTCTAGGAAAAAGTATCTCGGAAACTTTTTCGCAACTTCCAAAAGCTGCATAGGATATTGTTTTAAGCTTGGTACAAGATGATAAATTAATAATTGAAAGATTTTTGCATCCCCAAAAACTTCTAGTTCCAATTGTTGTTATGTTAGGATCAATTTCAAATGAAAATGAAATTAATGTATTTAATTCACGAAAGCATTCATCTAGTATTACTTCACATTTAGCTGATATTTTGAGGTATGGTGATGGATCTGTGACTTTTGTGAGTTTTTTACCATCACTTGAATAGCAACTTTGATTGATATCTTTGAAAAATAGTACCAAAATGGTAATCATTGTGAATCATTATGCGTATTTTGCTTGACGACTCTGTTTATGATAGTAGTTTGAAACTATTATAGATTTCAAGGAAAAATCAGTTCAGATTACTTTTGAAACTTTGAAATAATATAGGATTGGAAGTATATTACATGAATTCATGTTTGTGACAGCCAATATCCTTGGTATTTATATACTTTTTGATTAGAGATTTTGTATTTGAAGGGGAAAAAAAAACAATAAAAAATAAAAAATCTTATCGTACAACATACATCTCCAAATTTTGAGATGTTTACATTTCAAATATGACATCAGTGCAATAGAGATGTATGGATTTCATATACTTGTGATTGATTTATCAGCTGCATTCTGGCGCAGCAGCAATGACATATTCAATTTGTAGTAAAAAATGTTTGAAGTTATCTTGGATACCTTCTGCTTTTTCAAGTTTATATACTGTGTTAAGAATATCACTCTCATTAAAAGAAATGCAATTAAAAACAATTTAAACGAAAATAAATATATAACGATCACCAATTTGGAAGGATGTTTGAAGAATATGATTGATTTCATTATCAACCACTTTTATGGGAATAGTAAACATTTAATAAAGATTTAAAAAAAATAGAGATTATTTAGAAAGATGCTTCCAGAAAAGGCTCGGAGTTTTGTTGTTCATAAGTTTAATCATTTTAATATTATATGATCCTTGAATTACTCCACATGAAAGAATAAGATTTCGAGGAATTCCTGAATTTATGATCATTCTGATATAGTCAAGTTTCGTATTCTCAATAATAAGGGGACAGCAAATAGAAGGACATTCATTAAATGAGTGAAATTCAACTGTTTCAACTGAATAAGGAAAATTTATATATTTCAAATTCAAACACTTGTTGAATGAATATTTTTCAATTATTAAAACGGTATCTGGAAGAATACTGATGTTATATATGTTGTTGCATTCAGTGAACGAGTAACTGCAGATAACATTGCAGTTAAGAATAAGTGAGTTCTCTGAAGAATTAATTACATGGTAAATAAGATAATATTTTGATTCATTCTTATAGTAAAGAGTATTATCAATACATTTGTAGTTATCTGATTCGAAATTACTTATGTTTTGAAGTGAATTACATCCTCTAAATGAATTATATGATATTTCAGAAAGTGAATTTGTGCTTGAAAATATGATTGATTTAAGATTTCTGCAGTTTAAGAAAGAATTTTCTGATATTGTTTCAACTGATGAAGGAATATTTATACTCTCTAAACAATAACAATTCTCAAATGATTTTTCACCAATATGTATTGATCCTTCATCAATATTTATATTTTTTATTTGAGTGCACCCAGAAAAGCATTTATTAGGAATATTTAACATATTACTTACATTTAATAAATTTGTACAATTCTCAAAAGCATTGCCCATGATCATAAAATTGTTCGAAGCAAAGTTCACTGAAGTCAAATTCATGCAATTTGAAAATGTTCCAAATCCTAATGTATTTAAATTACCATAAGATAAATTAAATGAAAATAGTCTTGAGCAATTTTTAAATGCATAATCTCCGATTTCTAAAAGTGCTGAATTGGATTCAAAATATATTTTAGTTATGTCTGAATTTTCAAAAGCTCGCTCTTTGATTTTTGTGACTGATTTATGAATAGTTATTCCATTCGTGTAATTATATCCCCAATATTCATAAATTTCTGTTTGTTTTGAATTCATAATCATAGAATCTGTAGTAATAATAAGATCTGGTTCATTTATATATGAAACTGATACATGCATATTTTTTTGAATTGATTCATAAGAAAACAAAGTCTTATTTGAAAAAGACATTTTACAATCAGGTGAAAAAGTGGTTATGATATAAGACCCATAAACGACAAATGGTGGGCAACGAAAAATAATGAGTTCGAGTTTATCACAAAATTCAAATACAGAACTACCAATCTGATCAAAAGGTCCTAAAAATGTGATATTTGTCAAATTATTGCAAAAATTGAATGCATAACTATTAATGTTCTTTACATTTTCTGGGATAGTTATGCTATTGATAGGTGAACCGAAAAAGCATCCCACTCCAATTGTTATGAGAGAACCTGGAAGTTCTATTGTTTGAATTTTAGTACTCCAAAAGCAATATTCGCCCAAAGAAATGACTGAATTTGGAAATGTTATTGATTTGATATTAGAATTCCCAAAACAACTATCCCCTAAAGTTGTGACAGAATCTGGAATTTCATATGTTTCAAAAGTTTTGTTACGAATAAAGAATAAAATACTTTTATTAGCAGAAAAAACAAAATTGTTATTTTCAATTATTAAGAATTTATTATTAGGATGAATTGTAAGATTTGTTAATTTTGCATCAGAAAATGCTTCTCCATTAACATTAGCGACATTTTCTGGTATTTGAAACGAAGTAATTTTAGTATCATAAAATACATGATGTTCTAATGAAGTTAAATTTGAACCATCTTCAATAGTAGCATTTTCTAGTTTAGAGCAGAATTCAAAAACACTATTACCAATTTTTTCAACAGAAGCTGGGATTAAAATACTTTTTATTAATTTATTATTACTAAAAGCATATGATTGTATTTCAACAAGTCCTTTTGGTAAGAGTATTTCTGCAACTTTAGAGCAACGAGAAATGCACAATCGGATATTATTTTAAGTTTATTGCATGATGATAAATTTATAGTAGTGAGATTCTCACAACTATAAAAACTATATGATCCAATTGTTGTTAAGTTTGGGTTGTCTTCAAATGAAAATGAAATTAATGAAATCAATTCAAAAAAGCATTTATCTTGTATTGTTTCGCATTTAGCTGATATTCTGAGATATGGTGATGTATCATTGACTTTAGTGAGGTTTTTTCCGTCTTCTGAATAAAAACTTTCATTAATATCTTTGAAATCAAGAGCCAAAAAGATCATTATAGTAAATCATTTATAAATTTGTTCATACGTATCGTTGTTTTTTTAATGTATTTTGAAATAATCAAAAAAAAATATGAAATTTAGTTAAAATTGAACTTTGATACACATGTAGATATAACTTTTTATTGCCCAAAATTAATATGCAATTATTAATTCCTAAAATCTGCATTTGTCAATAGATGAAACTACTCATTCATTAATATTTTGAAGTGTGAAAATTCTGAAGTTTACGTTAAAACAAAACATCAGAATTCGTTTCAGGTTTATTCAAATTGCTACAAAATATTCTGTTTAACAATAATATAAGATCAGTATAAAGGAATGAATTAGTAAGCTGTATTTATTCAAGAAAAAAAAGATAAAAAACAAAAGATAAAAAAGAATAAAAATAGATATTAAGCACTGAATGTAATGACGTTTTCGTTGTTGCCGCGTGACCAAATAAATGGGGGCATAGAATCACTAACAAAGCCCATCAAACTAGTCCATAATTCTGGTGTAACATTGACTTTTGGAATTGGTATAGTGCAGATGATCAATGATGAGTTGTCTGAGTATTTCATCAAGAATTCGCGAAGTTTCAAGAATTTGTTGACTGCTTTTGTGTCTGTGTCATTCTGTGCTTGAATCTTGCAGTCGTTCCACTGTGCATACATGTCTTCTTTAGGAAGTTCGCCCATCCCTTTGACAACTAAGATCTGTGCTTTGATTCGGAAGAGATGAAGCAACTTAGATAGTTTGACTTGGACATCTGTGATCTCTCTACCATCTGGAAGAATTGTGAAAAGTCTGATGTCGCATTTCTTCCATGCTGAGTGTGTCGAAAGACTTTAGTGAGATATTATTATATTCTGCATAGCAATTTTGATCAATGTCTTTGTAATTAAGAGCCAAAAAGAACATAGGTGAGTCGTATTATAAATATTTTCGCTAAAAATTATGTGCTCAAGATATAAAAAAATGCACAAATAATGCATAGATTGAATGAAAAAATAATCGTTTTTGTGCTTTTTTTATACTCTTAGGAAATCCTTTCTCAGTTATAAATATTCAAATTTAAAAAAAAATGATTTAATTAAGAAGTTTTAGCATTATGTTGCCAGCATAAGAATGACTGAAGAATTACAAATGCTTTTAATTGAGTGATGTTTCTTGGAGTTGTGGTAAATTCCACATGAAATAATAAGTCGTCGAGGAATACCTGATCCAACAATCATATTGAGATAATCAATAGTTGTGTTTTCAATAATAAGAGGACAACAAATAGAACGGCATTCAAAAAATGAATGTGATTCAACAGTTTCGGCTGAAAGAGGGAAGTTGATGTGTTGAAGATTCAAACAGTTGTTGAATGAATATTGTTCAATCAGTGAAACAGTGTTTGGAAGAATAGTGATGTTATATATGTTGTTGCATTCATTGAATGAATAACTGCAGATAACATTGCAGTTAAGAATAAGTGAGTTCTCTGAAGAATTAATTACATGGTAAATAAGATAATATTTTGATTCATTCTTATAGTAAAGAGTATTATCAATACATTTGTAGTTATCTGATTCGAAATTACTTATGTTTTGAAGTGAATTACATCCTCTAAATGAATTATATGATATTTCAGAAAGTGAATTTGTGCTTGAAAATATGATTGATTTAAGATTTCTGCAGTTTAAGAAAGAATTTTCTGATATTGTTTCAACTGATGAAGGAATATTTATACTCTCTAAACAATAACAATTCTCAAATGATTTTTCACCAATATGTATTGATCCTTCATCAATATTTATATTTTTTATTTGAGTGCACCCAGAAAAGCATTTATTAGGAATATTTAACATATTACTTACATTTAATAAATTTGTACAATTCTCAAAAGCATTGCCCATGATCATAAAATTGTTCGAAGCAAAGTTCACTGAAGTCAAATTCATGCAATTTGAAAATGTTCCAAATCCTAATGTATTTAAATTACCATAAGATAAATTAAATGAAAATAGTCTTGAGCAATTTTTAAATGCATAATCTCCGATTTCTAAAAGTGCTGAATTGGATTCAAAATATATTTTAGTTATGTCTGAATTTTCAAAAGCTCGCTCTTTGATTTTTGTGACTGATTTATGAATAGTTATTCCATTCGTGTAATTATATCCCCAATATTCATAAATTTCTGTTTGTTTTGAATTCATAATCATAGAATCTGTAGTAATAATAAGATCTGGTTCATTTATATATGAAACCGATACATGCATATTTTTTGAATTGTTTCATTTGAAAACAAAGTCTTATTTGCAAAACACATTGTACAATCAGGTGAAGTACGCGAAATGAAATAATCTCCAAAAATGATAAATGGTGGGCAATGAAAAATAATGAGTTCGAGGCTAATGCAATACTCAAATACACCGCGGCCAATGTAATCAAAAGGTCCTAAAAATGTGATATTTGTCAAATTAGTGCAAAAATTGAATGCATAACTATTAATGTTCTTTACATTTTCTGGGATAGTTATGCTATTGATAGGTGAACCGAAAAAGCATCCCACTCCAATTGTTATGAGAGAACCTGGAAGTTCTATTGTTTGAAAATTAGTACCCCAAAAGCAATTTTCACCCAAAGAAATGACTGAATTTGGAAATGTTATTGATTTAATATTAGAATTCTCAAAACAACTGTCTCCTAAAGTTGTGACACTATCTGGAATTTCTGATGATTTGTTACAAATAAAGAATAAAATAATTTTATTTGGAGATAAAACAAAGTTGTTATTTTCAATTACAAAGAATTTATTTTTAGGATGAATTGTAAGATTTGTTAATTTTGCATCAGAAAATGCTGCTCCATTAATTTTAGAGACTTTTTCTGGAATTTGAAACGAAGTAATGTTAGTATCATAAAATACATGATGTTCTAATGAAGTTAAATTTGAACCTTCTTCAAAAGTAACATTTTCTAGCTTAGAGCAGGAAACAAATGCCCTATCACCAATTTTTTCAACAGATGCTGGGACTAAAATACTTTTTATTAAATTACAATATATAAAAGCCCCAGAACTTATTTCAAGAAGTCCTTTTGGTAAGAGTATTTTTTCAACTCTATTGCAACCATAAAATGCTTTCTCGCGTATATATTTAAGTTTATTGCAATATGATAAATTTATAGTAGTAAGAAACAGGCAATCATTAAAACTATTTGATCCAATTGTTGTTAAGTTTGGGTTGTCTTCAAATGAAAATGAAATTAATGAAATCAATCCATTAAAGCATTCATTTTGTATTTTTTCGCATTTAGCTGATATTCTGAGATATGGTGATGTATCATTGACTTTAATGAGGCTTTTTCCGTCTTCTGAATAAAAACTTTCATTAATATCTTTGAAATCAAGAGCCAAAAGGATCATTATAGTAAGTCATTTATAAATAGTTTCATAAGTATCGTTGTTTGTTAATGTAATTTGAAATAAAAAAAAATATGAAAATTAGTTAAAATTGATCTTTGGTACATATGTAGATATAACATTTAATACCCAAATTAATATGCAATTATTAATTCCTAAAATTCGAATTTGTCAAAATATCAAACTACTCATTCTTTAACATTTTGAAGTGAGAAAATTCTGAAGTTTACGTTTAAAAAAACGAATTAATTCAGTTGCTACAAAATACACGTATTAAAAATGAAAGAATGAATTAGTAAGCTGTATTTATTCAAGAAAAAAAAGATAAAAAACAAAAGATAAAAAAGAATAAAAATAGATATTAAGCACTGAATGTGATGACGTTTTCGTTGTTGCCGCGTGACCAAATAAATGGGGGCATAGAATCACTAACAAAGCCCATCAAACTAGTCCATAATTCTGGTGTAACATTGACTTTTGGAATTGGTATAGTGCAGATGATCAATGATGAGTTGTCTGAGTATTTCATCAAGAATTCGCGAAGTTTCAAGAATTTGTTGACTGCTTTTGTGTCTGTGTCATTCTGTGCTTGAATCTTGCAGTCGTTCCACTGTGCATACATGTCTTCTTTAGGAAGTTCGCTCATCCCTTTGACAACTAAGATCTGTGCTTTGATTCGGAAGAGATGAAGCAACTTAGATAGTTTGACTTGGACATCTGTGATCTCTCTACCATCTGGAAGAATTGTGAAAAGTCTGATGTCGCATTTCTTCCATGCTGAGTGTGTCGAAAGGAGATATCCAACTAACAATGTAAGACCACCATCATCTGCAAGCCACCAAATATCCAGTGGGAAGTGGTTTTCGACATTGATATCGAATGTATCGAAATTCCTTGAAATCAAAACACCCATTGATGAATCAATGGCTGCACAAACTAATGAGAAGAAACGTGGTGATGTTGAGAAATGTGTTGCAATAATGTTTGGTTTAACTTTTCCATAACCAACGGCATTAGCAATCAAACGTGAGCACAAATCAGCATCAATAGATCCCCAGTAATGTGTGAAACCAGCATTGTTGATTGTGTCTTTCTGTTCATCTGATAAAATACCTAAACATGAGATACCCATGATCGAATATGATTTATCAATGACTTGGTTGAATGGTAACATGTTGATGATTGATTTCTCAACTGAACTCTCGCGTTCTGCATCAATGACATATTCGATTTGTGGACGATATGTTTTGACATTATCTTGGATACCTCCGAGTTTTTCAAGTTTAGAAACTGTATCTGTGAATAAAAGTGAAATAGGGAATTCACCCCAATTGTTTGCATTTGTAACACCCCAGTGGAAATATGCAAGAATCGCAAGACATGCACCAACTGTTGCTAATGAGAAAACCCAGTTGATCAAGAACATGCCAATGATCATAAGAGCTGCACCTAATACATCTAAAATAGGATGATGGTACTTCCAACTTGGACGCCATGAAGGAGAACGTGACATAGAACCAACAAGACAAGCAGCACAAATAAGTGCAAATGAAATGAGGAAAAACATTGTAAGAATTGTACCAACAGTGTTCAAATCTTTGAAAATAAAACATGAAACAGCAACAATCAAGAAACCTAAAATGAAGCCGCGAACTGGATCATTTGATGATGCTTTGCCAACAGCGAAGAAATCAAAGACTTTTGGAAGAATTTTGTCTTCGCATAATGATTGGAATGTCTTTGGACCACCAATTAAAGCTGCTGATGCTGATGATACAGCAGCACCAATTATACCAAGATAAACAAGTGGTCCCCAAAGAGACATGTCGCACATAATTGTTGTATCTGTTAATAATACGTTCTTTGTAGCAGCACTTGCAAGAATGATGGCTGTGATCATGTTCAATAGTGTTGTTGTGATGATAGCACCAATTGTACCTACAGGAATTGACTTCTGTGGATCAGCAAGATCTCCACTGATATTTGCACCGGCCATGATACCTGTACAGCCTGGGAAGAAGACGGCAAATACTGTAAAGAAGTTTTCTCCTGGTAAATAACTTGCCCAAAGGTTGTTCTTGAGGTTTGAAACTTTCCATCTTGGAGTATTTTTGTTTAAGAGGCCAAAGAAGAAACCGATCATGGCAACTCCGATCAATGCTGATAGACAGTATTCCATATAGCATTCTACCTTGAGAGAAGTGCATATAATCAAAAGTAAAATGAAAATTAAAGAAATAGCTATTATTTCGTGATCCCATTTGCCGCCATTTGTAATATATCCGCCATGCCAAGCTTGAACTACATCGACAAATGAGAATGAGTGGAGAACTGCACTGAATGTTGTTGCAAATGAGAAAATGACACCAATTGTGCCACCCCAATCGGCACCTAAAGAGCGTGAGATGAAGTAGTAGACACCACCACCACGTACTAAGCCATTAGAAACGATTGCTGATAATGATAATGTTGTTAAAATAGTAGCTACACCAGAAACAAGGATTAAAACGAGTGCCATAACAAGTCCACAGTTGCCTACCACCCATCCAAGTCTTAAGTAATAGACAGCGGATAAAATTGACAAAATGCATCGCATATATACGCCATTAAACGTTCCAAAGTTGGGACTTTCGTATTTTTTCTCATTTGATTTCTCGTGTTTCTCTGCTTCCTTGTCTGCTCTGATATCGACTAATTTTTGTCTTGGTAATCCCCAATCATTGTAGAACGCGGTATCTGGAAGATGTTCGTGTTCATCCAATGGAGAAGGGATCATTGAGTTATCCAGATTTTTCAACTCCATGGATAAAAGAAAAAAACAAAAATTTGAAATAAAAAAAAATTTTTTTTATCGATGGAATCTCCTATCATCAATTTCGATCATGTTCGTTTCAAAGTACATTTCCATTGAGGACAGATCACCGATATATAAGGATAAAAATTAAAAAGGAGTAACCTTTTTTAGCATTGAAATTGAATAGACCAATCAAGCTTTCATTTTGAATGATTCATGATTTAACCAAAAATGAAAGCTTCTTGAAATTGCATAATGGCTTTTGATATAAATTATTTCAATATTTGGTTTATCGTTAATTTTCTCAAAATTGAAACCAAACGATACACAATTGTGTTTGAATTATCCTGTGGGAAATATTTATATAATGGGCTAATTTAAAGAATTAATGGTTTTTGCAATTCGATGATCCTATCAAAATTTCTTTTAAAATTTTGCTTTCAGGGAAATTATGAGTATATTATTGTCTGATTCTAAAAATATCGAAATCGGAATTTTATTATAACTTTTTATTTAATTGTTCCGTTCCATCGCTAAATTTAACCCTATTAGTTAGAATTTATATAAATTCTCTATTTTTGGTGATTTAATTGATGTTCTAATAAAAGAAAGGATGGGACAATAATCGTCTCAAACTGATGGACCACATTGAGATATTTTTCCAACTGAAATATATTTGTTTTGGCATATAAAGTGGTGTTTGGAATATCATCTGTGAAATTGGTTAATTGGATTGAAATTTTAAGAGATTTACTTTGAATTGTCTTATTAATAGAATAAATATGATCTCATTATCTCCTACATAATTAATTTAATACAAATTTCTGCTAAAGTCTCAGTTCAAGATTTCAAAAATTTATCGAATAAAGAATGGAACATTGAGAATATGATGTTAACAGTGTATCAAAGCTATAGTTGGGTTATTTAGATGCCTCAAACTTACCGCAATCAACCTTTCAATGACCCTATCGATAAAATCGAGGATAATTATGAGTAATTTGCCTGCAAATTGTTTGTTTATAATCGTGTCAATTTGTTTTTGTGAAAAATACATCATACAATGATAATCTAATCATCAAATTTTCTGATTAACATCAAAGAATATGGGTCATTATTGATTTTGTAATTTAATCGTCATCGTTATCGATTTTGTAATTTAATCGTTATCGTCTTTTTCTAAACGTGCATTTTTTGCTTTCGGAGCTATTGAACATACATTGGCCCTTACCAGCAATTGAAAACTATTTTTCATTATCAACAATTACATTACTCCGAGTTATTCATCAATCAATGAAAATCGATATATAGTCCATACTTCAATTTACAATATTGGCAAGTCCAATTTCACTTGGCATATTTAACTCATATAGAAAAACCAGTTGGAATCGGCAAAATTATCTTTAATTCCATACATAAGAAAAAAAAATTATAAAGTTCTTCAATAATAGCAAACTAATAGTTTAAATAGATTTACAAGTATCGCCCATCTACTTTTGATATAATTCACATATTAAATGTAGAAAACTGGTTTAAAATAAATATTTCAAAAGTTCGAAAACGATTTATGAAAAAATAACGTGATGACATTTACTAAATTTGCTCTGTATTAAAGTATCGATGATAGAAAGAGCATATTTTGTAAATATTTCAAAAATATTTAAAAATCGGAGAAATTGTATTGTAATGTACTATAATTATGTTACAAATCCGATTCAATACTAATCCTTCGCTATTGAAGTTGTTTTGAGAAGGATATTCTCTAAATTCTTGATAAATCTTTAAAATCTAGAGTAATCGTTTTGTAAACTTAACAAAACTAAAATGTATACCAATAGATTGGCATTTTCTACGTTTTCAAAGTGAGAGAGTGTAAATTCTTTTTTTTTATCCTATTAAGGGTATAGTCCACTAAAAATTTTTAAGTTTTGACAATGAAAATAAGCTCTGTGACCATGTAAATATATATCTATGCAAAACGAGAGGTTATGCCATAATTTTTTTTAGTTATCAAATTTTCCTTTTTTTGAGAGAAGTCTCTCAATAATTTGAGAAGAATCTTTGATATAAAGAGATACACATTTGTAGAACGAAGTAAGTGTTTTCCAAACATGTTCTTAAAAATAAATAAAATAATACAAATCTTTATTCAATCTTTTGATATTGTTGGTCCTCTCTTTGTGAAAATACTTAACTTCAAAGAGTATTATGTTTTACCTAGTGAGGACCTTAAGTTTGCAAAAACATAATAAAAGTAAAATAAAAAAGATCGGATTTATCACAAAACTTCGAGTATTATAGGATTTAATATATTTTCTTAGTAGATTATATGATTTAGTTTCTTAAAATCTAAAGTATTTCTTGAGGAAAATATAAATTGAAATTCAAAAAGTAAAAAAAATGTAAACAAATCAAATTTTAAATGGACCAAATGTTGATTTTTCATTCGTTTTCTCATTATCGAAAAAAATTTGGAAAGCTAAGAAGTCAATAACAAGTTATATAATACAACAAAACCCACATCGGATATGTTTTCATCAAATAGTCTCCTAGATTTGTTATGAAATTAAAATATCATGATATTTTAAGGGCTTTTGATTTCAATATTAGAATTATTCAGTTATGTCGTGCTAATATCAATTGCTTTATACAATTAATCGTTTACAAGCTGCAAAAATCGAACAATAATTTGACTTTGTAAAAAAAGTGCGTCATTTTTATTCGTTATACTTACAAAATGTAAACATTACGAGAAACATTTACATTTGTAAATGTAACAAGTAAAGTTGTCTCGCATAATTTGACTTTGTAAAAAAAGTGCGTCATTTTTATTCGTTATACTTACAAAATGTAAACATTACGAGAAACATTTACATTTGTAAATGTAACAAGTAAATACATCAGATTTAAATTGTAAATGTAGTTTATCTCTCTCATCTCCTTTTTAAAAGGTATTACATACATACGAACGCATGGGTCACTCAATAATTAGCGTGATAATAATTGAGGATAGACTGTAATCGTAATTTTATTTTTGGACTTATATTTCGACATTTTGAAGTCGCTTGAAAGTCTTGCAAATGATTAAATTTGGAAAATTTGACCTAAGTCTGCATTATTTTGATGACTTAAACAATTCTATAAATCTGTTTTCCTAAAAATTTAAAAAGATATAATTTCAATTTCCCTAAATTTATGTAATTCATATATCACCAAAATATTTGGACTGCATTTCGTTTGTCTGCACCTAATTAAAGTCTAAATACCAATTAATTTTGGAGTTGCATTGCTTTTAATGTAAAAATGCACGTTTAGAAAAAGACGATAACGATTAAATTACAAAATCGATAACGACGACGATTAAATTACAAAATCGATAACCTCTCAAAGAATATCATTGGTTAAAAAAAATGGAATGGCCTGAATAGTTTTGATGATTCGTGGAATATGGTTTGAATAATTTCAGTCAATGTTAGAAAAAATAATTAATAAAGTATATGATAGATTAAAATAGATTTATTAAAATAACAAAATAGTTGATATGATGATATATTACATGTATTTGCGCATATTGAATGAGTTCGTGAATTATTCGAAAAAATTAGAAGAACTTAAGATAGAGAATTAATAAAATTCCTAGTATTAAAAGGCCAACAACTCCGTATGTTATGAGTTTGTTCTTATTTTGTCTCTTAAACATTCTTGAAACTATATTTCCAGTATCATCAACTGTTGCATCGATTTCATGGACGTGCTGATGTGTGTTGAGTAATTTTGTTCGTTGATCTCTGAGTGATGTTAGGATTCCATTGCCAATATCAACTGTTTGCGACATAACAGCCTGTGTTTCATTTAGAGATACGGCTGCTTGGCGTTCTCTGTCTGTAACTTTGGCATTAGCGAGTAAAGCGACTCTTTTTTGTGTAGTTTTCAACTTATCTTCGAGATTTGAAATTTCGGTTTTATAATTTTGGACAAGTTTCTGATATTCATACTTTTCATTTGTTGTAACAAGAATGATTTCGTTTTCTAATTCGGTAAGTGCATCTTTTGCACCACTAATTTTGTTTAACATGTCTTCTATAACTGGTTCTGTCCATTGAAGCTCACCGCTATCCATTTTATGTGCATCATTCGTGACTTCTCTAATGATTCCTTTAATCTCTTCGGAATAAAACTCAGCAGACATTAAAAATTACAAAAAAATGAATGAATTTGGAAAAGTGACAAATTTTTGAAAATATTTCATGATTAAAAATGAAGAAAAATGCATAAGGATGCTTTAATTAATGCAAAATCAAATCTGTCAATTTTCCGATTATTTTTTTCTAAATTTTTGATCGGATTGTTTATGAAATATTCAAGATCAAAACCCCATTCAAAGTAAGACACTAGCTTGTACATAGATGTGGCTTTGTGGATTGATTATCTAGCTAAAACGAAATAAATATGAAAATATAAAGAATAATAAATAACAATTTAGAGCATATAAACGCATAAAAAACAACATATACTTATAAGTCAATATCATCAATATCTAAAACTTGATCAACTAAATCTTTTCTAATTTCTGAAAATGTAATCGGTGAATCCTTGAGTTTTGTAATATCTTCTATGAGAGAAATAGCATTCTCTGTTGATGAGCAGAAGAACCCGAGTAAAAATGATGGATTCAAACTTTTCATTTTAATTCCTCGAGGAGGAACTTCAAAAAACTCGCTATGGTCAAATGATGATGCAACAGCTTGTTTTGTAACATGTGGGTCGAAATATACGACATTCTGGTCTTCAGATAAACCAACTAAAAAATAACTGAAATCAGAAGATCCGCTAACTGCGCCAAGGAACTCAGGACGTTGAAATGTATACTTAATGAAAGGAATAAATTTTTGTTCAACGTCTTTCATTCCAAGTAAAATCGGAATTAAAAGAAGAAAAGGAGCTCGCATTGTTTTGACATCCTCTGGTATGATATTGGAATCTTTTGAGATTAAAACTGATAATTTCAGATCTTTGAAAATTGATTCAATAGTTGCAGCCAACTGCGAAGGTTTAGCCCATGTTCCTGGTTTGACACCAAATAACTCACTTCTGTAAACTAAATTCTGTATTGAAAATGGCATCTCTACGCGATCTTCAAAAAGACTGAACATCGGAATTTCGTTAAAAACAGTAAAAAAATACTCTGCATCAACAGGGGCATAGTTTAAAAAGTATGATGCAATTAATCCTTGTGCAGATCTGTAGCAGCAGCCCCAACCTGAATCCGAAGTGATATTTCCTGGTTGAATTGCTTGGAAATTACATCTGTATGTAAAGCGTGGTATATTTTCGTATTTTTTAATATCACCTTTTGTTAATGGAACTGATGAAAGCCCACATGCCTCAGAAATTTTCTTCAACATATAAATTAAAAGGTGCCAGTGAGATTTTAGATCCGATCAATTGTCGTTAAATTAATATATTAATAGCAATAGTAATTTAGTAAATATTTTTCTGAATAAAACATCAAATCCATTTTCAATGTGCTCAGAAAAATTGATGGATAAATTTATGCATATGTCCAAAATTGTACTTAAAGGAATTATCACAAAAATAAAATGATGATAGTTGATTTACAGCTATTCAATTTTGAAATTTTTGATAAAGAAAAAATTCGGTTCCCAATAAAGAGTTACTTTCATTTCTCTATCATTTTCCTCATATATGTATCTGTTTCTCTTAGAAAAATCGCAATTCTATAAGTTTATTATAATGATGCGAGATAAAAGACATCGTGATTATGTTATTCATGAACCATTTAGGCATGAACCAATTTCACATTGAATCAGAAATTTTGATTTGAATATGTTTAAATGGAAAGCATAGGTTAAAGAAAAATCTTAAATGAAATTCATCGAAAAATTAATATTGTTATGAATTATGACACAAATATGGATATAATAAAGTAATTGTTAATGAATGAGTTCAGTATATCACTGCATAAACTATTTCCAATGAAGAGATCTAAAAAAAAAGTTGTTATTAGACAAAACAAAAAATATAAACATTTATTTACAATACATTCAATCATGATTAGATAAATCTATTACGATCTTCAATCGATATCGTAACAATATCGTTAAAACAGTAAAAAGTACAATAAAGGCAATTAAATCATGTCCAATTGCATGGTCTAAGAAATAAAGAGCTTCTTTCGTGTTATAAATGAGATCATAACCAACTCTATAAGCAATATTTGGAAGAAGGAAAACCACAAGATGTTTAGGAAGCTTCTTTAACTTAGAAAGAAGTATTGTGTAGTTCCTTTTTACTAATCTTCCTTCTAATATAAATTTAACTTGTTCCAAGATCGCAAGAGTTGAATTTGTTTCTTGTGAAAGCCATTTTGCAGCTTTCCTAGTATCATTTAACTTAATGAATGTTCTAATAAGATGAACAGATGTCTCTCCACGACCAAATCTTTTTGAAATTTTCAGAAATCTTGCAGCAGTTTTATCCATGAAATTATCTGAAAAATTAAAAGGATTTCTTTTCGGGAAAAAACAATTTATGGTTCATCAACATTATTCCTGCATTATAAGCTGCTCTTTCTATACCTATATCGCCAAGCATCATCCATGCTAACAAAGCTTTTTCATACTCTTTGTTGTTGAAGAAATTTTCAGCAGATTTTCCTAAATTGTTCCAAGGACCGCCTTGCATTACGTCCCAGAGATAAACGAGCGCTTGTTTTAGATTATGCTCGTAAGAACCTCTCATGAGCATCTCCGCAACAGCAACAAGAGATAAAGGAACTTTCTCTCCTAAAAATGGTTTAAACAATTCATAAGCTTTTGTGATGTTTTTCGGAAGAGTTTTTGTGCCTCTGAGGTTTAATATGCCTAGATTGAGAGCTGCTTCTGGGGATCCCATTTTCATTGCTGATTCGAAACATTCGACCACATCAAAATCATCGTTTTCTAATTTAAGCAAACAAAGTCCTTCTTGGCCATTTGGATCACGCTTGAAAGCTGACTTCTCGTAATAGTCTTTCGCAATTGATTTATTCTTTTCAACTCCGTATCCAAAATGATATAATTTTCCAAGAAAAGCATTTGCACGTTTATTGTTTGGATATTTCTCAAATATTCGTCTGGCTTCTTCATAGTCAATTTTAGCTCCGTATTTTCCTATGGTTTTAAGGATTCCTAAATCTATTTCTGATTCTTCATCACCTGTGTTTACACGAAGCTTTATTAAGTTGTATTTCTTTTCATCGTTAGCATTGTCGTTGCTTAGCTTGAAATCTGAATTAATTCGAGATAATTCAACATGTAACTGAGTATTTTTATCTTCCAAATTAGCTAGAAAGAATGCTGGAGCTAACAAAATTGATGCTGCATTATGTAATGTAATCGGACGTGTAAGGCCAAATGTTAATGATAAAGAATTTGCCATTATTGAGCGTATAGAATGATGAGATTCTCCTAGAGAGTAATATATTTCAGAAATCAATTCATCTGGCTCGTCAAATCCGATTCCATATCGATAATAAAAAGCTAAAGCAGAATAAGCTTCAGGATATCCGTATTTTGCTGCTTTCTTGTAATATTCTATTGCTTTAGGGAGATTTTGTTCAATTTTTCCATATCCAAATTCGTATAATTCCCCAAGAAAATGATTTGCAGGTGAAAAATCTTTAGAAGAAAGCAGTTCTAGGTCATGCACATTGATTTTTGACGTATTTCTGATTGATTTTGCAAATTTCTTCCAATAAACTCTTCCGTATTTGTTATCCTTATTTTGATAATGAGGTTTTATCACTGATTTCTCAGGTATTATGTTATACCATGATTGATGGTATTTTAAATCATTTGATATTGTTGAATTTTTTAAATTGTTTTCATTGATGCAAAATATAAAATTCAACAACATATAAAAATGAATAATGACAATAGACTATTAGCCTTGTTTTATTGAAAAATAAAACAGATAATGTTCAATTGATATGATTATCTAATATATAATATATATTTTATTCAATAACATACAAAATTGATATATCGCATAACAAATTATTTTCTAATATCTTGTATAGATTGACTATTTGATTTAATTTTGGCTGTTTTAGCCACAGGTTTGAAATTCAAGTTATCTAAGACTTCTGGAGGATAACGATTCTGAGCTTCAAAGAATTTGCAAAATTTATACGCACAGAATGATGATTCCATTTCTTTTGAAAGTTTTGCTCTTTGAGTCGCATATCCTGTATTGACTTGTTCAATTTCAAATATTGAACCGACACCTCCAGTTGGAGTAACTCTTTGTATTGTACGCATAATTTTTCTTTGGCCGGATGATGGCAAGATAGAGGCAACAATGCCATCTGAAGATTTTTTGAAGGAACCGCGAATTTCTCGAACTCTCTTGCTTGGACCATGACGTCTAGTTTCATGTGTATATGACCAAATGCTTCCTTTTAAGTCATCTTTGGAAACATCTGGTGTTTTTTCAAATTTTTGTGAATTTTCTGTTTTGTCTTGTGGATTTTGATCGGGTGACTGATTTTGAATGTAATCATCTTCTTCATCTAAATTAATGGAGATAAATGAATCTTGTTCAGTCAATAATAAGTTCTCTTTTGATTCTTCGCCTGATTTTTTGGCAGCTTTAGCTGTCTTAATAGAAGCACGAACTGATTGTCTATTTAATATATTCTGTAATTGTGATGGAGTCTTTGTTAATTTTTTATTTGGATCGATATGAGAAGATTGATTAATGCACTCCATTTCTTCTTTTGTAAAGGTAAGTTTGGAATTTGCAAAAGGCTTATCAAAATACTCTGGTTCGGATCTTGTAGTTCTAGCTGTTCCAGCAGTTGAAGGCCGACTAACTGTTCGTCCCTTATATTTATAAGAAGAAGATTGAACTGTAATCCAATTCAGATTTGTAAATTTTAGGGAGGAGCGTCGCTTCTCCTCGAGAATTGGATTCATTCTGACAAAAACGGAAAAAATTAAATATTTTGTTAATGAATTATACTGGATACATATTATACAGCATTTTCATCTTTCTTTACAATTTTGAGAACATATCTCATAAAATTTCGGAGAATATTTTTTGTATCGTAGATTAATATAAATTTATTGTTTTTAATTAAATAAATAGAGTTTTTAAACAAATAAAAGTGCTGTAAACTATTCAAAAAATCCTTACATTATTTTCGGAAATTTCAATAATTAATGATATAATATCAGCATATAAGATTTTTCATTTCATAGATCTATCGTTGGTTTTGAATATTCGTATCGTTCTTCAAGCCATCAAATCAATCAAGATATCTCTTGATATATCTAACACTAATACTATATAGTATAAATTTTAAGGATAGACATTGGAATAAAATGAAAAGAATAGGAAGAATAAAAATCCAATACAATTACTTCTGAGCTGATGACTCATCTAGTGCTGATTCTGTGCTTTCATATGCAGAAATTAGAGGTCGATCATCCGGAATCTCATCTTTTTTAGGTTTTGATTCACAAAGAAGGAAAATGATAACCGCAATTGGAATACAGAAAAATCCAAGAAGATAGAGCCAATTAAAAGGTCTTCCGAAGAAAAATATATCAACAGCTAATGAATAGAAATTACCAGTTAAATTGTTCAAATTCATGACGGTCGCATCTGAATATTTCAATATAAATGCCATGACTATGTAATTTGTTCCTATTGCAACGGAATAAGCAACTTGTAAAGCAATTGCCGTTGTATCCCAATGATAATTTTTAATTGCATTACGTTCTAAGCCAGCACTCAGAGCGAATGTGAACGGGATGGCCAATGATGTGAATCTGCATGTATATAATATCGGTCCATACTCTTTAGAACATTTTTCTTGAAACATTGTTCCAAATGAATATAAAAGTGATGCGCCTAGTGCGAACAAATTGCCTTTCAGCTTACTACCTTTTGTTCCTTGAGCTACCATGACCATCGAAACACCACCCATACCCAAAAGCATTGATAAAAACTGGATCCAATTGATTTTCCTCTTGAAAAAGATATATGCAAGAGGAGCAGCCCGAAATATTACTGTTGTGATGATAAGCATTGCAGATGCAAGTGATGTTTGGCTATATGCAATGCACCCGCAGCAATCTCCTGGAACTATAAATAAGGTTACGAAAAGGATATTCCACCATTTGCCTTTACCCTTAGGCCACATCCAAACAAGGACTATCCATGCAAAAACGTATCCTGTACCAATTGAAAAAATTGGTAATCCGTCTCCATACTTTTCCTGCTTATATGATAGTATTGCCCCAGATGCTGTAATGAAAATAATGCATATCTGGAATCCTAAGCAAGCACCCCACTTATTTGAGAACAATCTTTCGACAAACGACATTAAATTTGAATATATGGATTAATTGGACTATCACATTATATTTTATGCGTTCAGATATCTCCAAAATGGATGCCGATTGAGCAAAATAATCGACTTGATAAAAAATGCCATTCAAATTATATCAAGAAAATGATTATTTATGTGGATAATTTATGTTTTAACAATAGCACATTCTGATATTACAAAATTTTCGCAATATTTGATTTTCAGACAAAATTTTGTGCGTATTGTCAATTTTGTAATGTAAATCATGATTTACATACATATCATATTTATTGTTGTTTAAGCTTTCACAACAACAAGAACCTTAATCTGTAAACTGAGTCCTTTTTAAAAGGATTTCCATTATTTCATAATCAAAAAGTGCATTAAACATTTAATAGTAATGTCATGTCTCTGTTGTATAAATGGATGTGATATCAATATGATAATTTACTTTTTTGATTCAAAATAATTTTTAGTAGTAGTATATGAAGGGTTGTGTGACTTTTTTTGTTACATCTATATATAGACGATGCATTAAAATATATTTATTTATAAATCATTAAAAAATTAACATTAATTTTAAAATAATTTATTTTTTTATCTTTTATAAAAGAAGCTATATATAGATGATGTCAGATATTCCGCGATTAATTAAACATTGTTTAAATCCTGAATGGGTTAAACTTCAATTTAAAAATGAAGATTGTGAATTATTAAATGAATATGAAAGCCAAAATAAGCTAATGAGGTATAAATATAATGATAAAGAATATTTAATTTCATGGAATCAATGGAGTCATAATCAAAGACCTCATAAACGAGAAGAAGAAATTGAAAATAATGAAATGGAAATCATTGATGACATTAAAGAGGATGGAATTCCTAAATTTTGTAGAAAAACCTTTAGAACTAAGTTAGGAGCATATAAACGTAGAGTATTAAATCCTGAATACATAAAACATTTATTTAAAAAGGAAGACTGTGAATTATTAAACGTTAATGAATATGAAAATGCTAAATCAAAACTGAGATATAAATATATTGGAAGTGATGAAAGGTGTAAAGATAAAGATAAAGTTTATTCAGTTTCATATAATAACTGGCACACGTTAGGGATAAGAAAACATTTAGGAGATTATGGGAAATGTTCTGAATTCTTTAAATCTAGTATATACGAGAGAGTAAAAGAAATTAGAAATAATTATTTTCATGAATAAAAAATAAACTTTAAAAATTCATGTCTTACGAAAAATTAAAACTTAGTTATGTTTATTATTTTATTTTTTTTTATTTTGTATGAAATGAATGGAACAAAATTCGTGACTGTAAATCAATTAATGGATAAACTTTCACCAATTCTCACCCAGGTTAAACAAGTAGACGTTTATTTTGATGATTGCATACAAAGTTTATTTTATAAAGGTAAGTTTAATATTAAACCTATTGCTTTTGCATTTGATGGTAAATTAATCGAAAATTCAAAAATTTGGGAATTAATTCCGGATATTGAATTTATAACAAATATTAAGGATAAATGGTTTAAACAACAAAACCACCTCACTAAAGTTCTTTGTAGATTAATGATTAAAACTGAGGAAAAAGAATTTAACGGGTTTAAATATCATCCATGTAAAATTTTAGAACTTGGTAACGAAAAACTTCAGAAAAAATTGAGAGGTTATCGATTTTGTAATTTAATCGTCGTCGTTATCGATTTTGTAATTTAATCGTTATCGTCTTTTTCTAAACGTGCATTTTTACATTAAAAGCAATGCAACTCCAAAATTAATTGGTATTTAGACTTTAATTAGGTGCAGACAAACGAAATGCAGTCCAAATATTTTGGTGATATATGAATTACATAAATTTAGGGAAATTGAAATTATATCTTTTTAAATTTTTAGGAAAACAGATTTATAGAATTGTTTAAGTCATCAAAATAATGCAGACTTAGGTCAAATTTTCCAAATTTAATCATTTGCAAGACTTTCAAGCGACTTCAAAATGTCGAAATATAAGTCCAAAAATAAAATTACGATTACAGTCTATCCTCAATTATTATCACGCTAATTATTGAGTGACCCATGCGTTCGTATGTATGTAATACCTTTTAAAAAGGAGATGAGAGAGATAAACTACATTTACAATTTAAATCTGATGTATTTACTTGTTACATTTACAAATGTAAATGTTTCTCGTAATGTTTACATTTTGTAAGTATAACGAATAAAAATGACGCACTTTTTTTACAAAGTCAAATTATGCGAGACAACTTTACTTGTTACATTTACAAATGTAAATGTTTCTCGTAATGTTTACATTTTGTAAGTATAACGAATAAAAATGACGCACTTTTTTTACAAAGTCAAATTATTGTTCGATTTTTGCAGCTTGTAAACGATTAATTGTATAAAGCAATTGATATTAGCACGACATAACTGAATAATTCTAATATTGAAATCAAAAGCCCTTAAAATATCATGATATTTTAATTTCATAACAAATCTAGGAGACTATTTGATGAAAACATATCCGATGTGGGTTTTGTTGTATTATATAACTTGTTATTGACTTCTTAGCTTTCCAAATTTTTTTCGATAATGAGAAAACGAATGAAAAATCAACATTTGGTCCATTTAAAATTTGATTTGTTTACATTTTTTTTACTTTTTGAATTTCAATTTATATTTTCCTCAAGAAATACTTTAGATTTTAAGAAACTAAATCATATAATCTACTAAGAAAATATATTAAATCCTATAATACTCAAAGTTTTGTGATAAATCCGATCTTTTTTATTTTACTTTTATTATGTTTTTGCAAACTTAAGGTCCTCACTAGGTAAAACATAATACTCTTTGAAGTTAAGTATTTTCACAAAGAGAGGACCAACAATATCAAAAGATTGAATAAAGATTTGTATTATTTTATTTATTTTTAAGAACATGTTTGGAAAACACTTACTTCGTTCTACAAATGTGTATCTCTTTATATCAAAGATTCTTCTCAAATTATTGAGAGACTTCTCTCAAAAAAAGGAAAATTTGATAACTAAAAAAAATTATGGCATAACCTCTCGTTTTGCATAGATATATATTTACATGGTCACAGAGCTTATTTTCATTGTCAAAACTTAAAAATTTTTAGTGGACTATACCCTTAATAGGATAAAAAAAAAGAATTTACACTCTCTCACTTTGAAAACGTAGAAAATGCCAATCTATTGGTATACATTTTAGTTTTGTTAAGTTTACAAAACGATTACTCTAGATTTTAAAGATTTATCAAGAATTTAGAGAATATCCTTCTCAAAACAACTTCAATAGCGAAGGATTAGTATTGAATCGGATTTGTAACATAATTATAGTACATTACAATACAATTTCTCCGATTTTTAAATATTTTTGAAATATTTACAAAATATGCTCTTTCTATCATCGATACTTTAATACAGAGCAAATTTAGTAAATGTCATCACGTTATTTTTTCATAAATCGTTTTCGAACTTTTGAAATATTTATTTTAAACCAGTTTTCTACATTTAATATGTGAATTATATCAAAAGTAGATGGGCGATACTTGTAAATCTATTTAAACTATTAGTTTGCTATTATTGAAGAACTTTATAATTTTTTTTTCTTATGTATGGAATTAAAGATAATTTTGCCGATTCCAACTGGTTTTTCTATATGAGTTAAATATGCCAAGTGAAATTGGACTTGCCAATATTGTAAATTGAAGTATGGACTATATATCGATTTTCATTGATTGATGAATAACTCGGAGTAATGTAATTGTTGATAATGAAAAATAGTTTTCAATTGCTGGTAAGGGCCAATGTATGTTCAATAGCTCCGAAAGCAAAAAATGCACGTTTAGAAAAAGACGATAACGATTAAATTACAAAATCGATAACGATGACGATTAAATTACAAAATCAATAATGACCCGAAAAAATTAAACGAAAGACTATCAAAAGATAAAGTTGAAAGAGTAAATAAACTCGCTAAAGGTAATGGTAATGATGAAGAAGAATTTGATGAGTTCAACATAGAACTTTAAGAAGCTAATGATTATTTGAATTTATGAAATCAATTATTTGATTCATTCTTTCTTCAATCTCTTCTATTCTTTTTGTTAAATCATCTATTTTCATTAATGAGGTGATTCTTGATTGAGGAATAGATTTCAAACTAACCACTCCTTTTATTTTTGAAATTTTGAATCCATCAACTTTAAACATTTTATTCAATTTACATGTTGTCAATTCTTCAAATAATTTTTTATTATTAGCATAATAGTCATTAAATTCTTCAACAGATGAAAAAATTTTTATTTCAGTAATTGGTTTAACAATGTTTATTTTTTGTTGAACATTTTCACTTTCATTTATTTCTTCCTCCTCTGTTTCATTTATTTTTAAAATCGGTTTCATTTATCATTAAATAAAAATTAGAATATAAGTGATGAAATATATTTTTTAATTAATATTAAATCAGAAATGGCGGCAGGATTCTTTAAAAAATTATGGGATGGAATTAAGAAAGCTGCGGGTTGGGTTCATAAAAAGATTATTAAACCCGTTGCAAACTTTTTGGCACCAGTAGCGAAAACGGCAGGAACTATCATAGGTGGAGTATTAGGTACTAAAGCAGGTAATCCGGCAATGGGAGCACAAGCAGGTAACGCAGTTGGTGGAATTGCTGAAGGAATACTTAATAAAATAGGAGGTAGATAGTGGAAAAATAAATTATTTTAAATTATTTTTATCTTAGTATCGGTTGTAGTCTTTGATAAACTTTTTCTCCTTTATTTAAAACTTCTCTTATTGGGGCAGCTTTTGGTGTTATTGATTCAGCAACGTCACTAATTGCGTCTTTATTCTTAAATATCCAATTTGCCCCTTCTTCAATGTTTCCCAAACTTTACTCGCTCCTCTTTTTACTTTATCCCACAGTTTCTTAAATATACCTGCAGCCATAGTTGATTATTTCATTAAAATTAAAAATTCATTT